CTGTGTCGCCGTATAAATGTTGTGAACAGTGGACTTGGATAACTCTATCATGTGTCTGGTTGCTGGAGTACACCAACACTGAAGTATGTCTCGAAGAAAACAAGCGAAACCGAGATCTCTAAAACGTAAGTGTTCCGTGGAAATTGTTTACGTTGAAGCGGACTAACAAATAAATTGACCAAGAACAATGAAACCTAAAAAAATACCAAATTTTTTTTATAAATTTTTTGTTAATTATGCCATTTAAGTTTGTATTTATTTAGTAGCGTAGCCTTTATATGTTACAGCATGAAAAATGTTGTTAGTTTAATAGAGGAATTTTGTCTAGATAAGTAGAGTTAGGTCGATGAAAATGGTCTAAGTTAAACGGTCCAGGTGTTTAGCATCGTATGACAGTCCTTAGCAGATTTTAAGATAGAGGCCATCTTAATGTAATGTATTTGTAATACCTTTTGTTTGCACAAAGTTTAGAACGTTCCTTAAATATAAGGTGCGTAAATTAATTAGGAACATATTTATTTTGATCAAACAGTTTTGTACGAATATGATGGATATGATATGTCTTTTACTGTTTAAAAATTATATAATTGTTACTTCAACCACATTATTGAATTTATTTACGGTTGAATGTAATTTTTTAAGGTTTTTTAAATAATGCCTCATTTTACATAGGTAGTCATTGCAGCTCTCCTAGATCAGTATTTTAAGTCGGTATTTGTCTGTATTTTGATAATTGGATAAAAATGCATGTAGTTTTTTTAAATTAATATTATACCAACAAGTAAAATAAACAATTATATTTCAAAGAATATGCCTAAAAATTCTACAATACTTCGAACGTGTAGTTTGGATTTGACTCCATAATCCTGTATGGGTTTGTGTTGTTCCAAAAGTGTAAAATGCAATGTTTCTGATGAAATGACCCCATATTCATTTTTACTTGATTTGGTACAAATATAAACATTTGTGCTTAACTAACTAACTAGTAAATTACTTAAAATTAACTAGGGTATGAAGTACGAGTACCTACAAGTCTTTTATCAGGCACATGTGTCAGATAGATTTTTATTTAAGTTTCACAGAATGTATGGTGTATGGTACATGCTGTGAAATCATGATCTTAAAGTATCTAGGTTCTTATAGTTTTCAATTGTACCGAACCTCATATCATACAAATGTGTCTTGCTAATTATGTCACCAGTTTTTCTGGAAAATGCTGGAGATGCAACAAAACAGTAAAGCTTAAAACAAAGTATGACAGAAAAGTATGTCGTAAGTTGTCTCAATGCATTGTGTTTTAAATAAAGTAATTAAATATTGTAAAAATACATTATTAATATAAATGCCCTAGTGCGGTTGAGCCATTAGTCATGTTAATTGTGACGATATGTTATCGTCAAAATAAAACAGCTTCTTTATTTTTACTGTTGTGTTTGTATTTTTTAACATCGGTCAAAATCATAGATTTTGGTTGGTTTGTTTTTTTTAAAAAAAAAACTGTTTTTAACCTAATATTTCATTTGTCGTAAGACGTATTCATTACATATAATACATTATTTTAATTTGATTTAGAAAAAATTATTAATCTGGAAATTAAAGAGAGCTGTGTCTAGGGGTTTGCATGTTTTTACATGTATTTGTGCGTGAAATTATGGTTGTATGCATTGTTTTCTCCTCAAAAGATATGTATTAACAATAAACTTACAGTTTAAGACATGAAGTAAATGTTTTCTTTTATAAAATACAATAAATTAATGGCATTTTATTTTTATTTCATTTTATTGAGTTCGCTACCTTATCAAAGTATATGGTGGATAAACTTACTTTTTACGTGAACTAGTTATTTTACATAAACGGAAAAGGAGCACGCAGTTTATCTGCTTTTAAGATATTACGGAGGTGCCTTGTTAACCTAGCATATGAATACCTCTATTTTTCACCGGTCTTCTATAAGGGGGCCTGACATCACACCGGAACAGCCGCGCCATTTATACCAACGAAGCTGGCACTTGCCTATCAAATTAAAAAAAAGTGCTTCTACGTGATTATATCTCTTAATTTATTGTACATGGCATTTTTTTTTAAATATTTCCAATTCAATTCAGCAGTAAACTTAAAGACTACTTTGTCGATGTGATTCCTTACGCGTTTAGACATTTAACTAGTAGTGGCTCATTGGTGGAAATCGTAACGTAATCAATTTTTAAATGATATATCATTTTTCTTAACTCTGTGCAACTTTTTGACAACGGTCAATGGTTCATGGCCTAAAGTTCCTCGATACCGGGCCATAAAATAAAGTTTTATATGGGACGTCAACAATGAGTGTTTAATAATTTTACACATATTGCATAAAAGTTTTCTGCATTTCTTCATGCAAACTTTGATTATGTTAAGTCTCACACTCCTCCATTCCCGCAATACGCTTAAAAAGAAATAGGTACGTGGTTTTCGCTTCACGTATCAATATAAAAAAGAAAGATGAAAAGAAAATTTGAAACCAGATGGAGAAAAATGAGTTTAGAAAATCCTATATGAAGGGTTGAATACGACGTTTCACTTACTCTTTTTACATAACAAATCCAAAACGTATTCTTTCGATTATGGCATTTTGTTGTGAAGGTATTGCCTGTATCCTTGAGCTTACTAATTAAGAAAGGCGAAATTTTAACACACGACGAGAATAGTTATTTATTTTTTTAAACGAAGAGACTGATAGAATTTAACCGACTGGTCACTAGACTAACGAAGTGTTTAAAAAATCGAGTCACAGGATTCAACGGGGCTCCAACGACCGTTGCCTGGTAAAGCGCCTCTCCAGTTCTAATTAATAGAGGCTTGTCAGTGAAAGAGCTGCGAAGTCGGGTGATGGACGCGTTGCGACGCGGGCTGCGGCCGCGGCTGCTGCGGCGCGGCGGGGTAATATCGGCGTTTTATCAGTGACGCCCCTTACCGCCACATATTGCCGTCGTTACCGCCAATGCCCGGCTAAGCCCGCACCGGCGGATGCACGCCTAATGTCACGCAATGTTTAGACGACGCGATTTATTTTGCGCGCCAAATGCGCTCACTAATGCCAGCAGGGCGATGTACCGTCCGCTCTACATCGCTTGCCTAATACTAATACATAGGCGTAAACTTTTGTGAATATCGATTATTGTATTTTGTATTTTTTAATATTCGTGACAATTTAAGTTAATTTGGCCGTGATAGCTCAGAGTCGAGATTTCTTTTAATTTAATAAATTCGAGGAAACCGTGTTTAAGTCTTGCCAATTTCACCTAGCAGGACAGGAACATATATAGGCTGTTACTTTATTTTAATTTGGACAATGTTTTGCATGGCAAGATTTTCTACGGCTAAGTACATTGGATGGGATGATTTGGCTAACGCTCTGACATGTATGTGAATTTAACGAAATAATCGAGATGGTAACATCGGAAAATAATTAGAATGAAAATTGTAAATGTACATAATAAAATTGTAAATTTTTAATTTAATATATTACGTAGAGTCCATGCCCGAATCCTAATACCGCGTAACATTTCAATGACGTAGTGCGCGGTGGGGTCAATCACGCTAGCACATAGCTATATTATAAATAAATAATAAATTATAAATATTTTTAGGACACATTTTTACACAACGGTCTCTAGTCCCAAACTAAGCAAAGCTTGTACTATGGGTACTAGATAACTGATAAACATACTTAAACATACTGTTCTTTTGTAAATAAATACATATTATAGATATATAAACACCTAGACACTAGAAACTATGTTCATCAGACAATATTTTTCCAGTAGTGGGGATCGAACCCACACCCTCTGGCGCAGAATGTAGGTACATTACCGACTGCACCATTCGGGTCAATATAACTTAAATTTATTCACACGAACGGCGCACTGGGCTATGTCGATTAGCATATTACTATTTTATTTAGTTTTACCTCAATAACATAATAACAAATAAGACTCCAGTATCCAAATAATAAACCTCTGCCTCCAATCGTCTCTGATCGCGGGAGCTACTCTGTAAAGTCTGTATACAACAATATAGTTCAGTAGGTGAAACAGCTAGTGAGGAACAATGTTTGTGGCTGAACGACTACGATATAATGTTGTTAACTTAAGGTATCGATCCTCCAGGCTAGTACTTTCGTAATGCCTCCCGCGGGGAGTGCGAGGATGCTGCGACTCTCTGGCGCACTCATGGGATGCTTAATGCAATGCTACCTACCGCTCCGTGCTACCTATACGTGGCACTGACTTAAGCCACCATTAACTCGATTACCTTGAAGCATTATTTTTAAAACTGTCTTATACATTAATTAGGTTACACGAATTAAGATATACTCGTAGTTTCGAAAACCTCTTTTTCTAACTTGAACAATCTTTTAATTAATTTTCTTTTCCTTTTCTCCACCTGCAGATACGCCGTATTATGTACACGTACGTTCACAGGGGCCCAATAACACGTCAATTTAAGCCCGTCATCCCTCATGTCGGTGAATTAAAATTTTACATACACTGAAAATGTTAATCCTCCGTTGTCCCAGGTAGACTATAAAAACAAATTGCCGTGTCTTGAATTGTTTTTTACCTTACACTTGACGCCTGAGAATAATTAAACTGAATGCGGTTAAAGCCATACATTATAAGTGCGTATAAACGTTACGGCTTACCAACGCAGAGCTCCAAGTATTATCTTAATTTTTCACAAATATTTTTGCAACATTTAAGCCTCGAACGGACATCTCTGAGCTCTTTGAAAAGGGTCAATTCGATCTGGCTTTGTTTATCAACTTTTTCACTCAACCTCTCCACTCGATGTGCTACGTCGGGTAATACTTTTTGACATATTAATAAGTGTCTCACGTTCCAGTTTCATAGATGTAAATAGACGCAAACGTAAAGGACGATTTGTGAGGCCTAAATCGATGAACTATAGATGGGCAGGTAATTATATTATTCGGAGGATCCTCACGGTCTCAGTTGTTACGTGAGACGATAAGAAGTTGATGGTTCGTGGGGCGCGGGGGCTGGTGAGGTGCGGGGCAGGGAGAGCTCCCCCCCCCCCCTCGGTACTACGCGTCCATAAAACTTGTAGAGGCCCCGCAGAGAGCTGGCGGGAAATTTCCCCTGGGTAGCGCACCTCCGCCCTGCGCCGCTGGGAAATACGCTAAAGCCATATCATAACAGTTTTATGTTGACGTTGACCTCTCATCTGCGGCGAGCCGTTGCCTCTTTACTAATCGTTGGCATTTTGACTGATCTAATGGACCTTATGCTATCTATGTACAACACGCAAAATATTTCTATTTTCAATATACAAGCAGCTATATAGAATGAAAGTTGTATTTAAATAATCTATTTTGCATTGTATGTCTCACCTGAATTATATATGTATTTCAGATTGAGTGGAAACAGAGGCCTTAGCATCTAGGGTCGCAGGTTCGATTCCTGAACGTGACGAATATTTATGGGCTATCATTCACTGTTCCGGACTTCAAAGTATCTCTATGTTTGATTGGTGCTTCTAAACCATCTTTAGAAGGGACCAATATTATCCAACAATACAGATAACGTTTTTTTTTCTTATAACTAAAGAATTAATACAATAATAACCCAATGCATTGGCATGGATAATATTTAAATAGAATTTTGTTTCTATCACCAATTTTCTCAAAACAAATTTAAACTTAAACGTATTGCAATCGGTGTCGTGTTCAAAGAAAATTAGCCAGGCTGATTTTAACAGCTTTGTACTGTTAGGCGAAGAATTCTATGTTATAAACAGATAAGAGGTGGTCAAGTCAACATCGGTACTTATTGCTTTTGAGTATCACTTTCGGTTTGTAATACGGCACAAAAACAGGTATATGTTAGGATGTTTACTATGACTCGATAAAATAAATAATCTCAAAATTTTAAGGTTATCACTAAAATAACAAAAATATGCAAGTTTTTGGTCGCACAAATCATACTGTAAATTATTTCTTAAAATCTTTTATATCAACAATAGGTAAAATTGTTGTTTAATTAAATAATGTTATATAATTTAACCAATAAAACAAAGTTGTAAATGCAATCTGTTAACGTGGCGAAGCATTTCTTTTTATTCGCATTCCCACTTGGCTACCATAAATCACTCACGTGTTTTCGCATTTTCGTAAAAAGTACTAAACATTAGAGTATATAACAAGGCATCCGTATCAAAATCAAAATCAAAATGTTTGCTGTATGTGGTTCAGGATAAAATCATTAAAATTTTATACAGATAAATTTAACATATTTGTTTTCAGATTCCGAATCGAGGCTAACAACAGATATAGTGTGTACTTATTTTGTATTTATTTAATGTATATGATTAAAGTGTGTACTTAATTTAATTTAAAAAAGAATATATCGAATTCAAAGTAGTGTGGTTTTTAAAATTTTCCGTCACTGACATAAAATGTAATAAAAATTGAGTATGTATGTTTGTTTACAAAGAAAATCATAACTTGTGGAATGTTACAGAGCTACTGTGCTAAAATACGTGTTTTATAAGTCGATACCGAAGCAGAAGCCAATTCTAGGAGTCACGTTTAATAGACATTGTTTAAAAATATCACGGCGCCCACCCATCCCGTTCGGGCGCAGGTGGTGGGTAGTGGGGGTCCCAGTGGAAGCGGAGTTCTCGCCCGCCGCCCGCTTCCCCTGGGAGCTGGCCCAAGCAGCCGCCTGCTCTCCAGGGACCAGTCCGCAGCCCCGCAGCCCCGCCGCCCGCCCCAGCGCCGCCGCTGTCTCTCAGGAAAATGGCAGCCGCGCTCGAATTTTAATTTATAATCATTACTGCTAATTCTGTAATAAACATCGTGGAAGAAGTGAAGATTTTCGAAGTTTGTACGGAATGCTTAAAAACAGTTCGTATTCGTATTGTACATTTATTTACGTTGTACGCTATTTTTTTCTGTTATAAACCGATAGGAACGTTGGCTGGATGCCTGGGAGTTGGATATTTTTATGGTCTATTGGAAATCATTTGGGTCTATTAGGATGAAGTTTCTGATCTGATCTAAATATCTGTCAAATACTACACAGTCAATTTTTATAATTTGTATTATATTGCACACCTACTTAATAGACTAGTATATATTTATCTAAAATTAACTCCTTATCCGCACTGATCATGAACCTTAATTAAGTACCTATATTTAACCAGAGGAATAATTGATTCCTCTGGTTATTTTATCATCAAAGCGGTTTCATTTTGGTAATGAACTTGAGCTACAAAGAAAGGAAACCTATATAGAGGTTTCATAACTTTGAAGTAGGTACGGAACCTATAAGATATGTTTCTATCGAATTCCTTTAGTGGACATTTCATAGGTGTCTAATGTCGCACTTTGACAAAATGTAAGTGGAGTAAAGTCGGTCTAATTTTTTCAAAAACCGTTTATCGCTCTTATAACACAAAACGTAGCGAATGCTTGATAATTTTACGATATGTATGTTTCGATATATATGATGATTTGTATCTTACAAGATAATGCACAAACCCTAGAACCCTATGAATTGATACTTCATATTTAAGAACTTCGGCAAAAGTTTAAAAGTACGTCCGCGTCGAGTTTCCATAGGCATGTATGTAATATGTATATAGTTAAAAACGGTAGAGCGGTTTGTGTTGCAAGTCAGTTCTGAAAGCGGTCACCGTAGGGATCGCCGCTGGGCCATGATTCCCTCGGGAGCGCCCACTAACGCCTCGGAATACATTAAAATTACAGTCCCAAGACTTGCTACATTCGAGCGAAACTAGACTGAGAAGGCAATGAGATATTATTCCTTTGTGCTCCTACCCAAATATTATTAATCAAAGTTATTACCTACACGTAAAGCGGTGCCCATGGAATAAGTAGTTTCTAACATAATCCAGCTCTAACGACTTGGTGACAACATAAGTCATTTTGTAATTTCTGTCTGATGACTTCACGAACGGATAAACTTATACTTAAGAAAAAGATTTTACAACATGTTAACTAAGTTATTTAACTAGAATCCGTCTGAGTCAGTAATATTAAAAATGCCGACCAAGTGCGAGTGTGTGAGTGAGGACTTGCGCACGAAGGGTTCCGTACCGTTCATCTATAATAACGGCGAAAAATCATGTCTGTTGTATGGGTGCCCCACTTAAATATTTCTTTTGTTTTTTAGTATTTGTTGTTATAGCGACAACAATATACATCCATAATCTGTGAAAAATTCAACTGTCTAACTATCACGGTTAATGAGATACAGCCTGGTAACAGAGAGACAGACAGATAGACCTTTGGTATGGAATCCTAAAGCTACATTTAGAATCCAAAAGCTACATTTGGAAAGTTAAAGCTACATTCTAATTTCTTTACTTCGTTCCCTTTGATAGTTAATAGTGTCACATATAGGTATTTAATAAACTCTTCGAATAAATGTAACAAAGATACCACTTATGTCTAAAGTATTATCCCATTATGATTTACTGTACTGAGGGTATTATGGCATGTTCCGCTATATGACCTGATTGATGCAGATTGGCAGGCTTCTCATATTTATGGACTTTTTTAAAGATTTCTCAGAAGTTTAGGTTTACTCTTGACATTTTCTTTCACCACCGCGCATATGGTAAAATATCACTTAAAATTGTAATCAAAAATGTCATTACCAGCTCCGGCCTTTGAACCCCCGTTGCTCGAGTGCATTGAATTAAAAGCGAGCTACAAGAGCTCTTAAGGATTACTAAGTCCTCCACTTTTTTAATATCTTTTAAATCTTTAATTTCGCCTCAACATGTGTTTTGAATACTAAAAATAAATATTTTCCGTGTATTCAATATACGTAAATTATGTATTTTTAGTATTACACATATTATGTTACAATTTTTTTTGATTTTGTGTATAAAATTTGTAGGGTGCTGGTACGGTGGCAACGACGACTCATGAAGTTCAAATAATTTTGGACAAAAAAAAAACCGACTTCAAACAGGAAACTAAAATCATTGTCAACCTATAACATTTCAGGATTGCCCTCGATTTCTCTGGGATGTCTTTATCAGATCTGGGTTTCCTTATAATGGTACCACCCTCGGGATATATCCTTTCCAATATAGAAAGAATCAACAAAATCGGTTCATGAATGACGAAGTTATCCCCGAACACACAAAAAAAAAACTTAAAATATTTTCTGTCGAATTGAGAAACCTCCTCCTTTTTTGAAGTCGGTTAAAAAGGGAGTGGAAATGCCGAAGAGATAATGTCATGGATATCTAAAATAAGATAATGTATTACCTACATAACTTGTTACAATTTTGTACTATAAAGCATTTTTTACTGTTATGTAAAAGTAACTTTTTGAAGTGAAAACTTCTTCAGAGCTATTTTAAAAAAACGAATACGCAAAAATGTATTTGTAGTTATGGATATCATATAAATACTGTTATAATCATTCGGAGTGTCTATAAAATATGTAGAATTAAATATTATACAATTTTAATTTTGATAGTGTTTTATGTTTTCACTTCTGTCGACAGTTCCCATAAGTTAAGCTTTTTTCAAGTGAACGTAGTTCACTTTAGTTAGTCATAACGTTTTTATATTTAAAATCAATTAAGTAAAAGTTTAAGGTTTTCTTTGTAAAACAATTTCAAACTAGCTATTCAGTGAATTGAAATGAAATTTTAGAGGTAGAAGTGAATTAAACCGTTTAAAACTCAATTGACTTTTAAACGGTGCAGTAACAAGGTTTTATTTTTGATAATACTTAATGATAATTTTACTATGATTAAGGTTTTCTTTATTTGATTTTTTTGCTGCCTAGCGTTTAATTTTAAATTCCCGCCATTTCAAACTACTGCATCCATCAACACGGTACAGATAAAGTTTATTTAGTCCTAAATTCATATTTTAACAGGCAACATAGACAATCCCCTGCTCCCCGCAAACTTTTTTAATCGTTCATTACGATCAAATCGACGATGCATTGCGCTGTGAGTATCTTGAGATCTTGTAATGTTGGTGCCTCGATTTAATTTCTATAATTATAGGATCCCTCGCTGCTGACCAAATCTATTTTTCTATTGAAAGTAATAATCCTTTATTTCATTAGTCTGCCAAAAAATTATGGGGAGAAATCTATTGGTATCCTTTTGCGGGGACTTGATTTCGTTTATCAAAGTAATTAAATGCTTGGGCCCATCTTCGATTTGGTTGAACACTACACATTTCAAAACTTTAATACAGTAGCATTTAACTTTGAGCAGTATTCGTTTAAACATGAGGAATTTTTATTTGGTATATACAGTAATTCATTCATTTCAGACCGTTTTCATTGAAAGTGAAGTCTGTTAGCCGCCGACGTTTGAATTGTGTAGTTCAATGTGATGGGCCGTCATTGACAACGGAATAATCCGTTTAAAGCCCGCTGTCGTGCCGAGGGGCGCGGCGGTCGCTGCTTGGCCGCGGACGAGGCGCAATCACGCCACCCGCGCCCCGACTCGTGCTAATTATGCCGCCGAACGTCCTTAATGAGGATATTACCTTTGTTCTGACGCAATACAGCTTTGAACATCTCGTTTCCTCAGCCTTTCGTCCAGGATTTGGAAGTCAAACGTTGAAATTAATGCCAAACAATTTATAATTTGTATCAGTGATTTGGAACTGGTAATGATGCTGAGATTGGGAAAATGTTTTCTTGATAAACTGACGCGATGGGAAAGATTTTAGGCTATTTAAATTTTATTCAAAATTAAAGTAGGTATAAACATACCTACATGTGTACTGCGTGATTTTGTATTATAATGAACTGTATAAACAAAAACAATAATCACTGTCTCACCAACCGTCATGTTTGGGACTAAAAGAGTTCAGTGAAATGTGGATAGCATTATGCCTACCTCATTTGGATTATGAGATGTAAAAGTTTATTTAGCTCGTGTAAAATTTCCGTTTCAATTGGACTCTCTTTTTCTAAAAGGTATAAAAAATTACATTGTCATCGAGCTCGGTGGACATGAAACAGATAGTTGAGAAATCACTTCGGAAACTCGAACAGAATCTTTTGTAGTCCATTACTGATCACGAAGCTCAGAGGGCAGGCGGAAAAAAAGTATTAAAACACATACGTTGCTAGGATTAATATTCATTTTATATTGAAATAGTGGCGCACCAGGTTCCATATCCACATTATGATAGCGCGGCGGCGGCTCGTAGCAAGTCAGTGATTTGGAGTCCCAATGGGCGCGCACCTAACTCGCGCCTTCCATGTCTACGCCGCAATGCTTGCATTATCCTAATTAGCTTTCGTTTCGTTTTAATTTACTTTACATACTTTCAGTTAGTCTCGAATGCATGTCATCATGCCAACGTGACGAGGTGGCGATAGTTAACGCTTAAGCAATTCGAGGCTTTAAATTACTTTCATATTATGATTTGTGAATTCAAGCATTTAAAAATTTGTAAATAAATGTCGAATATGGAAAAAAATAAATGTCGAATAGCTACGGGTGGCTTCGTTCTATGCAAATACAGTTTAGTTTCTTTACAATTATTATTCGCATGCTATTGCCAATATTTAGTCTAAATGAACCATTTGCAAAATTCCCAAATACTATGACGATAAAATTATCATAATAGTGGACAACAACATGGGATTCGGCTGTTTCCAGCGCACACTCAATTTTCTGTTATTGTTGAACGTGATGTTACAAACACTTACAGAAATCCCCTGTAATGGCCGAAACAGACCACTGTGATTGTGCGTTACGACGGAAATCGGGCACTTTTAACGAAAGTTTGTTATATAAAAGCATGTTATATACGCCATTTTATTGTTAAAAAATATCCAAATTAATACATTTTTTAATTATCTTTTTAGATGAAATTTGTAGATTCCCTTCGATTTCCCATTTTCCAGTATCCATAACGATTTATGTGTATTAAAAATGATACGTTATGAACGTTGTAAATAGCAATTCGGAATCCTCACCTTTATTTAGAGATAAAATTTTATATAAAGAGATAAAAATTGTTTGCTTATGTGTGTAATGAAATTAAATTCTTGAAACTAATGCACATTTGTCTTTCTATTGTTAGTGTAAAGCACGTTAACGGGAAACCTATTTAGGGGTTACATTTGTAACAAAGCCAAATATTTAGTTTGTAATTTTAGTATATGGATGCTTTTATTTTGCAGGTACCATGCAACATTAAACAATATGTCAGCATGTCGTTTCGAAACACTTCTACGAAGTCAATAGATATTAGTATTTTCTTATTTTTTATTTGGAAAATGAAACGTGCTGCGTTGCTGACATAAAACTAATATATAAATTATGACTAACACTAAATGTTATCATATCGATTCTCAGCATTTTTATAATTTTTTAAAGTTATACTTAAAATAATTATACATAATTGAGTTCGTAAGCGAAGAAAGAGAAGAGAGAATGTCTGAATGACATGCGATAATTATTTTGCCCTTTTTATTCATAATTATATACTCTTTTATATTATATACATAAAAGTTACGGAGGATACGAACACGCATATTTTATATATATTGTAAACTTAACGATTTTATTTTTTCTTGTAGCAGAAGACGAGGAATGGGTTGAAGAAGGCAACAGGAATGACGAGATAGTTGTCAAAGAAAATGATTCGGATGATGTTCCTGCAACAGAAACTGCCATCGATGAAAAAGATGGAATGGAGGAGCCCAAATTTGATGAAGGTAAGAGTTACTTGTATAATATATAATAATACATGACATTGTCGTTTTTCAATCATACTAAAGCTGATTAAGATTTCTTAAATCAGGGAAAAAATTGTTCAATACTTTTAAAGCCGAGAATTTATTAGTCTAGTCTTTTTTTTTTCACTAATTCACATTGAATTGGTAAGGCTTTTACAATTTCCTAGCGAGAAACGTGTGCGCATTTTAATTCATATGAATGAAATCGAAAAGAAAAAAAAATCACGACGTAAAGGAAACAGTAGAGGAATTAATCTGTTTAGTGAACCCCATCTACGTGTGTGAGGTACTGACAGTGCGGCCTATCGTTGGCAGCTGGCTGACACTGATGCTGCACGGATAAGACATGACATACAGGCGAAGTTCTGCTACATGCAGAGCACTGGGTGCTCGCTCAGTGACGTGACATACCGATGACAGATAGTGCAGCCCCTCGTAGTGCTGTTACTGAATAGTTATTTCGTTTCTTACGAACAAATTCCTGAATAATCTTTAAATATTATGATAAAAGAAGTAGGTACGTTTAGTTTTATGATTCCCATAGACAACATAAATTTAATTTGGTTCACATTTTCACTATCCATAAAACAAAAAAAAGCAATACTATTCTCTGCTTTAGAACAATTGATTTCAAGTGTTGACAAATCACAATTTGCTTATTAATTTATTTTATTATTTGCCGTATCGACTTTGATATTACCAGATTAGAAAATATGTATTATTTTAAATTTTTATAGTACTTATTTCTGCACTTAAGCTGAAACATTTGTAGAAACATTTATAAAAAGGAAGAAAAGATCTTACTCGCTGCGTGAATCGAACCCACGTCTTCTGGATTCGCGCCAAGGATTCCGATTAAAAATTTTAATAGTTGAAAATTGCAAACATTCTAAATTATTTCCTTTAAATTGTAAATGATGATTTAATGGTATTTGATGAATTAGATGTAGGTACCATTTTCCCTCTTCAGATTTAATGTAATGACAAAGAGAACAACAGTACCTAACAGGATAATATATTACATTTTACGAAACATTTTTCCGAAGCAGAGATTTAGTTGATAATGATTTTGAGAGGTTTAATTAGGTTTCGGGTTGACGTTGCTATGTCGTTTGCACTCAGCATTCACTTAACTGTCAGAAACACCCCAGCACTATCCAGTGACTATGCCGTACTATTTCTTACGTGTTATTTGTTGTTATGAAATTAAAATTTTTAAAACATTGAAACATTAAAAGGTTTTGTCAAAACAAACACTCAAATGCCTTTGCTCAAGGAGCACTAAAAAGTCCCCTTTGGACGGAGTATTCTGTCATACGCTTCGACAGACTTCACAGAATGGATTGGCTTAATGTGTAGAGTGGAACACTGTGAGATACTCTGGAGTTCAATGCATTTACATTATCATCTTACTTTTGCGCTGTCTTCATACAGCCTCTCGGGGGAGTCCATCGACGCTGCGGAGCGATGTGTTGCTTGATATACTGGTATATCGCCATAGACAATTTACTTTTTATTTCTCAATGTTAAAATCTTAATAATAATTTGCTTAAAACTATGTATAAGTAGATTACTAGAGAAGTGGATATGATCAAATTCACTTCTATTTAAACTTTCATGAACATTATTTAAAAGAAATAGGCGTTATAATTATTTACTACTTACTATATCAATAATTAAAATTACAGCATTTATATTATATTTCCCACAATTTGGCAAACGATTGTGCAGAACCCAACGGTTTGACTTAGTTCATACCCGATCAAATATGTTTTTTTAATAATTTCTTAGATATGTCTGTTCCCTTGCCGTATTTTCCTTCACCGGGTGTTATAGTTATAGCGTGGTAAAAAGCAATAAACAATTTCATTGATGTCCCCACCGTTATTTGAACTCGGGTAGTTCGAGCTCGATCTATGACGATATTGAATACTTGTCTCGTTCTGGATCTGAATGAAAGATACGAAGCTCTTATTTCGTCATTCAGTAACTGTACCGTCATTAGTATTTGTAATATTTATTACATATATATGACTGTATTTCCATAGCTTTTGTTTGTATTACTATTTAAAAAAAATCAGTGAAACAATGGTTTCAATCATCTAACAATTTATTACTAGCGCCAGATTTATGATAGTTATACTTGTATGTTATAAAAAGTTATTACGTATAAGTTTTTTAGTGTTTTTAGTGTTATTACGCACATGTGTAATGTAGATACTTAGATACTGCGTACTCACCAAATATTAGTTTAAAAATACATATGTATTTTTTATAATTGGTGTAGATGTATAATGATGTCGGAAGATGGTTTGCTGCAATATAAATACTAAAAGATTGTATACTAAAGTAATAATGGTTTCAGTTACTAACAAGTTATTTTTTACAGATGCTGAAGAAATTGTGAAAAAGGAGAATCAGGACGAGAGCGATGACATTCCCGGTAAGATAAGTTTAATTTAAAAATAAAAATATTGTACACCGCGCATTGTAACATTACTTATAGGAGTAAAAAAAAACCACACACTTATTTACAGTCTTAACAAGCGATTACAAACTGCAAGGGGGAGATCTCGATAACAGCTCAAGCGCGTCCCATTTCGTGGCGAGCTTCGTTGAAATTCATAAGGCCAGTAAAACGAGAAGCAGTTTTTCGCCGCGGCGACGCTTCCGCGCTCTACGGCGCTCGCGATGCGTTTTTACTGCGGTTTAATGTTCTTTTTACAACTTCGTCAAAGGGTGATGTGGTGCGGCTGCCTCGCGGCGCCCGCTTCGCGGTTTACGACTGGCTCCTCGCTTATCTAGCGCCATTCGCGATAAATCACCGCCAGGCTCCTTGGACCTCAAATATTTACATGCTAATTCGTAGCCAATTCCGGGCCCGAGATTATAAATAAATTGCCCGCTCCGGGTCATCATCGACCGACAGCTACAGTTTTATCTTTCACGGCGAGCAGTTTTTGACGCTGTGATTTCGCATCGGGCGTCAGCGTAACATTTTACTTCATAATTATACTTAGCCTGCCGCAGTCGCTTAAAGTTCCTCTTAGATAAATCCGTCGAGTTGTAAAGAATTATTGATGAACTAATATTATAATCTATTCGTGACAGTCTGTGGGGGAGGTATGTTCAGCAGTGGACTCAAACAGGCTAAAATAATGATGATGATGATGATGATAGTCTATAATACATGTATATGTGTTACAATTATTTAAGTAACATTACTTTTAAGTTGCATTGTATTTTTTAATTCAATATCAATGTTTAACGGTGGTAGGGCCACGCAACAGTGTTGCACGAATGGGCAGGTCCGTCCGGCGACCTCACAGAAGACCGGCGTAAAGTAGAAATGTTGCACTTCTGCGTTTCGTCTGGTGAGTGAGGTAGCTGGGGCCCACATTATTAAGAGGTGGCAACGCATCAGCAACCTTACGGGTTTTGCAAATGTCCATGGGCAGGCGTTTATCACTTAACATCAGGTGAACCGCCAGCTTGTTTGCCACTTCCTCACATAAAAAAATTATTTATTATTTATTCTGAGACGCCGAAAGAATAGGTAAGATTAAGCGTATGCATAAAGAATTTTTACCACCTCATTTATGCATAAGAATAACCCTAGGCCACGCTTGCAAAGATTTAAGTTCAAAACTACGACCAACACAATCGGACACTAGAGACAAAACGGTAAGCGTCAAACAAAGGCTCCTTTTTCCTTAGCACCCTCAGAATTATTATGAGCGGATTACTTATTGTTTGCCTGTCGCCGTAAATCCTTTATAGCTTTTCGGATGTCGCAACTATTTCCGCGTCAATCGATGCTCGAGAAGATATGCTCTTTGTTTCGCAACAAACGCCTTCGGCTATCTGTGGCGATGGCGATCGGGAAAATGAGTAATTTTTCCCGTTGACTAGTTCCCGTTGTGACAGACTCGTTGTTAGGCCAGCACGAGTGTTGCGCAAATGTATTCTCAGTGGGGCGGTGGGGGCGCACGCGGGAGTGAGGGGGGCGGCGCCGCTGAGCCCGAAGTTGGGCGCGTGGGCTAGCTCCCGCGGGACCAGCCCGCAAGGACCGCACTCGCCGCCGTTTTATTTAATACACGCAGCGCGCAACGTTCGCCTCCTTAGCTTACCATGTTCATACGCCACTCTCGGCGAAATGTTCGCAAGTCATTAAGTTATCCCACCGACTAAGGCTCAGCAACAATTTGAGTAATTCCGTTCGGGCGCGGGGTTGCCTCGTAGCTCGCAGCAGGCACGTGGCTAATTAAATGCCGACGCTCGATCGACGGCCCGGCCTGCATCCGGAATTCCGGACGGCGTCAGGGCGCGTGCCGTTCGACGCCGCGTTGAATACCTCGCAGCTGAGGTTTGCGATGCCAAATTGTTGCCCAACTCGGGCACACTTTTGCATAGTGCACTAGAGCCATAGTATAACTTATGCGTTCAACGATACGGAACTATTCCTACCTTACTTACATAATTTGAATAGATAAGCAAAGTTGGTAGTGTTTTTGTAATTGAAACTCGTTCGATTTTGTCGGCGCGTGGATCCGTCCCTGGCGGGTCCCAGGTGGCGCGGCCGCAGCGTTTGGAATTATCACATAGTGGAGGGGGCGGGGGTCGCGGGGACCGGGGCGGCAGCCCGATACATTCGTCACAGGCCCAGCAGCCATTAGGCATTTAGATATTATCAGCCGCCGCCCGGGGACAGCCCGCGACCTGAGCCCACCGCTGTTCCGACGCTTAATTACTGAAAGTGTTCGTTGTTTGCATTCCCAATCCGTTCGCGCTTAATTGTATTGTTCGCCGCCGTCCGAATTGCGACGCGTCTTAATCGGCGAAGGTCGGCGCGTCGCAGACTCACTGTTGCTTGCACGTCAAACTGTTTGCTTGTTGTTGTTGACTATGGAACCATCGTTGATTATCAAATCTTCATGAAAACGATGTGAAAATTATTTAGTAGTGCGTCAATACTATTCATTTATACTGAAACACGTGTCGGGGCGTTACTTTTTAAGTTTTTGACCGGGCGGGCAAACCTTAAAATACACATTACCCCGCCTATGTTGGCTCAAGATCTTACGGTTGTTTCTTAAAAAAATATCCCTTCTCACCGCTCGCTCCCAGGTGGCTTTCTCCAGCCACACTTCCTTCGATCCCAGTGGGATGCTCTCGCTGTACACACACATGCTCGCTTACACACATAACAATGCGTATATCATAGCTGCTACATAGCAACTGCTTATGTGTGCCGGACTTTATGTACAAATACAAAGCGATTTAAATTGTGTACAGACATTACTGAAATTTAATAATATCTGGTTTCGGTTAATTTCGTTTCGAATATTTTAGAGTAGAGTTTTTAGTAATAGAAATATATGTTTAATTCATCTCCAAAAAAGAAACCATCATCATCATCATCATTTCAGCCTGTTTGAGTCCACTGCTGAACATAGGCCTCCCCCATAGACTGCCACGAAGTACGATCCTGAGCCAACTGCATCCATAAAAGAAACCATACTCAACAAAAAATAAGTGACCTAAACTTACATTGAATTAATTTAATATTGTGTGGTGTTCAAATAAATACATTATGGAATAATATTATTTTTAAATATGCCATTATAGAGATTCGATAAATTGTGATGGGATACGCCTTTTAGTTCTGAGCCATTTAAAAAGTATGTCCAAAATTAAAAACGTTAAGGGATTTGACATAAGTTACTTTGGTTTTAATATTAATGTGAAACATAGCAGTATGTACGTACGTATATGTATATGATCGGTCAGATTGTGCTCGCATTAATAAAATATTTACCTAAAACAACAGGAGCATATTGGGATGCTTCCTAAGGTGATTTGGAAAAACTTAATCTTAACCAAACTTTAATAGTTAACATTAAAGTTAACGTTATCCATGCGTGTCCGTTTAATTGATCGTCGTTTATATAGACCTATGAGGCTGAATGAAAACAAAGTCAGACATTAAATTCAGATATTCAATAGAAATTCAGACAACATTATTAATTCGATAACGGGCCTTCTAAAGCCTTTTTGTTTCATTATTGACATTCTAAAATCGGATCTGAGTGTTGACTGTTTAAATAAAAAAAAAAATAACGCAGTAATTACGGAAACGATGAAAAGCTTATAATCCAACTGAAACACATTGCGTTACTTCTTACTGTGCAATTAATTTTATAACGATTCTTATATTTTTGATGATTCCGTGGCGCAGTTGCCAAGGTCTTCTTGGCTTCGGCGCCGGGGGTCGTGGCTTCGATTCACACACGGGACAACTACTTTTACTTTACTTGTGTGATCCGCACATAATTGTTTCGATGTGCGTGCACGTCAACGCGAAATTCATGTATGTAAAAAGTCCTGCAGTAACTGCAATGTATATTAACGTTTCTTCGATTTTTTAAATTACACGTAACGTGAACCGCGGGTTTGGATAAGATTCGCGCGGCTCCCCGACCTCGTGGAGGGTTTTTATTAATGCAGCCGACTATCAAAGGTCTGTCCGGGTTAGCTCTGCGCGTCAGAGGCATCGCGGCGCCGCGGCGAGCGTTGTGATTAATGCCGCCTCCCGGGGCAGCCGAACTGATTGCCGCCCGTTATCCCCGGGGCTTTTTCACCACATCCGCGCGCTCCACTCCCGCTCGAAATATTTCGATAAGCTCGAAGCGCTCGAAACGCGATTTAAATGAGGCCTGTAATCAGCTCTCGGGGATTTCCTCGCGCTTTCTGCGGACCTCGCGCGGTCGATTTCGAATATTGGATTCAACGCATGTTATAGTTGAAAATTGTATAAGCTTTTTTCCGATTGGACATATGCGCCGTTGCTTGATTAGTGCGACAGCGGTGTCACGTCGTTCAATTTATGTTATCACAAATTTTATTGCCGTATGCAAAAACTTGCTATAAACGAATCGCCCGTGAACTCGTGCGGCAATCACATTTCGCATGAATGTTACGCGTCGGAAACTGGAACGACAAACTTTTAATGACATTGTAGGTGTTTTCTCTGTTTTTTTTTATATTACACGTAACTCGTACAACACACGATCCTAATGTAATGATCGCCCCGCGAACTAGCTAAAGCGGAGGTGTTATTCGCGGACGCGAGTTTCCTCGGGAGGCACATATCAGCATCAGTCAGCGGCGCTACCGGAATAACACCTTCAGTCGGAACGGCCATGCGAAGGTAGCGCCCCCTGGGGGGCAGTATGCTCAAGGCGGCAGAAAATTAACGTGCCCCCGCGGGAAATCTAGCGACGGCCTTAGAGCCTTCGGCCGCCCGTCCTCGCCCGCCCGGGACGTATTTAATATCCTGCGCTCCCTTAGACGCCGACTTGTGCACCTGTCGGGTCATTGCGACGTTTGTGGACGGAATGGGCAAAGTTTCAGATCGGTGTTGGCTTTCGACTGTCAAAAATCAGTGACGTTTGAACGTTATGGCGCGAAACGCGTGGAATTTTATTTACACTCTTCTTATATAAGCCATGTAGTTTGATAGTTTCTCTAGCAGAAAGGTTATGAAGAGTCAAATGTAGGTGTAGGAAGTTATTCGATCAGCTATGATGACGTTTGTATAAAAGTTGCTGTTTTGTACAAATTTTAGTCATATTTTATACAAATTATAAGTAACATAACTTTAAAAAAAGTTAATAACTATCACTTGGTTCGCATGGATATCTTAAAGGTTTTAAAAAAACTTGTCTCATTATTTACGCACTTTGTGTGTGAACATTTCAAAAGTCCATATGCTTCTTAGGTTCCCAAAAAAGATTTTATTTAAAATATATGGAAATGAATCCCTATTTCCCTTGGTCACGTCATCACGCATGAACGGCTGGACCAATTTCACTTTTTTTTTTTTGGTGTTTTTTTTATTATCAGAAAAAATTAAAAAAATTGCCTGAAAAAGTCTAAAAACAACACTTTTCTATATTCTCTTACAAAAGATTAGTAATAATACTTTAAAGTAAATTTGAACTTTAATACCATACCATAAAGTTTAAGTGTTAGTTGAGGGGTTCCGGGGAGGCAAAACAAGTGAGTGACTGTGGTAAAATGTCACTTGAAATGTAAACGTCTCTTTGCTGTGCATCACTACATAGTATAAAACAAAGTCGTCCCGCTGTCTGTCTGTCCCTATGTATGCTTATCTTTAAAACTACACAACGAATCTTGATGCGGTTTATTTACTAGATAGAGTGATTCAAGAGGAAGGTTCATAATTATGTATAATATATTGCACCCGTGCGAAGCCGGGGAGGGTCGCGAGTTTAAAATAAAAATGGCGGATTTTCATAAAAATTTGCAGGCCCCGTTGTGATTCTTTAAAAATGGTTTCTTAATGAAAGTTGTTTTCTACGTTGAATACTTTAATGAATATAACAATTAGTATATAAATTATAATTATAATAATTGTAAAAACAACACACAGTTTGCATAGTTAACTTTGATTGCGTCGTTCATGGATTTTGATCACAATTAATTGAGAATTTTTTTTTAATTGAGAACATTCTAAAGAAAGCTATCCTATCCATTAACTTTCGTATAGGTTATAAAATGTTTATATCCTCATTATGGTTTTAGTTGTTTCATAAACACCATATACCTACAGAAAATTTTATGTTACTTTTTCTTAACTTGGCTGCAAGTTTCAAAGCATTACTTCAGAATTTAAAACTATATTTTTGTATTACATGAGATGAAGACAGAATACATTTAAATAAACTTAAATAACACGAACTTTATTTTGAGGTAATTTTTTTTAAAAATATTTAAATTAAAAATTACAGTAAGAGATATAATTATGAACTATAATAAAATAATTAGTAGGTACAATAAAACTGCTAGTTACATATTCCAAAAAAATGTTGTATTATAATATATTCTACATTGACAGTAATTATAATTAGTACTTCATGTTGTATTACAGAACCGGGATTTGTACTCAGGTTGCAAGTACCTATATTTTATTTAAAGTGGTCCATTACGGCATCCATTAAATTGTTTATTGTATTTTTAAACTCACAAACACACGTCCTATAGCAAAGGGGTGATCAAAATCTTAGGGCCTAGGTCTAATTGGCCAAGAGTTTTTAAAAGTCGGTGTTGCGGTCAAAGGAATATGTGAAATCTGCTAATCCGCAGTGCGGTAGCGTGGTGGAACATGCCCTCTGCACAGGAGACGTTTTCCCGGCTAATACTTACCCATATCATTATCATTACGCTGTTACGAGCTATTTTCTGAAACCTAATTTAGAATTGCAACGCTTTCCTGATACGTTTAACATTAACTTTGGACAGGATGATGAAAACGTAACAGTAACTACTGCGGGTCGGGCAACTATAAATTGGACTTGGCGAAAGTTTAAACGGGATCAACCGTTCGAAATGCGAATTTAAAACGGGGGTGAAACTGTCACGGAGTCCAAGTGGATTAGAGGGCCTGCCCATAGCGAGTCGACCGCACCGCCGGCCTCTTCCGCAGCCCAAACTCCATTCGCCTTAACACCACGTCTTCGATAAAAATAGTAGTCTGAAAAAATAGTATATCTTTACATCACTGCACGTATGATTAATTTATGCGATCTATCGTCACTTTATTATGTTGAAAATCTATGTGATATGAATTTTTGACAATAGTCCTTGATTGACTACAAAGATTTATTAATTGATTGACCACATAGGTATGCATTTTGCTTACAAGTGAAAAAATTAATATGTGCCTAATCCACTATACACATTACGATAGTATTTAGTCATTCACTCTTGGAGTGAATAGAAAATTGTAGAAATGAATTGAGTAATAGAAACAACACAAATCCGCTAATAAACAACTAACGATCGAGCTTTCGTTAAATAGATAAAATTTGGTTCTTAAAGGAATATTTGCTGAGTAAATTACAGTTAATTATTATTGCTGCAGTTATTATATTTCGAAAAAGTTATTATATTTAAAAAGGGTCCAGATACATCCATAATACTAATGTAACTACTCGTTAAAATCTTAATTTTTGATTCGTAGAGTCAATGCAACACACGTTTATGAAAAGTATTTTTATGTGAAAGTTGGCAGTTCAGTTGATATTAAGTGATTACTTTGTAGGTAATAAACACGATATAGTATTACTTGCCGATGATACTTCATTAATTTTTAAAAATGATCGACAGCTTTTTACACTTGACGAGGTAAATATTGCTATGTCAGAAATAGTCTATTGGCTTAATACTAACAATCTACTATTATATGGTAATAAAACTAAATGTATGAAATTTTCAAACCTAATGTTAAACATTTGGGTGCTACCAATGTACATATAAATGGGGAGAGTTAAGCCTTGTGGATACGACTGTCTTTCTTGGAATAACTGTCGATGCAAAGCTTCAATGGGGTCCGCATATATCCAAACTTGCGAATAGACTAAGTTCTGCAGCGTATGCTATAAGGAAAATAAGATGTCTAACTGATGTAAAAACAGCTAGAATTGTGTATTTTAGTTACTTCCATAGCATGATGTCATATGGTATTTTGCTATGGGGGCACGCGGCCGATATAAAAACAATGTTTATTTTGAAAAAAAAAAAAAAGGCCATAAGAGCTTTTTATAATCTAGATTTGAATGCATCTTTGAGAGAGAAGTTTAAAGAAATAAATATATTAACCTTAGCCTCTCAATCTAATATATAAAATTCTCGTGTCACGGGGTTCGAACTTGAACTCCTCCGAAACGGCTCGACCGATTTTTACCAAATTTTATATGCGTATTCAGTAGGTCTGAGAATCGCCTACTATCTATTTTTCGTCCCCCTAAATGTTAAGGGGGTAGTCCACCCCAAATTTTTTTTTTATTTTTTTATATAAAACTTTTTGTTTCTATTTTTTTATGACACAACATACAAAAATACATACAACCCTAAATTTTCACCCCTCTACGCAGACGTAGTCGCGGGCAGCAGCTAGTATATATATATGAATATGTTATGTATGTACGTAGAAATATTAATAATTTTGATAAGAATACTGATGTACATAATGTGAACACTAGGAACAAACACAAGCTTGTAACGCCAGTTACTAGACTCCATAGAGTAAGTAACTCGTTCATGGGGCGGTGTATACACTTTTACAACAAAATCCCAGTAAATGCGCAAAACCTGCCTATTAACAGGTTTAAGAAATTTATTAAAGAAAAACTTTATAAAAAGAGTTATTATAATACAAATGAATACAATGAATACAAATGAATACAATGACAATAACCTCTGGGAATGAGTTGATCGCTCCCAAGCTATTTCTAAAAGGAAAAAAAAATCAGTTGTATAGTATTTTTTTTTAAGAAAAAGAAATGAATTACGAAAACCTACTGAGATTCTTACGCCTGTTTCTTCTCCGCTAGAGGAACCTCATTACGAATCGGTGATAGATTAAAAAAAATATATGACTATCGATAGATGAAATGTAAGTTTCTTATGTCGATGAATAAATAATTTTATTTTATATTTTTTGATTTTACCGTCATTAATGGATATCAACACCATTTGAAGGGCAAGCAGATGCGCCGCCCCTTTTTAAAAAAGTCCTCGATTTCCTCTCTCACCAGACAAAATGTTACTTATAATTCTTTAACACCACGCCGCTATTATTATGAGCATTTGTTACTACCCCGGATGAGCCAGCCTATTCGTGCAACAGCAGCTGCTGCTACCGACCACAGAAGAACAATTACTCATCGTAGGAAAACCTCCAATACTTTTTGTTTATTCACTTACTTCAGAAGGAAACTTTGATATTAATATATAGTGAAGTTTCTTTTAATTCAATCCGAGTCTATTATTTTACATATGAATAGCAACACCATAATACATTATACTTAATTTACATACACAGGTTACATTCATTACTTGTTTCTTCGTATAAATATAATTATGACGTTGGAAGACTTATTACTTATTAGTTTGAATATTCATTATTTGTACTATTTAAAGTACTGTCCGTCTCTACGTGCAAACCGTTACTCAATATTTTTCCAATGTAAAAAATAATTTACTTTCTTATTTGAATTTTGTGTTCTGCTTACAGATGTCGACATTAAATCGGAGAGCATGGACAGCTTCGAATCCGGTGAGTTGCTTTACGAATATACAGCAGGTATATAAAGAGACGATTAGGGATGTGCGTGAGCTTAGCGTTAATATTTGAATAGTGAAAAGTGTAAAAAGCGCAAGTAGGAGGTGGTAGGACATCGGCGTATTTAACGGAGCCCTGGAGGGCCCTTGACCAAGTCCCGGCCTCGCAGTACTGCCGAAAAGATAAAATGAACATAAAGTTGAGGAGCGGATATGCCCGCTCTGAGGAATCGTAGTTTCTCTCCCGGCGACACTAAACCGCGGCTACGAGTGGAAACACGCAGTTTGCGGAAGCGGGGCGCGCGTGCTCCCGCCTCTGACGTCCGTTTCGAGACGCCACCAAGCGCATTCCCAGTTTAATGGCGTTTTCTTTCTAACTCGCCCGCTCTATTAAGATATTCTAAGTCCTAAATTGTGGACTTTTCGTAGTTATTAGTAATAGAGTTGGTAATTTACAGTCATAAGTTATTGCCAACCCTTTGTAAAGTACCAACTTTATCAAATTAATGAAACAAAATTATTATAAAGGTTAACATAGTCTGCGGTCATCTTTTTTTGTTACTACATGTGTGATGTTTATTTCTTTCATGTTACTTATTCACTGTAATACATTATGCAACCGTTGCTTACTTTCTTTTTACAAATAGTTTTTTAATTGCGCGTCAAACATATAATCATCTGCGATAATGCAGTAAACTCTGTAGGATTTCTTGTTCCACGTGTGAATAGAACCTAATTACTACCCACGTTGTCTATACTATATAGTACAGAAATTATGCCATGAAACATCTGTTTTCTATATGGCATGAATTAACAAAAAATATTACTATAAGACGTACGATTTTTGTATATAGATTAACACAATACAATCGTCCGTCGAAGTGTGTAGTTGGTGCCGATGGAAAGGCGACGCGATAATTGTATTGTGAAAGCGGTACCGTTCCGAACTTACAATTAAAACGGACGCCTCAAATTGTGTACATCGTTCGTCACTTAGAATGCGGTGGCCGCAGCCAGTCGGAGTGCACGAGCGCGAGCTTCGTATTTAACTTGTAAACAAATTAGACTACTCTCCTTTATTAAATTCAGCCTTGTATAACGTAAAAAAAAAGTAAACGTGCCAGAACAGTGGCGCGTCTACATTATTTATAACGTGTTTTTCTTCTTAACATCTGTGAAAAATATAATCTTAAATAGTAACGCTATCATGTCATGAGTACGCAAGCTTTTCGTATTTATACTTTCATAACCTTAGCAATGACATGTATTTTAGGAATATTAATGTCGAGTGGACTTCTATAATTATTCCCGCCTAACATTCGCGCGTAAACTTAATTGTCACCTTAAATGAAGGCACGCTGACTTTTACCGGGCCGTGCGGCGTCCGACACGATTCTGCAATCAGGTGCAGTTTAAAATGTGCATTTACGATGTGGCGCCGCGCCGGGCGCAGGGCGCGGATATAAATGCATTTTCAATAATTGAGGGTCAGACGGGGTGGTGGGAGCGCATTAAAATGTTCCGCAGCTAAACTTTCCGCACGTCAACGGTCCGCGAATCGGGCAGAGAGCCGAAATCCGGACTGCTAATATAAGCCAATAGCTAAATATAACTGGACATGCTGTTGCTATTTCTTTCGCTATTCTGATATTCGACCCTGAAATGTGACCTGATTGACTCCTTGATACTGAGACACTTTATTTTTTATTCATAAGACAAGCATGTTAGATTAGGAATGGCGATTAATTTTATGACAAAATATACATATAAAAGGTTGTTTTGAATCCTAATAAAAGTCACTGAAAGTTACTTTAATTGTGGTAACTGTGTATCTGCGAATGTGATGATATATTTTGAACATGTAATATTGGTATAATAAAGATAATCACCTACCACATCTTCGTATCTATAATGAACGTGGTGTCAGTTGGCCCAAGAAATGTAAGAAAAATTTATGCTAGGGGTACGATTAGATTACTTAAAATTAAACTATATTATGTGCATGCGTGAACTAAACAACGTCTGGTCCTACATTTCTCATTAGTGAACTGTTCAAACTGCTAGTAACAGTTAAGTACCTGCTCCCTCGAAACACGGCCTGACACTGAGTTAATTTAAACCTGTGAAGACGGGTCTACTACAACAATCACATGGATACGGTGACATTAATATTCCACTGCTTAAAGAAATAAGATGTATCGATGTTATTATTTTTATAGTATCTTATATCGTAGAAACGATTATGATTTCGATGTTAATGTTGCTGTCGGATTGCACCTATTGCGCCGAGTTGATTCAAGGCCGATGAGAGAAGCTTTTAGGCGTTGATTTAAATTCACAGACAGAATGCAACATCCATGACTGCATCCACGTCAGTTGTTATTACAACGCTGTTGATCGCGTCCTAATGATGTCACGCATTCGATTTTAGCAAAGAAATTAAAATATAAAATACCCATATGCATCTTTACATATTATATATGTTACTATATTCTTTTTTCAATTTCATTTCATTATTTTTTTTAATTAATTAATTCATTCCGAGCTTAGTTATGTTGCTAATATTTGTTCTATATATACAACTCACACACGACCTATTTGCGTTTCGCTTTGCCGATTAGAATTTCACCTTTATAAATATTAGCCAATGAGCCAGTAATTTATCCACTGTTGAACAGAGATCTGAAACGAAACAGTTTGCCATTTGCATACTCGTTGCTAGCTACTCTTACATATTTATCATCTATTACTGCGATTCCAAGACACCTATATATTGACAATAAACTAATGACCATTACTTAATACCATTCCACCCGATGGTAAGTCGTGTTGGCGGAGAACAAATTAGCTTAGTAGAAGCCTGTTCTTTATCTTGTAGAATTTAACAGAGATTAATCCGATGGCTGAATAAAAAATCCCCTTTCTTCCTCTTTAAACAGTGCGGTAATATATTTAACACGTCACTTAATAGATTAACATAGTATTCCAAAACTCTATCTAAAATTTTAAGTCTAGTATCGTTCAAACTTCAGTAGCTCAGCTATTCGGTTGATGGCGCATTGATAGTAGGTATCTTCATGTAATAGTGAAAATATTGGTTATACGTCTTCGCTTTCGGTGTCGGAAAGTTGTTGAAACTTAACGCAATCTTCATCTTTATTTCTCACCACATTTGTCGTTACAAATACTACTATTACTTCATTCTTTTATTTCATCAAACAAACGAAGACAAACAAAGAGAAGTTTTCGCCTGTTATTTCTCAGGGAGATCACGTAGGCGCGCACCTCATCTGCGGCGGTCCCAATGCGACGATAAAATTTAAAATTCAAGGCCGCGTTAACGAACCGGCCTCGCGAAGAAATAGATATTCAAATGCGAGGTCCCATATTAACATTTATGGCAAGTTTGCGGGGACGAGACAAAGGCAGGCCCCCGCGGAGTGTTGTCGACCGTCGCGTTGCCGCGGCTTTCGACGGCTTTACAATAAGCTTTTTTTCAAGTAACAATGATTCGAGTTTGTTTTGATCGAAATTCAAATATAGATCAACAATTTTCTTGTTTCCATTTTAACCTACAGCTCATTGTTACGAACTTGAACATTACTTGATTTATCTTAGAAAGCAGATAAAATAAGCTTCTGCACGTGTGTTGCAATTTTTAAAAATACCTAATTTTTCATTAGTGTCTCGAGTTTTCGAGTGGGAATATCGCAACGGCTAACAGTTTTGAAATCTGGCCACGTTTTGACATTAGAAACTGTTTACGCAAACTGCCGCGATTTTGGCTTTTATGTCAGAAGATGGCAAGCGAGCTGCCGGTTCAGCTGTTTTATTAAAAGGTGGCAGATACTTTGACACCTTTTAATAAAATGGGCCCTCGCTTACTCTACTCACCAGACGAAACACAGAAATATAACACTTTCACTTCACGCCGGTCTTCTGTGAAGTTGTGGTGCTTACCCTGACGGACCTGCCCAGGGCATTATTATAATAGAGAAGATTGTTGCGTGGTTCTAATAAATCGGGAACTTTTTGTGAAAAGGTTGCGGAATTATGCTTCAATGACAATAATAAAATTATTATCCTCATCGTAGCATTAGTTGGATGTTTGCTTCCACTAATGCACAATAACAAAATTCATAAGCACAATTCTTCACAGCTTAGCCAAAATCCATTTTCCTACATATTCATCTTACTGATTATTATAATGGTCAGCAATTTTAAATTTAGCACTTTTTTAATCCTTTTTGCCTGAAATATTTTACGCCTCTGCAAAATTAGACAAACAAATACGGTTTTTAGAAAGCAACGGAGAGATTTGAGCGTCTAACTTCTCAACAAAGCAAAGTAAAGAGGTCTTTTGTAGTTGCAGTTAAAGTGTGGAGTAGCTTTGTCTTAAGAAGGAGGTGCTTAGGTTCATAAATATTTCCGCATGATGATTTTTGAATTGTCTAACAACGACTATTACTTAGTGCGAGAAGGACGCCATAAACAAGAAAAGGCAAGTGAGCGAGGCTTTGTGCTAGCAGTACTATTCGCACTGAAGACAAATAAAACTTTCTTAGGAAACAAATCAAAATCTCAATTCTCCTAGCTGCATTATTTATGTGATATTGCTTGGTGACTGTCTACGTCCCCCTTTTTCTTCGGCATAAAGTTGCGGCCTACATTATTCTTGTTCCCGCGACTTTCGGGGCGGTGCTTAAAAATGATAAACCGTTTTGATTGCTCACCTATTGTGTTCTCGATCGGTTTCGTCGACGGATTAAATCTTCAAAGAATATATTATGTTCGTTGTGAATTGGAAATTATCTAATGCAGCGGGAGACTAAATCGGTACAAGTAGAGTTTCGTTGCGAACGGGGTTTTTATGCCGCACACACGTTTCTTATTAATATCGGGCGGTCGGAATGGCCGAAGACGTCCCCAGCGCCCGTTCTCTCCCAAATAAAATTGCCGCTATCTAAACAAAGAGCCCTAATTATTCGGCCGTGGCGGGCGGGGTCGCTCTCTTATGGGTGTTCTGGGGCCCATTTCGCTTCTCGTATAGGGCCCCGGGGAGAAGCGGGCGCCGCCTGGCCAATCGCTGGATGGAGGAACGGAATCCGCAACCTTTTTGCACGCGCCATCGGCACCGGCGTCGGCGCCAACAACACCCGCGGCCCCCACCCACCCGCCAACGGATTTAAAGTTGCAAACCACATGTCCGATTACAAACAACTTACGTCCACCGTATACCGATCTCGATAAGCTGCAAGCGATTTATTAGCGCCGATTTGTAAGTTACTTTGTTCCGGTCCGTATTTACGTTCTCAGTAAGAGTGCACCTCCGAATAATCTAGTTCAACGTTAATATCGCAATACAGAATCTATTGAAAGGCTTCATATTTCCCTTTGCGCAATAAAAAGCCTCCAATAGGTGTCCATTATGTGAAATTTGAATGTGAACCGAGGTTTTAAAAGGACGGCGGCACCGGTTGTACACTTTAGAACTTATTTTAATTTGCACCCGATTTTATTTTGAGACAATAAATTGGATATAAAGGGTTTCCGAGCGGTTTTTGCCTCCGGGCGCATTGTCTTCGCCCTACGCCTTTGCAGGATTTTCATTGTATAGGAATTATGAAATAAAAAGGCGATATCGTATGTCGGAGCGAGCGGAGGGCGGGCGCGGTGTGGGCGACGCGAGGCCGACACATGACACCCGCAATCGCGTCAGCGCCCGCGCCCGCTACCCGCGCCCGCGCCCGCTCACGCCTGAGCGCCCGCTGCCGCCATTGTCCGCAGCCATTCACCCGCCGCCTCATATTCGATTGCAATGTTTTAAGCATTCGATTGCCCTCGCCGCTATTAAGGGTTCCCAAGAAACACATATAATATGAGGTTTTTTCACGTTTTGTAGTCTTTTGCCCGAACGAAGGGTACGCTTATTGTTTCTGTAGTGAATTGCGTCGAGTGAATGGGATCCGAGCATTCATGGGCTTGGAGATCGCAAGGTGATTATAACAAGCAGGCGGTCTGGGGCGGTCCATGGTCACCCGAGGTGTCGAAACAAACCACCTTCTTTATTATACCATGCCTTAAAACATTACGATTATAACGGAACGTTGTTGTTGCCGTTCATTTGCTATAATTTAATCCAGTGTTGAATAGTATGCGCTTAATAGTTTAATCCAGTGTGGTGGGCTGCCCCACAGTCTTCGCTGATGCACGAATGGTCAGGTCCGTCCGGGTAAATACCAGTGCCTCACAGACGACCGGCGTGAAGTGGAAATGTTATACTAACGCATCTCTTCGGGTAAGTAAGGTAGCCGGGGCCCACTTCATTATAAAGGGTGCGGGTGCTGCAAATGTGAATGGGCGGCGGTTATCACTTAACATCGGGGGTACCGCCATCTCGCTTGTCACCTTTCCACATAACAAAATAGGCGCGAGACGACAATTTTCTTCGTTAATTTAAGAACTATGCCATACTTAAAAAGTTATAAGAAAGGAGCGAAGACATTAAATTGCTAAGGGGAACTTTTGGGTACCTACGTTATCAGTGCCGGTTTGTACTCTGTGGTCTTCATTTTTTAAAACGTTGTCCGTCCCGTAGTATAATCTTGCGTTGTAAGGATGTTTTACATACATTTCATTCGGTTTAACATTCTGATCTAGCATTTTTACCTTAGGATCACGTAAATACTAGCCCCATGTGTGAATCGAACCCACGACCGGCGCCAAGGCCCACAGCTTTGCAACTGAGCCATCCATCGCTTCTCTATTTATTTCTACCACAAATACATATTTTTATGAAATATTAATTTAAATATTTTTATTAACGTAATCGTCCATTATCTACAGCCTCGTGACCAATGGATAGATAGTCCACTGTCTAAATGTTATTTAGATAATGAATAAAATAAGTAAATGGCAATAGTTTAATTTGTCTTCTCTAGTGTATAGCTGAGAAGATAAATATTTCATTGGACAAAATGATTTATTTCATTATTTAAACATTTTCAAAACTGACTACAATCTCTTTATTTTTATAGTATCGTGATATTTTATGGTAGGTTAAATATTAAACTCATAAAATCTCAATTTATTTTTATTTTACTCATCCGCCATATCTATGTTCATACATATGTATATTCATATTAGTTTATCTAGAAAACTAAGATTGAAAATATTCCTTATTAAACTTCACTGGTACTTTGAACACCAAAACACGACCCTATCACGTCGATATTTCTCTACTTACAATAAGTGAATTTTAAAATTTAATTAAATTTAAGTAAAATAAGTTTTTTCACCTCAAAATGCACCATCGACACTTTCAGCAATCTCTTGGGAACTGATTTACACGGGTCAGCCTTTTTTATCTATGCATGTGGACTATAATGTTCGGTCCGGTTGGACCGCATGTCTTAGGAGACTAACATTTGACTACTGTATCGGGAGAATTCAGTTTCATTTAATTTTCATTCAGGGGGCGTATCTTACCTGGACTTTATTAAGCGTTCCTTAGTAATGATTATCACAAAGTTTGCTGTTAGCTAAGGCTAATAAAAGAATTAGCCATTGAGTGTGCTGGATTAAATTCCCGGATATCGTATAACACGAGAAAATGCTGGTCTGGCTTGGTCTGTATTGTCTGTTCTATTACAGACCTTATTATGGTCCTATTGAGTTATGCGCTTGACTTGGTATTTCCGTGAATCCGTTGGATTATTGCACTTTATTAGAGCATCATTGGCAGCCCTTATCTCTTGGTTTTGTGTGGAGCCGGTGAACTCCACACTTTCTCAGAACGCGTACAACAGCTTCGTCTATGTTCGATTCTTCGTTCAACGGAAGAAGTTAAATCGGCGACCTTCTCGGCCCTGGGGAGGTTCGGATATTGCGTCGACTCTTGACACAGATGCACTTAACTATGCATGGACAGAGATGCCGCACTCCCGAAACCGAAAACTTGGCAAAGTTTCAGATTGTCAATTTTAAAGTTTATCCTGAAAACTTTTACGCGTGTGACACTGTTGATTAATTTATACTTTGCGAGCTTCAATGCTCAATATTCGTGCCGAAATTTGTTTTTGGTAAGTCATAACTGTGTCATCATTGAATCGCGGATCATTAGATCAGTGTCCGGGCGGATGCCTTCTATTCGATTTTCAGCAATTTATTTTTAAATCCCGGTGCAGGATCAAGTGCCATTTCCAAGTGCCAATTTACAACATGCTCGACGTAACACATGAAATAATTTTAAGAAACGTGAAATATGGCTGGTAAATATTTAAGTTAAATATTTCATCTGTATATAGGAATCAGATCCATTATTAAAGTGTGTTTATGTTTGCACGGAGACTAATAGTTCGTTGTGCATCAAACACAATGACCGTGGTTTTGTTCGCTTCCAAATCGTTTACTTTAAGTCTGTTATAACGAATCGTTCGCAATGCTGACGATGATCAGCTCGCAGTGTGATACGGTAATCGGCAATTGCAATTTCACACCTCTTACCCCGGGGTCGACAACAGTCCGTGGTTTTCGGGAATTGCGATTCCGGCCTCGGAGGCGTGAAATCGCGACGCTCATCGATTTCCTCGTCCGGCGGTGCGTTTGCAGTTGCATTGTTTGAACGGGGCCGTGACATCTGCAGCTGTCTGCGCGGTGATTTTTGGTCTGGTGGGCACGGCGGGCCACCGGCCAGGAGGCGGCAGGGGACGCGGGCAGGCGCCGGAAAGCCGTGGGAACCGAGACCAAACCGATTCCGTAACTGTCGATCGCGCAGTTTTTATCGCGCAAGTTTTTATCTTTTTCAGAATAATACGCATGTACGTCGCACTTACCCGGCCGTCGAAGGAGGCACTGTTATGTCGAGCGTACGTATGTATTTCTCCTGGCCCTATTCCACCGCGTTCGGCACAACATGTGATTTATGTAGCTCATGATATTGGAACGTTTTTTTATGACAGCCAGCCTGATGTCTACCTTCCTTGAGAATAAACATCCAGATCGAGAACAATTATCGCTGTTTCGCGCTAGTTTTTGTCAAGAGTGGGAATCGGCGCTGAAACCAGTAGCTTTGTGACTGTGCCAACGGGTCACCTTCCAAGTCAATTATACATATATATGTTTGTTTAATTCTTTGATATGCTCTACAGCTTACACCTGTTCCATATTGTAAGGTGTCATAAGATTCTTCGTAGTTGTGGGAGTGACATAGGCTGTATTGTTTCAATATATTATAGTTATCATTTTAATGTAGCCTGTTTTTATTTGTTTTATTTTACAATTTAGTACACAATTCGATTCGATACTTCTACTCGAAGGTAAAGACCGCTAGCAGAGCAACAAATGTTTACATAACTATTCTTGCGGTACGAATGGAACTGCTCGACAGGAGACGTAAAACGATAGAACTCATAGAAGTCTGGCGTGAAGTATATGGTGTAGTTTTCCATTAGTGAGTGAGCTGGGAGCCCATACACTCGGTAGAATGCTGTTGGTAACTAGCAAGTCCGATGTCGAAAAATGCATGGGTCGCGGTTTTTACTTAAAATCAGGAAAACACTTTCTCAAAAGTATCATGAAGTATAAAAATAAAATGTCTTTACTGGAGAGTCCTCGGTGGACTATGCTTTGTTTAACAACTGTCTTGTGTAATGATCTGAATGTTATGGATTATAAATGACAGACTTATTATTTTTTTATTAAAAACTTTTTATATACCGTTGGGCATTTTTGGATTGGGGAAAAAGCATAATATGTCTTCGACACTAACGTACCACCATAAAGAGCAGCGCATCGATTATATATTGATGATGATTACGATAAATAGTAAAAGAACGCAATAGAATTTTAACGCTTTATTAATACATTAATAAAAATTATTTCTAATAATAATACTTGAAAAAAATATTTCTTAATAACGCTGAAAATAATGTTAAAGCTAAGGAGTTTCACTTCCGAAGTAGAGTCTTACGACTGACAGTTTTTTTTCACGAATGTTACAATTTATTTCTACTCCACTTCTAATTTATGGCAATGGCTATGAATGAAAATTACAATAGATAGCTTACACATAGGAGACTCGTATGAACTGTACCATTTATTTCTAATGAAACACTTAGCCTCAGCCGTTGGGTATTAGCTGATTAAACGTCCCCCTGTTGAGAACTTACACCCACACAATAGCATAACATTTGTGATATTGATCCTTTTTCAGTGTTACTCGGTACTGTGATAATGTTAGCTCACCTGTCACAAAATTTTACGTCGCTAAATAATGTAAAACCAAAATTATATATTAAATAATTTATCAAAGGCACAATAGAAAATCTTTATTGATGTTTAACTAAAAGTTGCAAAGAAATGTTTCAAAAATTTTTACAGAAGTTATTTTGCTTGCACATAGAATATAAGTAAATTCTGGTGGATTTAAAACTGTAATGCAATGATATTGTATACAAATATACTGATACTAGCGCACCGAAATTGAGGCACGCAAATTACACCACTTGGTGCAATTAGATTGCAATTCTATAGACTGCTGTACCTTTCCATATCATACGTTTTATATCATCTGTCAAATTCACTTATAAATGTCATATAATGTAAAGCGAAACTATTTTTGATTGAACGCCGCGCAGTATGGACATGCGTCATTTATGTTATAAAACATCATTGCATTGTAAAAGCATAAATTATACTTGTGCTTTTCAAGACGAAAGATTTCTTCAGATATTTACTCCGGCTTAGTCACTCAAATAAGAAAACTTATGAATATTTAGAGCTCTTTATCATGTTGGTGCTAGGTCTTAGACAGTGTGCTAAGTTGATTAAGGTAGTCCTTGATTAAGGTATTTACAATAAACAATAAATCAATGAATTTGACACAATTATGTAAAAAAAATAGGAATTTGCTAAACAACCATTTGGTGAAAATTTGTTTGAAAACCTAATTAATTTTTCGAGCCTAGAGAGACCCCTAAATTACAAAATAAAATAATAGAAAGGTGGGCGGAAAATACAAAGCACTTTTCCACAAGTCGTCGGAATGTGTTCTATGTGATCGACGCCACAGAGTTCTGGATAGTCATGACATAAGATCGATCATAAGGGCATTTTGCAAGCGGCAAGCGAGATCTTAAATTGGATATAAGTGATTTGACACATGAAGCTAAGTTTGTTCTGTAGCGGAAACCACTATAAAGACGTGAGATCCATCTATAAGCAAGAGATGACGATAGCCTATCTAGAAGAGCGGCGCATCTGAACGGTTTGGGTACGCTATACGTTTAAATAATTATAAACCGTCACATAGCCCTCACCGAGCGACCGCGCCACTCGTAAAATCGGTAATAGATTCGCGCACAGATGAAATGAGAGATGAGTTGGGCGTTTTATCAGCGATTAGATGTAAGGCGCGTGGCCGCAGCGGCGAAGTGTCGCAAAGAGCGTCCGATGGTATCGTGGCCCTTTCATCTCGCCGCCACGCCGCGTCGCTTACGCCACCGTTTACTGAGGCATCGCGATGGCGATCGTCTATTTGGGTTCCGTAATTATATCGAATTACTCTGACCAGTGTCTCACGATATTTCAAGCGATCTTTGGCCATAGTTAGATATTTTGCGCTAATGTACACGTCCAACTTTCTTAACAACTTGAATCAAGTAAATGTAATGGTATATTTGATTAAAATTATATAGAATTAAATTTATAAATATATTTGTAATACATATAATAAAATACATGATCGACAATAGTACATTTTTCGTTACAGCAAAAGTTTCATATAAATTTGCACCATTACATTTTTCTGACTCTACATGTTTATGTGTAGCGCAATCTACCGACAAAAGCGGAAAGCTCTATTTTCAGCGAGGGTTCTAATCTAAGGGATGTTTCGCTGACTCTTCACATTAACACTGACATCTAACGGTAAACCACCGAATCATTACACTATTGTACAAAGCTACCAAACTTGTCACTACAATTTTAAGAGACAGATGTGTGAAGAGAAGAAAGAAGTTTGTTTACAAGTGAAAAAAGCTTTAGGTTGAGATGAGATGAATGCTGCTTTGTTGAACGTTGCTGTTGAAATATTCAATGTAAAAAAATTCTTATATCATATATTATTGTTACTTATATCGAAACCTTAGAAACTTTTATCATATTTATAAACCAACGTTAAACTTTTAACAAAGGTTTAAAATAAGGTTACAAAATATTTAGCCAGAACAATTTTTATGTGAGAAGTTGGTAAGCGAGCAGTCGGTTAACCTGATGTTAAGATTTTTTATTGTGATTCATATGTTAAGACTGATTTTATGTGTAGCGTCGTCCATGGACATCTACAACTCCTTTTAAGAATTATGACCCCAGTTATTTCGCTTACTAGACGAAGCAAAATACTACCATTTCAAGCCGGTATACTGTGTAGTCATTATACGAGCCTGCACAATCGTGCAATGGAAGCTGGAATGGCCGTATCATAATAAACAATAATTTTACGACCCGAATAGCGTAGTGGGTACCTGCCTCCTGCGCCAGAGGGTGTAGGTTCGATCCCCTTCACTGGAAAAATATTATATGATGTACATAGTGTTTTTCTAGTGTCTGGGTGTTTGCATATGTATATAATATGTATTTATTTTCAAAATAAAAATATGTTTAAGTATGTTTATCAGTTTTATAGTAGCCATAGTACAAGCGTTGATTAGTTTGTTAACCTAAAAACATGCCATCGAAAATAAATTGGTGTAAGTGAGAAACTGGAAGCTCTCTTCGCTGTTGCATGAATGGGCAGGTCCGTCCGGGTAAGTACCACGAGCTCACAAAAGACCGGCGTGAAATGGAAGTGCTATACTTTTGCGTTTCGTCTGGTGAATGAGGTAGCCGGGGCCCACTATGTTATAAGGTGGCAACGCATCTGCAACTCCACAAGTGTTGCAAATGTCCATGGGCGGCGGTTGATCCGCCAGCTCGTTTGCCACCATCTCGCATAAAAAAAGCAAATCTATTCTAAATGGATATAAGAAGTACTAATCTCGGATGGACCCTTCCGACCTTTGAATAAACACCACCAAAAACTACACTACACCGCTGAGATGCTTATGAATTAATGAAGTACACATATCACAGTCTTCGCACTATAGCACTTTTAAGAACTCTTTGTTTTCGAAAATTGTGTTTCTATTATAGTTAAGATAGATTGCCAATTTATAAATTAAGCATAATTTTCTTATCGAATATGTCCCAACTAGGTAAATTCCTCATTTATACTGACAGGGACACAGTTCGACGCTCGGCCCAAGCACGATTTACAAATTAACTTTTGCTTTTGTTTTATTTTTCTTTAAATATTGCTCTTACCTTGGGATAACATTATCCTGTGTTGTAAGGACGTTTTACAAACAATGATACTTAAGTAAAGGTTTTTTTGTTTAATTCTTACTAAATTATGTACTTGTCATAAGGTTGTGTCACAAAAAGAAAGTACTGGAGTCATTTCATTAGTATATATTAGTATATATTATACAGTATAGTATTCTTTAAAGTGAATTTATTTTAATTTATTTTTGATTTTTTATTGTTAGTCTATTCTTTGTATTTAATTTTTTATGAATTAGTTTTTTTGTTTATTAAACTTTGTCACAATATTGTAAATGTTGTACACACCTGTTATAGGTGTACATATTAGGTCCATTGTTTTTTTTATTTTTTCCTTTTTTGTAAGTTGTGTAAATATGTATACTGTTGGTGTTTCTTAAATAAAATAAATAAATAAATAAAAATAAATAAAGTTAAGTCAAATTTGTGACAGAAGGACATACAAAGGGAATATCAGTAGAGATTTGAGAGTTGCCAATATCGGCCAACACGAGACTTTTGTGTATCGAAGATGTCCTCTATCTTTGATAATAAGTCTTGTTACTTCTTACTATATGCCCTACACCATTAAGAATATGTCCACGTTAACATAAGTGAAACATTTGTTTCTTCTGGTGTCTTAAAGGCCTTTCACAGGGGTGTCACATTATTACTCTTACACAACGTCATTTCTTCAATCAATTCTCATTCGTTTAACGATAATATCTACTGCATAGGTAGTATTATAACTGCTCTATATAAACTATGTGCTCGAGTAATGGAATCTCGAAACAGCAATACCTTATGCCAGCTGCATTAAATCTATCTAGGAGACTTAATAGAGACCTTTAATTTTATATACCTACGGGTCTCGTAGTTGAACTAGAAGCTATTTACACTTCTGTGGGTATGAAATTGCATCATTTGATTCCTAATACTTCAAATGGTGAAAGGGCATACCATTCTGCCACTGGATGATTAGACGATTAGTCGCCTACAAAGTTTTTATGTTGACATTTTCAACGCACGACAAAGAAGCTTACCTCATAAGTCATGATACGTACACCAAAAAAAAAGAAGAACCGTCTGTCTCCTAGAGTCTAGGATGTTTAGCCTGATGCAATTTTGGAAACTAAACTGGACGTAATGCGAACATGTTAAGGTTCTGACTTAAAAACGAGCAACTTTGCTTCAAGTATACCTTGAGTAAATGATAAAACTTATAATTTTTAAATTATTTTAGTGATAGATGTCATATTCTTTGATCTTAAGTTTCACTCTAAACTGAGCGTGTGCACCAATGAGTGTTCCCGTTTCTCAGATTTTTACGTGCATTAATCACTGTCTTCTAGTTTTGCCTGATGTACGGTGACAAAACTCGTAGGCTAAATAAGTGAAACGTGATAAGCGTTAGCTATAACTGTTCGCACTCCATGCAGGAACATAAAGTATTTTAAAGAAAACTATTGTAAGCTAAGTTCATATTAAGTACATCGGCACCATCGGCACTTTTCAATCGACTTCAAAAATGGAGGTGGTAAAATCTAATCCCATATTAATTTCATCGGAATTTGACCTTGGACTCTGGAGAATGTATACTCGGTGAGATATTTAAAGTTGGTTTTGTTTTTTGTGTTAACTTGCAGTAAAACATTTTGGGATCTTTTTCAAGAACTGTATTGATGTGCTGTTTGTTAATTTAGCACAAAAGCATTGACGTTTTAAACATGAAAGTAATTATGTACTCATCGATATTTTTGAGTTTTATTTGAAAACAGAAACTAATCTTTTTTGATATGTTATCGTAGATCTATGAAGGCGTTACGCTGGGCGTGGAAGGGGCGGCTAGATCAACGCCCACTGCACCCACGTTAGCACCCATTCTTATCATTTCCACTTTTGAAAACTATTAATATAATTATAGAGTGTAAATGCAAAACCCTTTACATTTACAAGTATGTGTAAAGAATATCGAGATATAAATATTTACTTGTAGGCTTAAAAACATCATTTCCCTACACAAATAAACCGTTATACATTCATTTTTGGTTCTCACAAGATTTTTTTGATTAAAACCTATTATTTCTGCGTAAATATCACTTATTTTGTTCAGATAAGATTGCGTCATAATAACTAAGGGAGTACGTGTCATTTTATATAGACTTAATTTGTTGGGTTGGGACTCACTATGTGCAGATTCGCTTGATCAGTATGCGGAAGAAACCGAAGGCCGTCAACCAAAAACCGATCATCATTCCAATTCAAAGCTCAAAGTAAGCTAATTGCGTTGATCAATTGCCTGACAACATCGGGGAAAAAAACGTAAACAGTGTTTGAATTAAGACGTGGAGGCGTCGCCAATGTGCGGCGGCCGTAATGGCTCCTAAAAGCCGTGAAATGAACGCTGGCGTCGCGACCACCCAAAAATAGGATGCCCGCTTAGTTTTCAATCGATGAATCCGCGCCACTCGATTCCGGCTCCCGGGCTATTTAAAGGCAACTCAAACGCTATAAAACTCTCACCTGGCCAGCTCGTTGTGTTTTTTTATTTAGAACTCCGTTTAAAATGGCCAGTAAGCCAGTAATTTACTAATTAGTGAACTTGAATGTTTCCTAATTTTAGACCTAGTTCTCAATAATAATTCTTGACGACCCTATCGGAGTAAATGAAAAGCGATAGACTTTGGTGCCTCTAAAACATGGATTTATTTTAACTTAGAATGGGCGGAATGTTTATAAAAACTAAAAGAACTAACCCTAATAAGTAGTTAATTAACCAATTTAACATTCAAGCGTAATATAAACTTTGAGATTTACTTACTTTATATATATAAAATTAACGAACACAAATTTATACATATTTATAATTGCAAAGGTTTTTGTCGATTAAAGAGGACAAGCTTTTAGCTACCCATTCAAGGAGTTTTTGGGAATTTGTAAATTTATATATAACATGGTAAATTGAAATGAATGATCAATTTTAAAACGTACTAATTAGGTCGTACCGAAATGTATGAATGTGAATGTGTGAGCATAAAGTATTCGATTAATGGATGAGAACATACCAAAATGCGTCAAACGGTGATGGTATGGAAACAGCTAACATTAAAACTCGATCACGGCGTTGCTTGCGGCTGGAAGCAAACGTTCTGGTCACGACTAACATCGTCGCCCGACGAAAAATCCGCGCCACCATTATTCACTCATTGTGGCGAAGATTAACTTCTATATTACTTATGAGAAATTGGCTTTCCCATCGGCGTTATCGTGAGCGTTCGTAGCTGACGTTATAATCGGAACGGGAGATTAATTTCAAGCTTGGTCAGTTAATTTAATATGAATGATACAATTCTACGTGGAATTGTGAATGGATTGTGGCACAATATGGTCGTCGTGTGGCGTAATATTTGGTGGGAATGAATCGAACGAAAGAATGAATGACACTACATATTTTGTGTCTAATAAGTATCATAAATACATTTTTATTTTGAAATAGTTAGCAAACTGTTAATTTTAACACTACTTTTGTCTACGATTTAATATAAATATAAAAATAATTATATGGGGCAAAATAAAGCGTTAACAACAATATGTTACTTATAAGTTCAAAATTTAGATCAGACTGATCTTTTATTGTGGTATTCGATCGACATACGAGATTGAAAAGAAAGCTTATTTTTAGGCTGCACCTGTCTTTTAAGGGCAACAAATGAAGTCTTTATGGATTTAATTGATTTCTAATGCTCCAAAGTCCATAGTTGACTTAATTTTTATGTTAAAAACAAAAAGTTATTTTTTGTATCTGATTTAAATTACGGATTCGCTTCCAATAAAAAGTTCTAGTCGAATTTGATACGTCGTACTTAACGCTTCAGCAATCATCGATATTAGACAGCAACCGCAATAGGATGGCAGGTGAATGGTGATAGCTGATTGACGAGCAAGCAGGTGCCAAATGGTTCGTTGATATCTCTATCGGCGCGTGCGTAACCAATTTCATCCTTTAGTCCAAATTCGTGCAACGTCTGCGTGTACAATTATTCTTAAGCGACTCGCTACTGGCGAATAAGTCCTACGTCGCAGGGCCTTCCACAACCATGAAATCACGGAACTTAGGTACTCTCAGATTCCAAAAACTATTTTGTTTAAGTGAAAATTTCTATAGGTACGTTGGGAAATTTTGGATAAGGTTAAATTCATTGGTTTTTGCTCTCCTCACAAGTCTGACTCTTAGTATTCGTTTTGTCATTCAAACATCTTTTTCTTCCTCTATCTGTCTCTCTCACTCACGGACATACACAGACGTATACATGCGTGTAACTTTGTTTAATCTTAACATGATTATAATTATGCCTGTTTACACCTGACCATGACGGTGATTTCTATTTAGGTTTTTTTTTATATGTGTTAAAAACTTTTAAATATTTTAACTTGTTGCTTTTGTTTTTGTTATTATTATTATTTTCCTAATACTTTACGAAAATCGTGTCCATGGGATGGCTGAGGTTCATTTGTCTTTATGTTACTGTAAATCCGAGCTACCATAAAATAATTATAAAATATGAACTGCGATAAAATTTGAAGATTCATTTAAATATAAAAAGTTGTATTTTCATTAAATTAAGGAAACATCCCTTGATCAGGATATACTCACTTATGGTATACTTCATGGTTAATCGACTTTGCCGAACCTTAGAAACAGCTTAATGTTACTACTACAATGAAAATTTACACGAAACGGTTTTGAGCAATCCTTCTATATGAGTAAAATATGCCCGGGCCCCCTTAGCTGATCTGTTCAAGCTAAGGCGGCTGTCGCGGCCTGACTCTTTTCGCAAAAAGGATGAAATCATGGATGTGCCAAGCATTGCTTCAAATGCTAAAAAACAATGGAGATAAAAAACGTTAAGAATTTCGTCGGTGTGGCAATCAGCCGTTTAGCTTAGTGGCTTAAGCGTATGGCCGCGAATGCCGAAAACGTGGGTACGATTCCCACAGCGGCGACAATCTTTTCGTACTTTTTCAACATATTTTAATGTTCAATCTAAAGTGCAGAGATTAGCACTATAAAAAAATTTAATTTCTAAAAATTTATAATTTAAATATCCTTAGCAATATCTATACAGCTGTCCAGAGTACGAATTGAAACCACGGCATGTTATAAGATTACCACAAGTCCACAGCTTAGCAAATGCGTTGAGCAAGATTCTCACTTTTATCTCACATACCGATATGTCCGCTTTAAAATCCATCGAGAAGAAAATTCGATAGCTACACAAGATCGGTAATTGGAAGCGTCTATGAAAACATGCCGCAATAACATTGCATGTTTAAGTTTGCACTGAGACGTACATCTGCCCTGGGCTTTGTTTATCACCGCCATTGTGTTTGATAGTTTAGTTGAGGGGCTCTGCACGGCTTCCTCGGCATTTCCTGCCCCGCTCCGATCCCATTGTTGTTATTGTTTGCGCGTCTATGAATTTGCTCGCCGCTCTTGGATTAGTTTACATTCTAAGATACCGTTGGGCAAGACAAGTCGCTGTTGAGTTATGCATTTAATAACATTACAATTATCGCGAAGTATATTATTTAATATATCAATAATAACGTCGATTGATTGGTAACTTGGGTTTTCTTCGCACACTTGATGTATTTTTGATATATGTCTTTTTATCTTATGACTATGGTAATTTCAGAGTACCTAAGAGTTACATAGTCAAGCTAGACTATCAGGTAATGGCATAATTAGGATGGAAATGGTTGACATCAAAATTCCAAGATAATGCTGAATAAAATATTATGCAAAAAGTCTATGAAACTGTAAAGTCATGAAGTTTATTTATTTATTGAATTATTTTATGACAACGTTAAGGAGCTCCCTTTAATATTAGAAAGTTATTAATCAATAATTCAATACTAATGCAAGTTATGTTAAAAACATTTTATTATCATGTTCATGAAACAACCAGGGGGGCTTATAAATAACCTTATTGTTATGAACGTTTATAAATTATTCTCATATACGATATGAATTGTTTGCATAAGAAAATGTAAAATTTAACTTTATTATTATTTTTATTGCGTACTTAAATATATTGGGATAAACAGATCCACCTTAGGGGGCAGTTAAACAACGGAAGCCATTGAAGAATCAAGTAGTGGCTTTAGGAAGCCGGATGCTGGACCCACTACCGGTCAGTTGTCGAGACTTCCTGCGACCTCTGCGAGATGATCTCTCTCACGGAACTTTAGACCAAACAGTGTTTAAAGATTATATAATATGAACAGCGAATAAATTATAATAATCTTTATGATGATAATTTATGAAAATTAGAGGGAAAATATTTTACTATGTTAGGGTCATGTGGCAACTTCTGCTGTTGCACGAATGGCCAGGCTCATCCAGAGAATTACCACGAAAATATGGATAGTAGGCAAAGTGGAAGTATAATACTTTTGTATTTTGTTTAGTGAGTGAGACAAACTCAGCTCATTATTTGACACGTTGGCTACGTATCTGGAAACACACAAAATAGTTAATAGAAGCCATATAAATGCCCCATTTTCAAAAGGTTGTCAACGCATCTGGAATCCTCGGGTGTAGCAGATGTCCATGGGCGGCGGTATTCACTTAGCATTAGGTGAACCGTCTGCTCGCTTGGCAACTTTTCACATAAAAAAAATATATAAATGTAGGTCCCTGATTGCCAGCTTGGCTAATTATCATGAAAACTCTTCAAATAACTATATTTTCTGCACCCTGCTTAATTTTGGAACATACAAGAATTTATATCTATACATAAATATGATAATAATATTCACCTTAGCCTATAAACTGCACATCTAAAATGACAACACACCAAGACAAAAACAGAATAAAGAGAAGCGACTCATTAAAGTGATTCACGCTCTTCTTGCGAGAACGGCCACTGACCACAGTCGATTAGGGCTTCCATGAGCCATCGTTCTGGAAATCGCGATGGGTATAGGCTGTGACACGGCGGTGCTGGTGGAGCGTGCAGCAGGTGGTGCGGTGGCGCGAGACCACACCGTCGCCCTCCCCCCACCCTTTCTCCCGGAACTACGTGATTCAGCCGCCGCACGCGCCGTCGCCCCTACTAATAATGTGACAGCCAGGTTTCGTCTGCCTCCTTGTACTAGAGTGCAGAGACTTCACGTAATTTCTAAGTTAGTAATGCTTTTATTGTAAGATCGATAGATTACCAAGCGTTGTCGATACAGTTAGCAGGAGCAGTTATAATTACTGACGTGACATTGGAACGCATTCATTTTTAGATTTCTTTGAGAAGGAAAACATCGTGAGGAAACCTGCCTAACTTTGAAATGAACAATTAATGAACAAGAAAATATTTCGAAGTAATGTGAAGTCCGTGAATTACGTATTATAACTTTTAACTTAACTTAACTTAACTATTACGTAAGTATAACTTCTTACGTGCGTATATAAGTACACACATGTTTTTTATTTATATTTGAGACATCATTATGAAAAATATAAGTCGGCGTAAAGATATGTAGTATCCTGTCGAAAAAGGAGAAAAAGTATTCCGGACCCACCGAGGGTCATGTCACTAATGCTACACATACACGTAGCGTTAATTTACAACGCACTGCAGACTACAGTCCATCCTCGCCTACGAGCACGACGAAATCAACACACAGCGTACACAAGGTACACCCGCGGCTCGGGGTCCACACCGGTCTCATTCGACGAATAACACAACACAGTCGACGGCCGCAAATGCCAAAAACCTCATTTCGGTCCACATGCGTGAGTCATCTTAGTTACGCCGTAGGGTCCATGCAGCTCGTGGAAACCTAGTTCTATCACAAACATCATTGAACAAATAAAAGAACATTATATTTCTCTATAATGGCGGTCAGATTATATTTGTTAAAATATTTTTCTAACAAGTTTTAAAATTTAGGATTTTAAAAAATTACTTACGACAAAGCCAATATCCATATTTATTTATGACTAAAATTTTAGATGAACATCAAACAATTTTGGACTATGAAAACAATAAATGTATTCGTACAGAGGATTTGACAAAAAAGCAATCCGCTAACTTGATAGGTACCTCAAAACTTCTTAAGCCTTAAAACTCCTAAGCGATCATCGCCGCCTTACAACTGAGTGCCAAGATAGGCATAAAATTTACCTCAAAATTTAAACCATGTATGTGGCATTTGGGTGTTTATTTCCATTTCTATTCTATTACACTACACTACACTGAGGTTAATTAATGGACTAAATACGTAGATGTTGAGATTTTTGCGCTGTATTACTACTATATTACTCTTTTACGCGCATAAAAGAGTTGGCTCTGTTAGTTAGAGCGTACGAGCGCGTTGCACACAATACGCAGGTCACATCTTGGCAGCACCGATAATGCTATTAATGTTTTATCTTGCTTGTAGACTTCCATCAAAAATAATAAATAACCATTAATAGGTAATCTATGTTATACACCAAGTTTATTTTGTTTCTTTCTTCTCCGGTTAAAAGTGGTACTGGCTGGTACGTTGGCACCAAAGTCACTAACCGTGCTGTATTCAGGGTCGTGCGAACTAATGTAGCATAACTCACCAAGGGCTGGTAAAAAGCTGCGTGACTCGCCGTGGCAATTCCTGGTCACGAGCGTGCCGCGAACGCCCCGCGCAACTGTACTTGTCGCAGATTCGACTACTGAAGTACGGTGACACTGTTTATAAAACATTTTATGATATAAAAATTTATATTAAAACTTATTTAATATACATAATATTGCGTTTAAGAGTTGGTCTAGAATTCACTACGTAGGTTGCATTGCATATGTATTTTGGAGAAAGTTCTCTTTATTTTTATTGTAGGTAATGTAGACATTATATAACGATCTAGGCATACAGCCTGAACTTTTTGTCTTATCAATTAACGGTCAGTAACCGTGCTCAAATTTGTAGAGTATTAAAGTGTAATTGAGTAAAAGTAAAATAAACAAAATCCCATAAATGTCCCAGTGCTGGGCAAAGGCCTCTCTGTACTCAGAGTAATAGGGCATAGACCACCGCGCGACTTCACGGCGGACTTCATATATCTTTTTTTTATTATTATTTCGAAAAACCCCTGGTTTCCTCACAATGGTTTTCCTTCACCTCTGAACACGTGATAAGTCAGCACTTAAAATTAACAATTTCATTGGTGCTGGCACCGGGGATAAAAACTCAGGTTGCTCGAGTACATTGAATTGAAAGCAAGCGCCCAGACAATGAGCTATCACGGCTCCTCGTGACTAAGGATTAATTACTACTTAATTGAGTAATAAGTAGATGATTATGGTCACCTTAGTCGCGGGCGTTTCTACGACCTCAATGCAGAGGCGCTGAGGACACGCGTTACCGTCACCAAGTAGTTCATGGCTGCCGCTTCGTTACACCAACTCCCCGTTCCATCTCAGTCATGATTCGTAATATTCTTTATTGTTACAATTTAACGGATTCCCACGGATCATCGCACTACTCTATCACATTTAGTTAAGTGACAAGGGAGACGTTGAAGTATAGACTATGTAAGTTTCGTCCCTAGTGTCAGGGTCAGTACTATAACGGTCGTTCTCTTTCTTGTCACTTTATCGAACTATAACTTCGAAGAACAGTTTTGTGTTTTCATTAAAACTGAACCGTCTCCACCCTTGAAAAGTTATATACGTATGTATACGTTTTTTAATTTGTTCTATTCATTTCGCAAGACCTTGTGTTAGTAAATAAATTCGCGACGGGAGGTACACTTAACCACCTAAAACCCATTTCCGTTGTTTCCGGAGGGAGAGAGGTTACTAGCTCACGCCCAGGAATTTAATGGACGATAAACGCCTTTCATTAAGTACTTCGGATGTATTCTTCGTTCGTAAATTCAAAGTTCGTATTTTTAACAAAAATTTTTATCAACATTTATATCGGCCAATTTATTTTCCAATACGTTAACATAAAGTGGGCCCGGCTGCCTCACTCACTTGCCGAGACGCAGAAGTGTAACTTAACTACTAACCCTACCACAGTTAAAATCGGTTTAAGTTAAAAACCTGTGGCTCAAACAAGTGTTTATACGTAGCCTTTCGAATCAGTTTCCAAATCAAACTGTAGCATCTCCGTCCTAAACAAGGACTGGAACGTCGTAAATGGTGAAGATTAGATGAGACAAGCCGCCAGTCGAAGCGTCAGAATGGCGACGCCGAGAGCGGCCCAAATAGATACGCGCGCTCGCGCATTTAGCGAGTCAAAGTGGGAACGCCGGCCGCGTCTAGCGTGAGCCACGCGTCTGCGCTCGGGGGCGGCTTTGTCACGTAAACCAAAGCGACTGGCAGCAGTTTCGGATGAATAAAGGCGTCAAACGCGACACCGCGCGCTATCGGCGCAAAGATCGCGCGTTACCGCCACGCACGGCCCCACTCCCACGTCTTAATTGACCTATTTCGTGTGAGATGTAACGCGCGGCGAACAGAGCGCGCTGCTTCTGGGATACCATCGCCGCGGTACGTGACTTCACGTATCGCGGTAACTCTATTCTCGTCACACGTTTGACAGCCACCAAGCGGTCCCCGGCCTAGCGATAGTGTTCTCTAGATTAGTTTTCGGACCAATTTTCACTCGCTTTTATAGCCCCTTTTTGCGCAGCGCCTCTATAGTGTTTGGTCCAGCAAGAGTTTTTTGGTCAATTTGATTGTGATCCGTTTATTTTATTTTTTTTTTTTTATTATGAATCATTTTTTGATCACTTGGTGTTGTTAAGATATTTGCTTCGGCTCAGTGGGTTTTAGGTTCGATTCCCACACTTCACAAGTATTTGTATCAGATAATTGTTACATAAATGGGTATTTGTTATACCTAGAAGCAACATTGCCACAACCATTAACATGATTGATAAGTTGCGTCGACTTCACCTAGACGGAATAGAGGCAGGAGGATGTTGGTGATGATGAATCATATTTGGCTTAAATTTAAATTTATCGAAATGAAAACATCACCAAAATTCAGAAGAATATCTTTGCCTTGTAATATCTTTCTTTGTTTGGCGCTTAACTTTTAGTTGTAGAAATTTTAGTCTCAACCGTTTGCCCATTTCTGGTCACGTTAAGTAGAATGTCAAGTCATCAGAAATAATGTTCCCAATTTCCGATATAACTTGAAAAATTGATAAAAAAAAAACAGCACATCACACCTTGTATTATTGTAAAATAAATTCTCTAATCGACTTCAGTGCCCATTTGTGGGTTGTAGGTTATTACGTGGATTTCGACGATTGTGTCGGAATCACGTGCATTTGCGGTTAAATGTGTTGGATTACGTCACGACGCCTTCGTTGGAAATGCTTAATGCAAACGCAAACTCTAACGATTGAGCGTAACAGAGACGCAGAAAATTTTACTTTTCAGTTATCAACGGTAAAAGAGCTACACGGAGCTGACTGAACGTGTATTAAAAAACACCCCACGGTGTTGCAGATATTACCATCTGGCGGCGATCACTTTCCATCAGGTGAGCCTCCTGCTCGTTTGCCCCCTTTTTTCCATAAAAGAACTATTTGGCCACAGATATGGTGGCAGCGAGCAGGCGGTTAACCTGATATTAAATGATTATCGTCCACCACAAGTTTTTAGTAAACAAAAACCGGTCAAGTGCGAGTCGGACTCGCGCACGTAGGGTTCCATACTATCTATAAGAACGGTAGAAAATCATGTCTGTTGTATAAAAGCCCGACTTAAATATTTTTTTATTCTGTTTTTATTAGTACTTGTTGTTAAAACGGCAATAGAAATACATCATCTGTGAAAATTTCAACTGTCTAACTATCACGGTTCGTGAGATACAGCCTGGTGGCAGACAGCGGAGTTTTAGTAATATGGTCCCGTTTTACTCTTTGGAACGTACGGAACCCTAAAAAGCCCTAGTTAACTATTTATGACGAATTTATAAGCATAAATAGTATAACTTTACACCAGCCTTCTGTGAGACCGTTGTACTTCTCATGTACCAGCATGCCTGGAAATGCCTGTGTCTCTAACACGGTAATAAACAATTCATTAAGCAATTCCATTTTTGTAATCTTCGAACACTCACTTAAACAGTTCACTGCATTTGTATTTATTTTTATAATTTGTAAGACAATTGACTTACAAAATGAAGCCGCTAATATTACATATTTTCTTTGGTGAATTTGCATTTTGCTCATCCGTAAACTCTATCCGTGTGTTGCGATCGGTTGCTCTATCAACTTTTCGGTAATAAAACGACACCAATGTTTTCAATGCACCCACAATTTTTACGAGGCATGGGTGACGTGCGACATAGCCGCAACCCCGAGACCACCCCGTCGCTTCTATCTCACGCTGAGATCTGCGTACAAAAACAACTCGGCGATGGGTTCATGTGCCTTGTGTGGGCTTCATTTTACGCTCATTTGGCCCTGTGAAATTGTTTACCTCCGAACGGTTCACGTCACTTCTCTTTGTTATTGTTCTCCTAAATGACGAGCCGACTGCGTTCACGGTCTTCCGTCGAATCCGGAAATAGAAGTGGTAGAGGTTTTTTAACTTCTTCGTTTTCGAACTGGTGATTGCTTTTGTATAAGGATAAATAATTTAAGACATTACACTCATTGTTTTTGTTATCATAAAGGAACTTAGAGAAATAGAAAAGTATACATAGAAATAATGAATTGGTAGTTAAATAAATAGTTTCAAAAATTTTAAAGTACGGTTTTATGGAAGGTATGTTAAACTTAAGCTTACGTTTTTATAACGCCTTTTCGAAGTATGTATTGAAATTAATAATTGACGATATATAAAAAAAAAGACCTTTAATTTTTGTATCTTTCACCTTTGATTGGTACAAATGTTGCGGGCCTCCCGGTCTAATTTGTGTATCTAATGAAAGATTTTTATTAAGCTTTTTAAGAGCTTATATTGCAATTGACGGCGATATGACCAACTGACACAGGCTACTATCAAAAGGCAGCTTACATAATAATGATAGATATGTCAAAGTTAATAAATTTATCAGAATGACGGCTGAGTGGCAGTCTGCTGTTTCGTTGATTTATTAGGATGAGAGCAGTCGCGCAGGGCCCATACACGAGATCCCTTTGGGACGGGCAGGTAAGCACCGGGAATATTTTTGGGTGTCTGTTGACAACGCAATTCGTCACGACACCACAACAAAACCAGTTTTTAATGCCAATCGCATCTTTGTCTTCCTTTTTGTATTTCTCTTCCCTCATCTCTTAACGCACTCGAGATCTCTGAGTCGACAATATCAGATGATTGTCAAAACGTTTTATTAAATTAACTAGCTGATACCTGCTACTTCGTCTGCGTTATTTATTATTTTAATAATATCTTTTATGTGCAGAGGAAAACGTATCAAAGATATGGGAAACAAATATATGAAATACATGTTATGAGTTGAGTAGAGGCAGAAGTAGAAGAGCACGGCAAGAAATCTAACATCACTGAAAACGTAGTGCTTATAAAAATAGTTGTTTCTTAAAACTTTAATAACTTTACATTAAATGAAGATATCATATTTTTTTAGATAGTGGCCAAGTGTCTAAGAAATAAAATTTTGAAGAATAATTAATTCAGTCTGTTCAATACTTTTCTATTCAGAATAACGGCAGATCTTTATAATTTTATTTTATAGTTTTTACTTGAAGCTCTTTTGAACGTCCAAAGTATAAATCATTCACTAATTGAGACCAGTTCAATTATCTTAGCGTTCTTCTTCGTATATATTTAAATTATTTTTTAAGTCACAAACAATAATTGCCTAATAAAATCAAGAGTATCCAGCGGATGGGCAAGCGTACTAAAGTCATTTCCATACCTGATCGATCGGACCAATGTAAGGAGACGATTAGCAAATCGAGTTTTCCGTCAGCGAAAGTTTTCGTGATTCGAAATCGGAATATGGCAAGGCGGGAATCGCAGAATAAGTAAGCTTTGTTGAATTATTGATGTGTTGAACGCGAAGTGTTCAGGGCAAGGGTTAACATTAGCGTCTTGGTCGGCAGCGAAACAAGGGGCTCCGAGGCGTCAGTCCGTCACATGGAGTTGCCATAAAATATGCATGCCCGCTACGGTGGAGCCACCGCCACTGGGGTTTTATTAACGATACCAGAGCGTGCGGAATAATAGATCAGCCATATTAAAAGTTGCTTTAAACTTACACAGGCCTAAGGATGTAGATGTAGGTCGTATATTAGGACGGCTAAGATGTTTATAAGACTATCCGTAACAGGTCCTTTAAACCATCTGAAACGCTTCTTTTTACTTAATTTTCCTTTCTTTCCATTTTGATAATCGTCAACGTTTCTTAATTTATAAAATGATTAATTGATAACAAATTCTGACAAATACCCTTTAAACGTAAATCCGTCACAAATATCAGCCTCTATATGTTATTAAGACGACACTTGTACAGACTATAAGAAATTCGATGAAAATACAACTTCAAACCCTCATCAGAGTCCATCTCGCGGGGAGGATAAGGAGCACTTTTTCATAATACTTTATTCAGGGACCGGAGATCTGGCTCAGTGACAGACTAATCGGCCATGTCACGAGTGAGGTGCGGGACGCTCAAGTATTAATGTTCAACCCTTTTGTACCCGGTCGGCTGCAGCGCCCGACTCCGTGTCAATCCCATCTCGCCTCCGTAAAGTACTGAATGTTTAATGTTTCATTAATTTGCCAGACTCGATAACCCTGTTTAGTACGACTGGCGCTCGCAATAAACATATTATTATCTAACAGCTTCCGTGTATTTGCTAAACAATGTCATTAGGAATTATGCAGAGAGGCGGTAGCTTCTGTGTTGATTATTGCACTATTTTGACACGTAACTCATAAAAACGGAAAAATGTAATATGGATTGAGAAATAAATGGCAATATATAAATAAATAGAATAAATGGCAAAACGTAACGTAGCATTGACGTCTTCATCTACAGTTTTAACTGGAGAACATTAATAACTGGCATTTTATGGATGAAAGTAGCAAACAAGCAAGCATTCCAACTGATCGGAAATTAGTTCTGCAGTCCATGGACAACCACAATAATGTTAACAACCTTATGAACAGTGAAGCCACGGTTAAATCACCCATCAAAACGCATAAGTGAACTAATTTCTTCGTCTTCTGTGATGCCCATGTCGAGTCGACCAATTCTGGGAGTAGGCACCAAAAACTATTAAGGGGACATGTATAGTAAATCTGTATTTGATTACTCTGCCAGGGACAAGAGGAGGTTCTTTTGTTTAAAAACTTATTGATATATCAATTTATAGAAAAGGTGGCTAATGAGCAGGAACTGATGGTTTTTTTTTATGTGAAAAGTTGCCAAGCGAGCAGGCGGTTCACCTGATGTTGAATATCGCTGCCCATGGACATCCGCTACACCCGAGGGTTGAAAATGCACTGACACCCTTTTGAACATTGGGCTCAGGCTACCTCACCCAAACGAAACGCGAAAGTATTATACTTACACTTGACGCCGGTCTTCTGTGAGGTGGTACTTACCCGGGCCTGCCCATTGGTCCAACAGCCGAGGCTGCTGCGTGGCCCTACCACAGTTGTTCATGATTCGCCAAGGCTCGTATAAGAAAACGGACCAACGTATATGTATGTATCAAATGTATAGAATTGCTTACGAGAATTCTATCGTATACAGGCGTGGTACAATCATAAAAACAGAGGCATCGCGGTCAACAAAACAGGCAACTGTGTGAGTCACGGGGGCGCACTTCATGCAGATTTTCCACGAGTTTATCCTTAAAATTGTCCCGTCCGGCGACTGGTGCGTAATCCGGCTAATATATTCGCAAGTAAAAGGCAAATCCGCGATGGGCCCCCGAGGAGCGATCCTGGGACAACGGGTGACCGAGGCTCAATAGCGCGTACTAAGTGAAAGTATATTGTTATGTCATACTTTAATCGATTAATATGTTTTTATTTTTACCTATATATAAAGTATTTTTTATAGTATGCAAAGTACCGTTGTAGGAATTTATTTTTTTATTTTGAAGGCATTCCTAATAACTAAAGCGATGATATAAATTGCTAAACACCAATGATTTGAGTAAAACGATCTGGACGATCTGGAGGAGTAATCGTTATGGACCATCTATTAACATTGAAACAACGATGAGGCAATGCAATTAGATTATTTTTGGAGAATCGCTTGATTATACAATGTGTTGAAGCGACAACACAAGCTCAGTTAAGGTGGAGGCGCAATTGAATTGAAAGTTGACAACGGCGGTTGCATTGGAGGCTCGGCGAGGTTCACAGCCGGGGGGACCGCGGGGCGCGGGGCGCGGGGTGCGGCGCCCATTGGCCGCGCCCTCGCCGCGGGTGGGCGCGGAAAAGCTCTGCCGATATTCCTTTCCGTCGCGAAAAGCTTTTAACGTCATCCGGCGAACTTGCGAAATGAGAAAGCTCTCTTGTTTAAGATTTAAACGACACGTGATCGATCACAGCGCTAAGACAATGTTATGTGATTTTGACAACGCCGCGCGCCCTAATGAATGTCAAAAAGCGAATGTGTGTCAATAAGATTTTCGCGTATGCGTTTATTGCCCTCATCGATCATACTCCGTGCTGTCTCGGTCCGTGGGTGGTGGTATCGTTGGAGGAACGTCTCGCTTATCGCTAGTTCGGGACGGGTGTGTGGGTGCCAGTGGGGGGGAAGTTCGTGTAGGCGGGACCAACGGGCGGGGCGCAGGGTGCCGAGGTGCCTCGCCGCGGCGCGCCCACCGGACTCAGTCGAGCCGCGGTCGCCTCTACGCCCGCGCGTCCACCGCACCGGACCGCCGAACAGTTACGAGCACTTACGAGCACGCGACGGTACCAAACCGAGTTACACCTGCGGCCGGGCCCGCGCCAAAGCAGCAATCGCCCCGGATAATTGGCGTGAAGGGAGCATACGACGCGCGGCCCCGCAATTACCGGCACCTGTCGGACACGCCGCGCGTTAATTCGCACGCAAAAAGCGCCGAAATAAACTGGTACCGATGCACCTGCGACGGTCCGCGGCCGGCGATGATTCGGTGCGCGCGCTGACAAATCGCCAGATCCTATAGAGCGACAGCGCGAACCTCCGCGGCCGCTATGATCATGCTGTTCAAGGGGAACAGCAGTCGGCTAGAGCACCTCATAGAGAAGATACAGGCGAACAAGGAGAACCACGACGTCACCACCGAGGACATTAAAGGTTAGCTATCGATGTTGTTTTTCTTATAGGACAAAATGCTATTTCCGCTCACGGTGCCGTTTTTGCGATCAACTTAAAATCAATCGTAAAAGAAAAATTTGAAAATGTAAAAATGAAAATTAGAAATGTTTTTCTGTATTATAAGTATCTTAAAAAGTAACAACTAACGAAACATTAAAGAACCTCCCGTCCTTGTATTCAAAATAAAATTAATTTCGAATTTAAGTTTGAGAAAGTAAAGTAAAGTAAATTAAAGAATGTACGTGAAGTACATCCCATATTATTTTATGGACACAACAACCCGTAAATTTTATAATATTAAACTTATCCCATTTAAAATAATAACAACGTGTACTACTGCCAGTTATAAGTGATTACGTTATGAAGTGCCTATACAGAGGGTCGGAAGGCAACAATTTCCTTATTGGATTTATAGATACATGTAAAGAAATAAATGCTCGATCAATATGTCAGAATACTCATGGTAACATCAATTTTTCGATAGTAGTTTGTCTTCCATGCACAATACCGGTAAAAACTAAAATCATTAAGCGCCCTCATTTAAAATAAAGCTGTCTCATTAAAGTTCCATATTTATTTGCTATATTTTTATTTAAAATTTATTTCTGTCTTGATGGATAACCTGATTCTTTGATACATCTTACATTACTTGAATCAGTATCTCCAGTGATTATTATTTTATAATTAAATCAGTTCATCATTAAAGTATGAAAAATAAATTATATAAGCATTTGTCTGCATTTATACGTTTGTATAACTTACATTATATATTAAAATATAACATAGGTACTATAAAAAATTATATGAACATATAACATTACTATAAGAAAACTAAAGCCAATGTTTTATTATTATTTGTTCTTGTTAAAAGCCAAATTATGCACAGTTTTCAATATATTTGTTTTTCGGAAACAGAAGGCGACAACGTTCTCTTTTCTAATATTTTTTATTAAACACTTTTTAAAAAATAATATTTAGTACCATTTATTTTCGCCAAATAAACGCTTTTTTAAAAAACGCCAATTTTCACTAATAAACTTCTGTACAGTTGTATCAATAAAGAGTTGTACTATATAAAACAAGCACAACAATATTACCACAGTATTTCAAAGCAAATTTCTAAATATTTCTAAGCAAACGTGGGCCTATTTTTCAAAAACACTCCGCAATTAGCTTCGGATCCACAAGATTTAATTTATAAGTTGTGAATAGACACAATACGTTCAATAAAAACACTGAACCTTATTTTGTTCATTACCTACGGATAGAAAGATTTTGTATTCTGGAGGAGAGTAGTATCCTACGAACAAAATTTTGACAAGGAAAAGAAGAAAAAGAAGAAAACTTATATGATTCTAGATGTACGTATATCTTGGAAAATCCTCTGCAGATAAAAGAAATTTGTTTCACTGGCGTAAATCGAAATCGTGACACTATCAAGCATATATAATAGCGCCAACCATTTATAAAATCAGTCCTGTAGATATTACCGTTGCATTTCTTGTTTCGTTTTTCTTTGTACATGACTAATAAAATATGTTTTCTAACGGTAATGACTTTGAAATCTATGAATATTGAATAATTTTTATTTTCAATTTAAAATTTCGCTTCAGAAATTTTTTACCAAGTAAACATTTTTAACTTTGACCTCACAAATTATAGATTAAAAAAGTTATAAGAAGTTAGCATGCTTGTTGTAATTCGCGTTAATCGTCGTTAAAAATCATAACTTTACGCGAATTTAAATTACTTTATAATGCAGTTAATGGCTGGACATAATTATACCAAGACAGGTTGCATGGACGCGGAGTTCTATATAATTATACCATTACGTCGTACCCGTACAGAAAAAAAACGATAAAGTTTTGACAATATACGAGTACTGCAAATAAAATTAGTACAACATATTTCTTATTATTAGATCTGTGCGTAACTCAGCTATAACATACAATAAAAAGCTATAACATACAGTGAAAATAAGAAAACTTTAATGGTCTCAGGTAAGTTAAATTTGTATAAGTAAATTAAGTAAGAAAGTAAGTAATTAAATCAGTTTCAGACAAAAAATAACTTTTGTCTGAAACTGATTTAGGTAAGGTGAATAAGATTTCTTCTTTTAATTATTCTTTTTGTAGTGACTTTGCAATCACGATAGTCTTTTTAGAAACAAACTACTCTCGCATTAAGAAATAATTTGTCAAGGTATTGTCTTCGGCGCCGAGAGTTATGGGTTTGATTCCCACACGGGAAAAATATTTTTGTGACCTACAGATAATTATTTCTGATCTGGGTGTTTGTCCCCGTGAAATTTGTATGTAAAACGCTCTTCCAACACAGGATTAAGTTACCATAAAAACCTGTATCACATCACGCAAAAAAATACTGTTTTACAGTTACAAAAAGACACGCAGATTTGAAATAACTATTTATGGAGCTGATTTTCAGGTCCGTCCGGGTAAGTACCTCAACCTCACAGAAGATTGGTGTGAAGTGGACGTGTTATACTTCTGTGTTTTGTCTGGTGAGTGAGGTAGCCGGAACCCACTGCATTAAAAGGTGGCAGACGCAGCTGCAATTATACGCGTGTGGCAAATGTCAATGGGCGGTAGCTATCACTTAACATCAGGTGAACCACCAGCTTGTTTGCCACCTTCTCACATAAAAAATTGGAAAACTTAGAGAATTCCGTAAGGAGTTTGAACCGACTAACCGGTATTGTGCTACCTGTGCATACGATAATTGGCACTCAGCTCTGGGTGTATTTGTCTTTTGCGAGGCAAAATGGTTCTGTCGCAATTACCGCTTCAAATTCTGGCCACTCTTTTCTCACTTCCTAAATCCAAGACTTCTTCCCACGATCGGCTTTTCTTTCCAGTTACTTTCTCCATCCTCATCAGTTAAAGGAGCTTATGTCTATCACTTTAAAGAATGATGCGACGTGCTTCTTTTCTTGACGGTACTCAAAAAACTAACTGTAGTAACTGTTAACAACCAAATCGTGATATTGGACAGCTAAGTTTCGATAGATTTGTTGATTTTTATCATAAATTCATCGCATTTTACACTTATCGGATTTCGGCAGGTGTGGTGAAATGTAGACGCATTTCTTTGCATCTGAGAACAGTCGTGAAGAATTGCACCAAGTGGTGAAATGCAGGGTTCCGCAAGGATCAGTGTTAGATATGATTATTTTGGATCTTGATCAACCAGTCGTCGTTCTTTCTGATTTGATAATTTTTATGCAGCATGCCTCTTAGGTAAAATTCACGAGCATTTTAAAAGATCGAGGCCTTTTGGTTTTGCAAGCTTGTTATAGGAAAGAAGCCAGCAGCCATGCCTGTCCCCCACCCAAACAGAGCAGGCAGCTGCTTGGTTTGCGTGGGGGATGGGGCATATCCAAGTGAGACCCATCATGAATTGCCTTCATGTACATCACTCTCAATAATTGCTTCAGCTTCAAAGAGCACTTCAATCACCGAGGGGGGCCAAATCGAGAGTGAGGTGGTTGCTATGCAGAAACTGCTGCCTTATCTTTTTTTTTAATGTGAAAAGTTGTCAAGCGAGTAGTTGGTTCACCTGATGTTAGTGAATACCGCCGCCATACATGGACATCTACAGCACCCAATTTTAAAGGCCCCGGTTACATCACTCACCCGAAGAAAGTTTAATATTTCCCTTACTCGCCCGTCTTCTGAAAGGTCGTAGTACTTAGCAGAAGCTTGCGTGGTCCTGATACACATAGGAATAAATCGCGGTAGTCCTAGGGATAGATGGTGGATCCGTGCGGTGGATGCCCTTCTTCGGTATGCCCTTATGGTCACGTCGACTAACGGGTGTCCGATGCTGCTTAAATTGATAGTTAAGCTTCATATTACGCAGTGTAGAATGTGTAGATTGCACGAGTATATCGTACGATATCATTCGAGGAGGCCACTTTCTTAGTTCGGATCTCATTTATGGATATTCCGATGATGAGTGATGCCTGTTTACTTCACTCGCCTTTGTGAGACACAGATGATACCGAACACCTGAATGTGGAGGAAGATTGTGAGCAGGAGAGAACTCGTGCACTACAGGTTTGGCGTAAACAACTTTAGCAACTACGGAACTCATTCTGACGCATCGTCAGGGTACTCCTGGCGAGCTTCAAAGCCTGGCTACGTGGTATTCGCACGTGGAACATACCGGATGACGTAGGTACTCACCGCACATGGGTTCTTTGATTAGGATAGGATGCAAAACACTGATGTAATGCCACCATTGGACACCGGGATTCCGCTCAACACTAACTTGTTGAGTGCCCTGCGTGGGGGTCAGAGTTACTGGTCGTGGTCGAAAAGATCGTAAAAGACCTTTCTCCAACAGTGACAGTGGCAGTTGGCGCTAGTGGAGAAACCGGCTTAAGTGGCACTGGTCTTCTTCTGCGAAAACGTAATGAAATGAAATGTTCCAAAAGAAGATCGAACGGGAATGGTAGAGGGTTGACCCTGAACAGACACGAAGGCGCTGGGCCGCTAGAAACGGACATGTCGTCCCGTAAACCCTATACTCAAGGATTCATACAATAGGCCTAAGGTAGACTCTGCCTGTCGCAAAAGACGAGTGAAAGGGGACACTGTGTTCACGAGTGATGATCGAAGTGAATGTTCATTTTAGTTGACCCGGTGAGAGCGATGTCATGAAGTAGTCCTGGAGACACGGTATTTTGTTAAATATTTCCCAAATCTTCATCAATCATTTATAAAAATAAAAACCCTATGTTGGATTTATATCCCAGCAGCTACTACATAAAAAGGCGTGTGCGTATCGGAGTATTGACCGTTGTTGCAAAAGAATCTAGATGAAATGATGAATATGTAGAGCATTATTTTTGTCTATCCTGTTAAGTTAAAAGACGGGAGGGTTTAGTTTGTAAAACTGTTTTACTGTCAGGTCTCGATCGAGATCGAATTTTTTTTTTTAACTTGATAGTTAAACATTTCGCTCAGAAGAAAAAAATTACGCAACTTAAAGTACTACATCCAGCAACTAAATATCAATTGTTATTAGACATTCTATGTCCTTGAATGAATAAGGATAATATCCAAATTCGATACACGGCGTAGAATTTAATCAAGCCGATAATTAACAGCATCGTTGTTACTGAGTGATAATGTAATTTTCATTAATCCGTGCTAAGTAACCACTTAGTTAGGCAACTGTGGATACCGATCGATGGCAAAAAAGTCATTTCTTAATTGTTTAGATTCAATTGATTTTTTTTATTATTTAAACTGGAATTCAGGGCAAACGTCTTGGAATGTTTCTATCGCCTGTGCTACATAAATAGCAAATGCGAAATCGTATCCAGTCTACAATCTATAATCGCGTTGTATAAACGTAGGTGAGCCTCCGTTTGGGGAAACTGTAAGCAATATTAGAACTTTAGTAACGCTTTGTCTGATATGCATAGGCGTATATAGCAGGATAGCCGGGTGGGCCATGCCCACCCCAGAATCGTCTAGTGCCTACCCCAGGATTTTGGGTTACTGATTCGAAATTTTAGGCTGGATACCTAAGAAATTTCATAAAAATTCATTGAAAACAATTACTTGTAAATACACAACGTAGTAACTACTAATTAGTTGATACTACTATCTAAAATTAATAAAAATAATTAATGATAACGAACTGTTATTTTTTTAATAAGCCTACCCTGAAAAATAATTCTAGATACGCCAATGCTGATATGACGAAAAAGTCTATCTTTTTTGCTATCAATCTATCTCGCTATTAGCCGGATTGGGATCAGGCAACACTGGCGTGCAGACAAGTGGGTTTTTCACGCGATCGGCGTTGATTGCCGAGGCGCCGGGTGAGGTGTCCGAGACGTCGCAATTAGGAAGTGGGTTTCCGCCGCCCACCGGCCGCGGCGCCACCGTCACCCGCCGACGAATTGCCCGCAATCGCAGTTAATTACGCCCATCCTATAGCCCACGGCTGCATATACCGTTTACGGATAATGTATGCTCTTGCGCGCAAGGAATCAACTCTAGAATTCACGGTGTTTCTTTTGTTCCATGTTTGCTAATTCAAAAACAAAAGTTTTTGACTAAAAAACTTGTAGTATTAATCTATGTTGCTGTTAATTATCCCACTGCTTACGATGAAATATGCATCTGTATATAGGAAGTAATACTAAGAGGAATACTACGTATATATACATTGACTTATCTTTTTTATGTATACGCAAACTGCATGATTTAGTAAAATCATTAGGTTTTTCTATAATAATCGATTGTCTAGTGTATGACCATCACCACTTATCACCCCACTCTGGTAAAAGATGATGTACTTGCTGATTATAAACACACCCGTTCTTTCCTTAAAGGCACACCTAAATTAGACGGAAACAGATTGTTCCACCCCTTTCGAAGCGCAAGTCTAGTCGCGAGCCTAATCGTCGTCGGCCGATCTTATCATCCGACTACAGAAAGTGGGTAGGAGGAATTCAGCCCGCAATTCATGAGAATTGTATTATAAAAACTACCGAGTGGTGTTCAGACCCGTTTTGCTAATAACTCTCTATGTACTTCTCTACACCGATCGAGAGCAGCAAATTCAATAAAATATTCGAGTGAGACTCGAGTGTTTTGTAGGTAAATATAATTTTTTTACGTTCTTATTAACTAGCTTTCTTATTTTGTTCTGTTAGGTACATAATTCAATAATTATTTTTGGATTTACCTTCCGACGTGCAATGTAGCGCAAAACTGATATAAAATGTATCGCACTTTCTTGCCTGTCTATTTGTTTGTTTTTTCTACTATCTAAGAATGCAAAGAGTTTTCAATAATAAACGTAGTTTCTGAGGTGTTACAATGATTGGCCGATATTATGCCAAAGTTGTGGCAAATCACCAAACCACTCGAGCCTCGAGCACAGGCGCAGAGTAGCCAGCCTCTCGGTTTTCTACAGGATGCATTTCGGAGAGTGTGCGTTGGAGCTGCACCATTTGATTCCTCCCGCCCCTTTCCATCATCGGACAACTAGACGTTCGGCGGGGCTTCACCCTTTTGCTGTCGACGTTCCACGCACAAGAACAAAGAGATTCGCATCGTCATTTATCATCCGTACGGCTAAGGAATGGAACAACCTGCCGGCGTCGGTCTTCCCATCCGATTATAACGTAGGCGTCTTCAAGGCAAGAGTGAATAGGCTTTTACTGAGCTAGCGCGCTTACCATCCACGGCTGCATAGCCACTTACCATCAGGTGGGATGGCAGTCGAGCGCTAGTCAGTTCCATATAAAAAAAAAAAAACGCGCATTGGACTACTTTTTTCAAACAACTACACTGTACGGTCTGAACTAAGACAACAAGAAACTAACAATTTTGAGAAGGAGAAAAATCACTCCGTACTTTCCCTGTTTTCAAAATCAGAAAAGGGGTTGTCAATCAATATTTTAAAGCTTTTCGGCTCCTTAAGCGCAGCTACTATGCTATAGGCGTGTTTCGCGGGATGCAGGTTCCATTCCTGCAAGGAACAAGAAGTCATGTGATCTGCAAAAAATTTTTTCATAACAAGTCCTCTGTCTTTGCTAGAAGTTTGTTGATGTATGTAAAGCTTCAACAGATATGTAATCTGGCGACAGTTTTTTGATGCTCAATAAGAGCTTTAAACATATTAATAAGAGCTTTAAACATATTGAATAAAGAAATTTTGACTTTGACTTTGAATCATACGGTAAAGGTTTTTGTATACAGCATTTAAACAAATGAAGAAACCTGACCCTTCTTTATCATCGCGAAGGGACGGAAATAAATGATGAGGAAGGGTGAGTTATCTTATAAGCTGATTTTTTTAAAGAAATTTAACTTTGTAAAACTTTTAATTTTCTCTAATAACCTGACTCTAAACATTGCAGTAATTAAAGCGACAGTAAAGTTAAGCGACATTATAATGTCTTCTGACCTCACAAGCTTAGCTTTCTGAATAGTGAGCGACTGGAGCTCTCTTTAAGCACTTCCGAAAATAAAAATGCACACTTCTCTCCAACACTAAAATAGCACAATTTTTTGCAAACACAACAGTTATTTCTGTAATAAACACATCGCACTAAGGAAACATCTTTATCAAACATTAAAACCACTAAACGGCTACAAACATATTTCTCTATTTTCATAAAATTTATTGAGTAAAATATAACTTTAAATAAAGCTCAGTTTAAATACCATAGTGTTACAAAATCTCACCGTTATAATACATAGCGTCGTTACGAATATAGTGATATTATAAACATAAACTCAAATGAGTAGAGAGACATGAAATATGTTACCTAAGGTTGATTTTATTTATCCTCGTAATATGTAATTCGAACCATAATACTGAAATGTTGTTGCGCGCACGCCCTTAAAAGAAAACAGATTGATATAAATAGTTCCTCTTATTAAAGGATCCACAACGGAAAAATAACACACTTGAAAATTTTCACAGTGGACCGAGTATTCTCCTGCTTACAAAAAAAAAACGTATGTGTGTACATACGTACGCAGGCAAGACGCTTTACTTCTTTAACGTAACTAAAGGAAAATAACTAAAAATTTTATCCCGTATGTTTTGACGCATAGTGAAAATTCAATCTCACAATTTTTCCCAAACGCGTCAAAACTAGTATAACTTCAATAAAGACTTCCTTCCTCTACTAATCTAGTCGTTGATCATGTTACGCTGCTCGTCTCCATTTTTGCTGATTATCGAGCGAACTTCAGGCGTTACCCACTGACTTTGTCCTTGCCAGTGATAATTTGAATTGTTTAAACATTGACAATGTTTTTCTTATGTCTAACCCACAAGTTTTTTTCTAGCAAGATGTTTTGAAGGAATACATCATCTGCAACCAAACTTTTTGTGTGTTGAGATCTCAAGAATATGAGGCCAACTAGATATTATTAGTTGCAACTTTAAGTAAAACTGCTTTCTAAGACACTGACAAAATGTGATTCACTTATTTTTTTTTTATGACAAATCGCATTTTTTGTTATGCTTCATCTTTGCACACGTAATTCTCATAGGAATCATAAAGATAGTCGGTATTGTTGGTAATAATAAAAAATACCGACAATCTCACTTTCCACTCGTAATCTACGTGGATCTAAGTATAGCTAAGTGTCTAAAGGCTCAGGAGGACATTGGCGTTAGAAGTCCGATCCGACCTCACAGAAGACCGGTGTGAAGTTGGAAGTGTTACACTTCTGCCTTTCGTCTGGTGAGTGAGGTAACCGGGGCCCACTTTTTTTAAGGTTGGCTACGCATCTGCAACCCCTCGAATGTTATACATGTCCATGTGAGGTAGTAATCACATAACATCACGCGGAGCACCTGCAAAATAAATACCGATCGTTTAAATTGGTATTATTGTAATTTGAAGGTAAGCCGCGCTTGTTAGCCCAGGTAACAGCACGATCTCTATCAGTCCTCAGTCTATTTTGACTATGATCGCTTTAAACGTCGGGAAATTAACTTCCATAGCGGACGAACGTTTTCCATGATATATGGCAAGCGTTGTAACGTAACACTTCAGAATATTGCCACATAATAACTACGTTTTATTTCGCAAGTATAGCACAATGCGACTCAGTGTCCGCCTCTGTGCTGCCAACATTACTCATCATTTGCGCTGATGCCGCTCGTCATCACGCCCCATTCAATTTGTTTATATTTCACGCCACTTCGAGGTGCTCCCGGAGAAATATCGCTCCTAACACCGAAATATGGCCCTCGCCGATATTTACGACGGCTTTATCAGATCTACGTACGCTGTCTTCTCTAATGGCATTTATAATACTCGCACAATATTGCATTGCTTATCCTCTGGTTATTGTATCGTTATTACGTGTTACATATCTTTAAATTGGAAGTTACCGATGCTAATAAAACTAAATGTGGTCCGCATTAAGGCAAATCAATAAACGGCTTTGTATTTTAAACGTGCAAAAGCCGATATGTTTGTCTGCTTCAGATTTACTGGCTGTTTAAATATAGCTTTGCATATCAGTAAGACATATATTACGTTATCAAAATCAAAATAATTTATTCAACGACATAAGAAACTTACATTTCATCTATCGATAGTCATACTTTTTTTAATCTACCATCGTTTCGTAATGAGGTTCCTCTAGCGGAGAAGAAACAGGCGAAAGAAACTCCGTGGGTATCCTCTTTTTTGGAATTCATTTTTTTTCTTAAAAAATTAAAATATTATACAACTGATATTTTTTGTTAAGTTAGGCTTTCGTCATAAATCTGATGTCATAAAAACAACAAAGCGAAAAGCGACCGGCGAACTGTTGACATCAATTAAAAACTTATTCATAACCATCGCTGTATAGACGACATAAAAACCCCTTCCGTGGGTTCCAAAGAGCTTACGACGCCACCTTTGTGTGAACAGAGGCGCTGGGCAGCGTCGGCAGCACTGCGGGTAGCTCCTGGCCGTCTTCGGCGGAGCCTTCGCCGTCGCCGGCGTCCACGCCGACCTCCGCCGACGCGCCCGACGTGGACGCCGACGGGGAACCCCCCTACACGCTCGGCGCCACCGAGCACACCCCCTACCAGTGCCCCTTCTGCGACAAGGCGTTCCCGAGGCACTTCTACCTTAAGAAGCATGAACAGGTAACGCTTTTGGAATCTTTTAATGTTTTTGCGTGTAGTCTTAATAATTAATCGCCGCACTACAGACCGATTACCAAGCGAAAACATAAATTAACATAATTTCATAATAACAGTCAGTCTTCTAACAGTCAAAAATTGAACCACAGTAGGTAGGGTCATGCAACACCTTCTCATGTTGCACGAATGGGCAGGCTCGTACGGGGAAGTACCACGTCCTCACAGAAGACCGATATGAAGTGAAAGTATTAATATTTCGCGTTGCGTCTGATGATTGAGGTAACCGTGGCCTACATTTTAAAGGTTGTCAAGGTATCAGCAAGCCATTGAGTGTTGCGGATATCAATGGGCGACGGTATTCATTTAACACCAGGTGAACCACCAGCTCGCCTGACAACTTTTCTCATTAAAAAATTGTTTGATGATTATGATAAGTAGCTTTTGGTTGTTTTGCAATAATTTTTTTCGTTGCATCTTTCGTCTTTTTTAGTGTTTAAGAAACATAATGTGGGTCATACAAATACTTGTTTCGTGTGAGAATCGTAACCACGATCCCCGGCGCCGAAGACAATAACTTGACCACTGCGCCACGTAGTCATCGCATTCCAACACCAAAGGAGACGGGCGAAACGTGAACCAATTTCACGCAGGCGATTTACGGCATGCGTACCCGGTCTGAAAGATACGCATCAGAGACGCAGACAAAATGTACGAGCCACCTCGTGCCTTAACGGACGGCGCACCGAGATGATGTATGCGTCGCCGTAAAGCAACTCGACTAGCCATTCCGCAACGCAGTAATATCTGCGACGCAGTCCAGTTTCGCAGTGCAGCCGCGCTTCATTAGCAAGTTGATACCCAAAACGGAGCCCGTTTACGGGGCCGGTGCGTACGGAGATACGCATCTCGGCCTTGCACCGAGCCCGCGCGGGCTCGCCGAGGCGACTGGCTCGCCGTTACGCGGCTGTCTCGGCCTTTGTGTCGCCGATCCGGCCGCGCTACGATTACACGTTGCGACCGATCCGGCCGAGATAGGGGAAATAGAAACGTCACTTTGCACGATGTCCAACCGCCTACGCGCGAACCGAAATCGCGATGACCCGCCACCCGGACGGCGAAATTTTGCCGTAAAGAGTAGTGCACCTGATAAGTCTTGACCGGAATACGCCCACAAGTCCAAAGAGTTAAAGCGACTTTTTGGTGATTCAGATGCTTTTAAAATGTAAAGCACTTCCTATGTTCTCCAGCAATACCTGCTTTAGTAAAGATAATTAATTTCAATTAATATAGACGGTTTTATTATACACGAAAGCTGCGCGACATGTGTATGCTGTTGTTTTCCCGAATAAATAAATAAGTAATACATTTATAACATTTCTTGTCGATATATCGCAACAGTCTTCGCTGTTGCGCGAATGGGCAGATTTGTCCGAGAATTACCATTCTTCTGCGTTTCTTCTGGTAACCGGGTTCCACTTTAATAAATTAAAAGATGGCGACGTTTCTGCAACTCTAGGGGTTAAAATTTGTAGATAAAGTACGAAAAGATTTTCGCCGCTGTGGGAATCGAACCCACGTCTTCGGCATTCTTGGCCTGGCGCTTTAGCCACTTAGCTAAACGGCTGATTGCCACGTTAATCTTAAGTGCAGAGAATAAGCACAATAAAAAAATTAAATTTCTAAAACTCTAGGGCAAATGTCCATGGGCGCGCTAGCCACGTTGTCGCATAAAAAAATCTCAAGGACTGCGAATCTTTAACAGAAAATCCCCAAATTTTGGACACGATTGCTGTATTAAGCAACACGACTTCACCGTTCAGCGGGGCTACGCGTGCTCTTAATACAATTGCGCTCGCGATTAACTCTCACACGTACCACCGTTATCCAATCGCATCCACCTTCTGCGGGCGTCTCGCGAAACTAGTGGCTCCCCTTCAAAACAGAAACCAGGGCCGGTGGTTAATCGCTAAGGGTTTATTAGATTATCGGTATGCAATTGCGTTGACCGCCGAGTACGGATGATAGCGATATAGGCTGCGCAGCGCTGGAGCCTCGAACGGTGCCGACAAATGTATCGCGTCCATCGCGTCTGCGACGGGGCCGTGACGGCCGGAAATAGGGCCGATAACAACTCCCCGGCGTCCGCCACGCCTTTATCATCGCACCGCTTGGGAAAGGCGATCATTATAGGAATAAATCAATTGCGTGCTCGCGCCAAGGCGATCTATCTTCATACCTCTCGCTATTTGAACGAGCGATACGATAATTGTTGATGTAGTCTTTTTGCGTGATGATTTCTTAAGCGTGGACTGTCATATGGAATTTCCTGTATGTTCACGATTAAGCCCTTTAGTTACTTAATTTAATAGTATTTAGCTGTTTTAGGGTTTCGTATCCCAAACGGTAAAAATTTAAACAGTTTAGAATCACTTTTTAGTCCGCCTGTCCAGCCACGGTACACGTTTAGAACTGGAATTTATGTTGAATACATAGTTCTATGCTTTCATGGTCGTGTTGAAATTAATGTTAATCTAAAGATACGGCCAATTATCAATGTTTATACTCGCATTCTATACCGTGTTTTCCGAAAGAAAATTCGACCCTGGAACATCTGGGTGTTCATAAAAAACCTAGCGAAAACCCCTTAAAACATAATTCATACGTTTTATCGAACCTATGTGGGTTCGATAAAACGTACGGGCAGGAGGATGATGATGATGATTGTACAAATTATAACGTTTAAAGAGTATGTGTCTAAAAATTACCAAATCTCTTTTTACGTGAATGTATATATTATGTGAATGAAATTAATGGTAGCAAGTGCATGAAAAATAATGTATTTTTTTATCCTATTCTAAATGTTAATTAAAATTTAATTCCATTAAAAGGTTAATTAAAAAGAAATTAAATCATGTTAATGCGAACTTTCAATCGTAAATCCAATTAATGGAATATAAAAGAGTCGCAACTGATATAATTAAAAAGGCGGGCGATTTTAAATGGCTACTGTTATAAAAATGTCCGTGTTGTTTGCAGCATGTGATACTTTCACACTAAACATATTAGTATACTATCGACATTTAGAATCGATTCAGAATGACTTCGTTTTTTGTTACTTCATTTACGTTGAACTGTAAGAAATAAATATTATAAGTGCTAATATATTTATAGCGTGATTTTACCATCGCGACAATAAATGAACACATATATAGAGGATAAGTTTTTAAAATTGTATTAAACATTTACTTTCTTTAAACATCAATATTTACAGAGTTATTAAATTTTCCAAAACAAAGAATTTTAGAACATCCTTACGTATAAAACTGTAACGTAAAGTTCATTTGTAAAGGTCACAAAGCATATGAATGGGTTGAATGAATTTAAAAGAGATAAAAAATACTGTTAGAAGGAGAGGCTTGTAATGCGACGCTGTGGCAACGAATGAAAAAGTCTCTGAATGTATGAATCAGTCGGTTGTATGTTACAGATGTTACAGATTTTGTTTCCTTTTTACTTAATTAGTTTGTTTGAAATTTATTTTTTTTAATTATTGATTTTATTTAACGTTAATATTTTTTTATGAATATTGTCAAGTAGCGTTAGACGTGTGCCCATTTATTGTCGCGATGATCTGTCCTAGTACTTTCACAGTGGGATGTTGTGCTTACGACGTCCCTTAGTAAATAAAATTAACATCATTTTTTTTTCTGTAACGCGCAAAGTTGGCGAACGGACAGGCTGCTCATCTAATGCTAAGTGATTTTCGCCGCCCATAGACATCAACAACACCGGAGGAGTTGCACATGCATTAATAAGGTTGGAAAAACCCCGGAAACGCCCCTCACTAGACGACACGCGAAAGTATAATGCTTCCAACTTACCCCGGTCTTCGGTGCGGTTGTGGTTCTTCCCCGGACAAGGTTGCCCATTCGTGCAATAGCCGAAGCTGCTGCGTGGTCCTACATTATCTGTATACCATGTCAGCAACATCTTATTGTCTCAATGCTATAAAACTATGACTGAACTCTAGTAACTTCTACATTAATTAAATTAAATCTACAAAATATGAAAATGAACGTGGCAGGGTGACTCTGTTTCATGAATGGGCAGTTCGATCCGGGTAAGTACAACGACCTTACAGAAGACCGGCGTGAAGTGGATGTTTTATAGTTCCGTGTGATTGAGGTAGCCGTGTCCCATTTTATTAAAAGGTGGCATCGCATCTGCAACCCTACGGGTGTTGCAAGTGTCAATGGGGGGCGGTTATCATTTAACATCAGGTGAAGCGCTAGCCACCTTCCCTTATAATAAAAATAATGAAACAGACTTTCTCAAATAAAATAAAAAAATAAGGATTTAATAAAAAATAATTACAAAATAGATAATACACCAAAATATTAGAAGGACTTCTGTACATATCAATTAATAAATGCAAATATTTCTACATAAGACAACCTCCCCGGTATAAGGTCTACCAAACTCATTTAAACTTTCCCTTCCAAGTTTACAAAACTTCAGACTTAAGGCATAACATCATCCATCACGAGACACAAGACACCATCCAAACCCGTTGCAATTAGCCCGCGAGACGTAGATTCCCGCCGCAGCCGAGACCAGTACAAAAGTACAAAGGTGGGCACTTAAGCGGCGATTGCGTCGCGTCGGGCCGCTCAAGAGATTTCGTCGAAGCGGGGTCACGATCGGGCGCTGCGACCCATGCGGCGACGCTCGTTACACCTGGGAAAGTCGCTCGGTAGCCGGCCACCGGCCATTCCCGCGCTTTATTGGCTATCGCGCCCGCCTCAAACTAGTTTCGAATGCGCCCGCTTTACGCGGAAAAGTTAACAGCGTCGCCGCCTGTTATGTCGGCCGCTCTCACGGTTCTCGGCGGCGGTGATAAATCGCCGATGTGATTTGCGTGCTGCACCGCTATAAGCGGGCCGGGCCGGGACACCCGCACCCAGGGGTGCGTATCCCGCGGTGACGGACTGGTAGTCGCGGTGGCCGTTGAATTCGCGGGAATCACGCGAGCATCCTCGATAAGTGATCGCGCCCGATTTGATCGCCCGCGCCATGGGTTTAAGTATATTGAAGGTTATTAAATGGAACCACGTTTACGGATTTATCAAGTATATTTTTAATGTTACCCCTCGATGTTTCTAATACTACCATTTATATCACGGGACAGACAGTCATTCTATCCCGATAAACGCAATATTTACCACGTTTAAAACGTCATATTATTGTAGGGTGTGCAAAAGTACTGACATGACGGTGGTTTTCTGCACGTGCATGTATTTTCCTGCATCTGAAACCTTGACGGCTTAAGATGCCGGACTAGGAATTTAGTCGAATATAAACCCAAAGCCCTGAGTTTTTTTTAGATATCCACGAGTAATCACTTAACATCAAGCGAGTCGTCTGCTACCTTGGCAAATTTTCACATATAAAAAATATGGGTACTTCGGTAAATGTCGGTAAAATTTATATCAGTACGTGTAGACATTGTATAGCATAATGCTTAATATCAAAAATATCAAATATATATACTTCAAATGCATAAATATATTCATACAACAAATTGTGTTGAACCAGTTAATAAAATATGTATCAATATGTTTATTCCTTTAATCTTTATTGCACGAAAACGGTACAGAGGCGAGGTTAATGCTATACTTCATTCTCTACCAGCTAACCCTAGGTGAAACAGAAAAAATGACTAGGGCAGTAAGATAGTTTTGATCGTTGAGCAAGAGTAAATGTGTGAATGTATTAATTATCTTATATATACATACACACATATAAGTGTATACATATATTCATACATACCAGATATTACAAAATGATTTTTTTATTCATATTTAATCTTTTACTATGTAGTCCCTAACGGTCGATGCTAACTTGGAAACTCGGAAGTTATATATTTGTGAAGTTGCTTCTTTTGGCGCGTTTAGTAAAAAATATGGGAATAAAATTTTCACGACGCGCGCGTATTCCGAGAGCTAAAACACGACACGATGAAGTGCTTTGCAACCAACTTCATCAACTTCACGGTATTACCATGGCAACCAATAACACCTTGACGTTTACCTACAATTCCAAGTTATCTAATAAACCGTTATCAATTGCATTTAATTTGTTTTTCACAAACAAAAAGTAACTGGCGCAAGGGATGATTTTTTTGTTTTTAAAGTGAAACTTTTTTCCATCGCTTCAAACTTTTTCGTCCATCTATCGCATGTCGCATTAAGGGCCGGTCGTAGAGTTGGGGTAAAGTGAAAGTCGCTCGGCCGAGCAGCCATGGCCAATATGACGGCGTATCAGCTAACAGTGTAGCATATTAAATTTGAAAAATTTAATTTATTAATATTATTAATATTTAACTGAAAATTTTCGGTCTATTTCGTTTGTACAGGATAACGTCCGCCCGGTTCGCTATTATAAGTATAACTTCTTACGTGCGTTCACATACTTTTTTATTATTCGGTCAATCCTTGTTAATTTGGGAAAGATACTATAAGGGAAACTCAGTCTTTTTTTAAAGATTCTGCGAGCAATAATCAAAGATAACATTACCAGCAAAATGATACAATTGTAAATTTTCAGGATCAATGGGGAATAAATAGTATACAGACATTCCTTCTTAAGATCTCTTATTATTGTCGTTCTAAGAACGCACGAACATTCAATTTATAGGGGTATTTTTATCGGTTAGTCATCCTAAAATGAACGTAAGCTTTTATGTTAATGATGTATTAAATTATAATAAATTTTTAATTCTAATCAAAGCTGTAAATTATTGACAAACAGAAAAAACCAACATGCAGTATCTTTTTACACTCTAGCTTTTTTATTTATTTTGATATTCCTTCTTATAAATCGTAATTAAGTCTTTTACTGTGCCCAAAAATGGAGATGAGGCCAAAAGCGCGCATCTCGATTTATATCGAGCGGATGATTGAATTTATTGATGCAGTCCTCATGCGATTACTCCAATTAACGAGGAGCAACATAAAGTAGTACACAGCCGCCATGTTTATTTAGTGCGTCTGCATTGACACGATTCGTGGTAATTTTCGCGCGTCACCGTTAGCGACACTTGATTTACGTATCGGTGTCTTTCCGTTGGAGGAATCTCCTGTTTATTTGATACTTTATCAAGAAATTATTCAATGCATTAAAGCCGTTGAGGTGCTAGTGGCAATGAGGATGCACTTACAAAGATAATACTGGCACGTGATAAATAATTTTAAGTGGGTGATACAAATTTTCTGAGGACCACTGAATATTTTGTTAGTGATTAAATAAGGCTTTTAAGACCCATAAACAGTTTTATGGTGTAATGAACGGAAATGAGATCCGTAATTATGATTAAGGATATTTTGAAACATTGTTTTAACAAAAGAGATACTACTTACTTTTTTTTTATGCGAAAAGTTGTCAAACGAGCAGACGGTTCACCTGATGTATAATGATGAATGAGAGATGAATACCGCCGCCTATGGACATCTTCCACACCCGAGGGTTACAGATGCGTTGACAGCCTTTTGTAAATTGGGCTCCGGCTACCTCACTCACCAGACGAAACGCGAAACTATTTTTTATACTTACTATACTTATAACGCTCGCGTAAAGAGGGGTAATCAGTATCTATTTTGCTATATATTACATTCGTAATGAAAATGATTCCAAAATAAATTTATACTCATATGTATCACAATGAATCCTCGCCTTACCACTTCGGTTCGGATGTTCGGATACAGACATGTCTCAAAGGAGGTTTGTAAAAAAAACCGTAACGGAAGCGCCACCACTTAGCGCAATTAGACCGGACCCCGGCCACTACAGGCGCGCTTATTACAACCAATAATTGTCGTCACTTGATACCAAAGCTCCTTTGATAAAACAGAGTTATTAAACAGTAGGGTTCTGACTTCTTTCTTCTGACAGATAGAGATAGTGTAAGATTTGAGGAAGTATTTAAGTGTTTATTTAGCCAAAGCTATGATAGCTCAGTGCCCGGGCGTTCGATTTTAATTCTATATACTCCAGCAACCCGAGTTCAAATCCCAGTGCCGGTACCAATCAAATTGTCAATTGCAATTTTAAGTGCTAACTTATCAAGTACTTTGCGATTAAAGAAATCTTCGTTAGGAAACTTGCATATTTTAGAATATGAAGTCTGCAATACGCGCTGGGGTCGAGTATAATTGAACTATTTACCCTCTGCACAGTGCAACAGTGGTACATGTAGAGGCTGTTACTTTCTTTCTTTTTTAGTCTTCGTAGTAGTATTTTAAATGAAACAATTTTACGGCGTTTTAATTTTGATTTTTAATCCTTTTCAGAGTTCATATTAAATTAACTGCATTAAAACGTAAGGAACTTGAGGGCTTTGCATATTATTTAAGAATTATTGAGTAACTTCACCTAGGCAAATATAAACAAAGTACCAAGTCATCATTTTGTGAGTAAATTATCTTTAAAGAAAAGAGTATATTGCGGTATAAAAGGCACTCTCAAAAGAAATAACAATAAGTTATAGCAACAACAACAACAAGCAACCTTATTAATATTTAATGCGCAAACCGAAGCTTTTTGCTCCTGTAATCACAACGTGGGGCATGCTGTTTGTCTCTCGATGCACGAGCGGGCGCTAACAAATTGTGATGCAGCGCTAATGGCTGGCGGGTAGCCGCACCGCGTGGTAATTGGGGGCGCACGTTACCAAATCCCTCGCCGTACAAACAAACATAATGCTTACTAACACGAAAATCGATAACTAGCACTCCAGGCCGACAGTCGAGTCGCATGTGTCGGGCCGAAAATCTTTAAACGGACAATCTCGTGACATGAAGATTACCATATACCTGAATGGCGGCCGCGAGTCAATCAACTGTGACTTGTGTTTAGCATCACAGTGGAGCCTAATTGCCGAGGTGGTCAATTAGTAAGAGCGTGAACCGGCCTGTCAACTCCGGAGTGTCTTGTTGAGAATTTTTGTCGACTCTACACTGATTCATGTGCGGTGCGAAGGCCGACGGCTCCCATTATTCCACTACCAGCATCACAAGCGACTTTTTTGTGAATAACTCTTTACAGTATCGTCCTTAATAGTTTCCTCGTCTCGGTGACGTCTTACATTTGTTCGTCGCTCGCTTTGATATTTCACAATAGCAAAGGTTAAACGTGTGCATGATAACATCCTATTTTCAAGCGACTTCAAAATAGGAGGAAGTTCTCAATTCGGTTTTGTTTACTCAGAACTCCGTCTTAATGAAATAATTTTAAAAATCCTTTTTGCATTGAGTTCGGCTTAGCCCTCATATGGTGCGATATATTAAATGATTTGTACTTTGGAGTCCAGAGATACATAAGAAACGCCTCAAAATCAAATAGAAAATCTATAACGACTAAGATATTTGAAGTCGATTTTCTTTTTGTTATAAAATAGTGTAGTACTTGTTTATGCTACACAGTGTAACACAGTGTCAAGTAAATAGATTAAATGGCACTGGTTAATGGCATTGGTATTAAAGTAGATGTCGCAGAATTGTGAAGAAGTGTTTAGTAAAAGTATTAAGTATACTTTTTTTAAATCTGAGAAATGAAGTAATTGGGGCTGATAAAGTTGAACCCCAGGAATGTAAATACTTAGCTTCAGGTGAACTGTCTGCTCGCTTGCCACCCTCAACATAAAAAGAAGTCTGAACCCGAAACTTTCTCCAATATTGTAGTCGTGTTACCTCCTTCCATAAGAGGAATAAAACAAATAAAAAATGGTAACAAGAGCCCTAAAAATGGACATTGTTAAGAAGATACCGTTAAAGTTTATACGAGTATTAAGACATGTTCTCATAACAGGCGGCCCTGTACATTACCGGTCTCGTCTTAGCGATTGTTATCGTCAGACCTAAAGCTTCACAGTACAGAAGCATCTCAATTGGAATTTTATCGTCGTTGAATCGAACTGTGCCACAATTACGTTAGATATCATACATAATATCAGTGATCCCAATCGACTACCACTATACAATTTTTAGAAGTTATTTAACAATAAGAGTAGTCTATATTCTAACACCTTAATAGCAAAAGAATCACAGATTCTTGTGATCGATACTTTTACCGAAAGGGAAATAAGTTTTTGAATTATTTATTTATGTTAATTTTTAATATTTTATTTGCTAATAAGTACATATTTAACTGATTTTTACTAACAAAAACAAAACCGACATCTATTTTCTTTTGAGGAGGTCCTTGATTTAACCCCAGAGTCGAAGGTCCAATACTAATAAATTAATATGGCACCACATGGTAGATAAACCGAACCCGATTTCTGACTTAATAATTTTTTTTTAAATCGCTTCATAAATGACGGAAATCTGATGTAACAAACATAAAAAAAAACATACAACCGAATTGATAACCTCTATTTGAAGTTGATTGACAATTTTGTAAGAAACTCATAATAGATAGAGAGATACAGGGAAACTAAGAAAGAATTGGCAAACTAAAGGTGACACAATCTCTCTCATATACATTTTTTACACTATTGAAGGTCTACTCTAGAGATTTTCTCTCAACCCAATCATTTTTTGGAAATATCTGCTATAGTAGGTAATTACAAAGTTTAAAAATATATTTTAAATTAAAATTAACATGGCAACGGTGATCTTGCATCTAGGTTCTGATCCAGTTACATTTATCAATCAGGTTTTCTCATACTGTGCAAAACTTACAGCCCCCAACAGATTTTTTCATCACAGCTTTTAATAAACTTTAACTTCGACTGTGTTTAGGACTTAATAAAATGAGTTGAATGATGCACTAGCAATTTTTTAAAACCAGTTAGATAAGGTATTAACATTCTAACGTAAAGTTTTATTTTGTTGACCCAAAGTTGAGTTTTTCAAACGCGCACGATTAGGCGGCGGTAGTATTTATTGTCCGAGAAACTTTTTCATGATTCTTATGATACTAATAATAATTGTGTCCAGTAATTCCCTTTCCATCCGTACTTCGATTTCACTTGTTTGTAGCGTTCATCAAATTTATCAGCAACTATTAGTTTTATGAAAACCGATGTCAAACTGTTCATAAATTATTTATATCACATAACAATAAATGGGAGGTTTAAGATAGGAATAGACATATCATTTAATAAATTCATCCAAATCAGTAAGTATTTTTTTCTGTGGGTGATTTTTTTTTTGGGAGACGAAACAATTTAATTTTAAAACTAAGATAACTTTTACCAAGTATATTTTTTTATTTTGACAATTTGTTTTACGTTAATCGAAAAAATATATCTTGTAGTAAAGTTTAAAGCATAACGCCAATGTCAATAAACGGCAGTAAAGCTAAATAAGTAAACAAATAAATTGAAGTAAATGATATGGACCTGCCTACAAAAATTACCGACTTGTGTAAATTAGGTTCAAATATTCTATATGATAGCTCAGTGTCCGGGCGCTCGCATTTAATTACAATATACACGAGCAACCTGAGTTCGATCCCGGTGTCGGTGAAAATAAATTTTAAATACTGACTTGTAACGCGCTCCGCGGGGAAGGAAAATATCGTAATAAACCTGCATTATTTCGAAGATATGTGAAGTCCGCCAATCCGCAGTGGGGTCACGTGGTCTATGCCGTCTGTCTTGAGGAGGCCTTTGCCTAGCAGTGGGACATGTATAGGCTGTTACTTTACTTTCTTTTTGTTCCATACGATAAGGTTTATTTTTGGTTGTATAATACTGGTGTTAATCTTTTAAAAGAGACCCGGCGAGTTTATCAAGACAGATCATGTATTAAAAGAGGTCTTGTGTGTAACAAAATCTCTTTTTTGTTTCCAGACGCATTCGGATCAGATGCCTTTCCGCTGTGAGTTCTGTTCGAGACTGTTCAAGCACAAGCGCTCGCGAGACCGCCACGTGAAGCTTCATACCGGCGACCGTAAATACCGCTGTGCCCATTGCGAATCAGCATTTTCCAGAAGGTACACACATCTACTTAACTATAACTTGAAATAAAGTAATGGGTTTGATAATACTATAATGCACAAATGCAACGATCCTTATGGAAATTGTATCTATACTCCGGGCTATTCTGGAGGTAGCCCAGCCAGGTGAGAAGATGGCAAGCGAGCTGGTGCGGTTTACATGATGCTGAGTGATAATCACCGTCCATGGTCATTTGAAACACCCGTTGGATTACAGATACGTTGCCACCTTTTAATAAAGTGGGCCTCGGCTACCTCACTCATCAGAAGAAACGCAGAAGTTTAACAGTTCCACTTCACCCCGGTCTTTGAGGTCATGGTACTTACCCAGACGGACCTGTCCATTCGTGCAACAGCCGAAGCTATTGCGTGGCCCTATCACAGTTAAGCACTGCTGTCAATGTTGTCTGGTATATAACAACTAGAGGAATCGACAACGTGTACCGAAGCAATGTTAAAATGTCTATATGTAAATTGTGAATTCAAGTTATTACAGTTATTTACAAATTACGAAAAGTTAAAACAAACATAGCATTAAATTGGAACTATGTTCTAAGGCAATAATATACATAAAGACTCCCTAACAAGATTACCGAACTCAGCCATCAGTAGAGAAAGAACTAATCGGTGTTATTCTATCATGTATAAAAAGTACATTTATAAGTACATTTGCCTTTTTTATTGAAGACTATAATATATCTAGGTATATTCCTTAGAGCATAAATACTTCTAAAATGTATACGACGGTCATAGGCAATCGTAATACGGATAATCGCTACTTTTGGGGTAGGAACTGTTCAATCAACGTGCACAGCTTAACGCTGAGACAATGACCTCGAGGCAAGATTGATCACCGTCAGCGAGGGCACAAAGCCAAGTGACGGCCGCGGGGCGAAGCGTCACCTTTCGTCACCTCGACGCGGCCACGTGACTAATTCCACTCAATCCATCGTCAACGGCGCGCAGCGGTGAAAAGACACGAACCGCTGACAAATGGTGCCGAGGGCCTCACAAAAATGAAATAATGGCCCGCACCGAAACGGGCACGATGCGCGGCCATTAGCCGAGGTGTTTGGGCGAACGCATTTCTGTGGTCCGCGTGAAAAGCCCCTTTGTCAGTCGCGTTTGGTCCGTGCTTTATGTGCCCACTTACGTCTCGTATGACAAATCGACTCCAACGCGGGCACAATGCCACACCGATGCGTTCAATTCTGAATTCTCGGACGGACGGGTTTTTAAACTAGGCGAACATTCTCATGTAGGAGACATAAGACGTTGGTAATCTTGAAAAATGGAATTAGCCGAGGACAGGATCTTTCTTCTATATTAGAAAAAGTAACATGAAATGTTAAATGTGACATTCACATTCATGTGTGTGACCCCGGGATTGAGTTTTAGGGTAATAAAGTTATAGACGCGCCCCAAGCATATTTTCTGGCGCGTAGACCGCATCTTTAGGCAAGACTATCTAATCATAACCGATTTAGAATTATGAAGTAATCTTAAACTAACGATTATTTTTGGCATCAATTCATTGTTCAATGCATACACTGACTGCTACGAATGTCACCGCATACAATCCTACAACGCAAGCCACCGTTGCTTCCAGTGACCACCTGAAGATCCACATGAAGACGCACGATAATCAGAAGCCGTTCCAGTGCACGGTTTGCAACCGTGGCTATAACACGGCCGCGGCACTGACGTCACACATGCAGGGTCACAAGAGGGACCGAGAAGGCCGCGACCCGGACCGCCGAAGGGCTCTACGCTGCTTGCAATGCGGAGACGCCTTCCGTCGTCCAGAAATGCTCCAGGTATTTTATATTCTGTTAGAATACATGCTATATGTTATAAAACAAAGTCGTCCCGATGTCTGTCTGTCCTATATACTAAAACTACGCAACGAATTTTGATGTGATTTTCATTAAAAGATAGAGTGATTCAAGAAGAAGGTTTATATTGTAATTCATGCATTATATAGTAGAGAAACACTGATAATTTTAGAGGTTTCTAATGCGATGTCGAAAACAAACATTCAGCATTGCACCCGTGCGAAGCCGGGGCGGGTCGCGGGCGATTAATATATTTAAACAACCAACACATATAAAAGTAATTTTACAAATCGCATTTATAAAATCGGAAGAAATAACTAACTGCTTTGCTAGATCACCCCGTATTATTGTCAGTGCCCTTCACAATTTTATGTGTGAAGTCACTGCGATATAATATGTTAAGTAAGATTAATTCGACCAAGAATTAATAAATCTATAATAATTATATGCCATGGTTTTGTATTTTCACAGGTAAGATAGGCTCGAAACGAATTCTAAACAAAAATAATGTGACGACTAAAATGTAATTTGTAGAAAAGTGACATTCCGAGGAATTCACACTTGTGAATTAGATACTGTGAGTATGTACAGCAGTGTACTCAAAGGCTGAAATGATGATGAAATTGGATATATGGAAGTGTATGTTTAGCTTTCAAATCCTGTTCCAGTTTTTACGGAAATAAAGATTCATAAAGCGTTGTTTAAACGAAATCCGTATGTTTAGTAACGGCCAAGAGCACACGTACAAAACGACGAGGTTTTTCTCTAATGGACGTTGATATCAATTTGTTTCATTTCAGGCGCACATGGCCACGACGCACGGTGTGGACGCTGCTTCTTTGACGCCGCCGAGGCGGGTCGCCTCCCAGCCGCCGCCGACCCTCCTCGCCTGCATATACTGCACGCGTGACACATTCACCAGCATGGAGCAGTTGCAGCTGCACGTGCGCGCCGCCCATTCCGCTCTGCTGAACGGCGACGCGCCAATGCCGCAGACCATAGAACAACCAGCGCCCACAGACCTCAGCCGGAGGACAGCAGATGACGTCACGAGCGCGAAACGACCAAGGTCCAGTTCCGGGTCAGCGACGCCTCAGGCAACACTGTCGCCGAGCACGCTCCTATGCAATCAGTGCGACGCGGCCCTACCCGACTTCGAGGCGTTCAGAGCTCATCTCAAAGGCCACCTAGAGGAGGGGGGAGAGCTGAACCGCTTTAGCCCCGCGCCCTGTGTCCACTGCGGCGCTAGTTTCGCAGACATCGCCGCGACAGAGCGTCACTTGGCTGCGCACTACCTGGCCGTGTCCTGCGAGTATACCTGCAACAGCTGCGTACGCAGTTTCCCGACGCCGGACGACTTGCAAAAGCACCTCTTCGACTTGCACGCCCACCATTTGTACCGCTGTTCACTGTGCAAGGAAGTCTTCGATTCAAAAGTCGCCATCCAGGTGAGGTTACTAACATAGTTTTTAAACATAGTCAAAATTTCGATGTTATTACTATGTAACTCTAGTCATTTCTGGGTGGTGCTTTCGCTTTTAGTCTTAGAATAATATTATAAAATAAAGCTTCAATGGGCATAGCGCCTGCAGAAGGCTAGCTTCCACGACTTGCTATGTACCAACATCACAAATGTTGTAGTAGTATACTTTTATGAAAGAACACGTTGGTAACCAACTCAAAACTAACCACATCCTGGGTCGGCTGGTACAGAATGCCTTTAGGCATAAAGTACTCCATAAGAAGGTTTTTTATATAAAGTTCATCATCGACATCGCATATTTGCACAGGTCGTCACTATGGAGTGTGCTGGACATAGGAATAGATGGCTATTCCTATGTTCAGCAGTAGACACTAACAGGCTGAAATTAACACACAAGCACACACAACCAACGGCTGCGGACGTTGCAGGTGCACTTCGCGGTCGCGCACAGCGGCGAGAGCAAAGTGTGGATGTGCCGGCCGTGCGGCGCGAGCGGGGGCACGATGCGCTCGGAGGCGGAGGGAGCGGCGCACGTGCGCGCGCGGCACGCGGCGGCGCGGTGCGGCTGCGGTGCGGTGCTGCCCGCCCCCCGCCGCGCCTATCGCTGCCCCGCGCCCGCCTGCGCGGACAGCTTCGCCGTCCAGTACCTGCTCGAGAGGCACGTGCAGATGCACCACGTGCAGCAGGTCGGTTCCTTTAAGTGGCGCGAACGCGAGTGCGGTCTTGCCATCACTTTTGCCGTTGATCTCTTATGCCCGGTTCCTATAAAGGGTGGCTTTTTTAAGTGTGCCCAAATCTACACAGGTGGTTTAGACTCGATAGTATAATCGTTTATTGAAATAAAAACAAACTTTTTTTTTTCATAAAATTACCATTCTATTCCCTAAAAAACAGAATTTGTTGACAATGCGTAAGGCATTCATAAATGCGTCCTATACTTTTGAAACGAACTTGTGTGCGTGTTATTTATGAATGATCACGTGTAAAATAAATGAGTTGCCTATAAATCACGCACTTTTTGACATAAGTTCAAATGAATGTAATTAATTAATTAAGAGTGATTCTAAATATTTATAATTTTTTATATAACATTATTTATGTCTAGAATTTAGTAAAACAAAACGTTTCTAACACTTAGAAAAGCCTCCCTGTATTCAACGAACGGCCTTTAGTTACATAACGACGTAACTTTCATAACGACTCGTTGTAACGACTTCATAATTTCTGTGTAACTAACAGCCGTTCGTTGAATATAGGAACAGGGCATTAGTGGATGATCGCAACGGTCAATGGATATACGCAGCGTTAGCGAAATTAGTGACATTTCAGAGGATACCTTACGCTTACCTTAATTATTGGAAAAAGATTGACATACTTCTTCTTCACACCAGTTGCCTCATATAAATTTATGCGAGATTTGTTGATGCTCTACTTGGTAAATGAAACAAAGAGAAAACAAACAGATCAGACCGACAAGATAGGCCACCAAAAAAAAAAAGAGTTCCCTTGCCTTTTGGTAGAAATGCTTGTATGACATTATTATCAACTGTCGTTGATCACCGATGTGCAATGATCAGTATGAATTTCGCTGGCAGTGTTGTACATACCTGTAAAGCGTAATTCATTTACCAAAATATACTATTTCTCTTTATCTTCGTTTATTGTGCATTACTCGATGGTGTGTCTAAATAAATGAATTAATAGGAACTCGGTAATTAATACTTGCAGTTGAATTAAGTGAACAACTCTACAATCGCCAAAGACCACCTCACTCACAAGACTAATAGAACAGTAACAGTTCACTTCAGTAACGCTTTTTCTTCTGTTGATTTTGATATTTAACTCGGTATCCTTCATTCAAATAAATAGGGAAATAAGCAGGGCCTTTGTACAAATTCTTTCATGTATTTACATTTCTGTCATAATTCTCTGTGTGCATACATGAATTATAAATTAAAAAAAAAAATAAAAACAATTATCTACGCAGGCGTTGAACGGTGAAATGGTGCGTCCGAAGCGCGCGGACAACAACAACCACGCGGACGGCGACGGGTCGTGTTCGCCGTGCGTGGGCGGCGACGGCGTGGGGCTGCCCGGCGACGAGCGGCGCCGCAAGAACGGCGCGGTGGCGCTCCAGTGCGCGTACTGCGGCGAGCGCACGCGCAGTAGGGCCGAGCTTGAGGCGCACACCAGAGCGCACGCGGGCGCCGCGCGCCACAAGTGCCTCATATGCGACGAGGTGCTGCCCTCCGCCGCCGTGCTGGCCGAACACAAGCTCTCGCATTGCAAGGTAGAGGCCTCTTGCTATTCGTCTTTTCTAATTTACCCGTACCCCACCGTCCACCGCCTTTTCAATGTGGATTTGCTAAGTCTCTTATATCATTACTTCGAAATGTTTACAATGTAGAATTGATGAATACAAAGGGAGCTGGTTATCCTCAGGGTGTTTTCCTCCGCCGACAAATTTTATTTAACTGTGTGTTTTTGGGCGACGTCAAAAATAGTAATAAATGGTTTAGCCATTTCAACCAGGTCACTTTTAATGATGTCATTTGAAAAATAACAAAAGGAAAAACTGCAATATAATTTCAGGTTATTGCCGGCGACACATGTTCCCGATGCCGCGCCAGACTGCCGTCCGAGGAAGCGTTCCTTTCTCATATGGCGCGTCACCACCCAGCGTTGCCCGCGCCCTGCGTCGTCTGCCGCCAGACGCTCGCTTCGGAGGCGGAGGCGAGGCTCCACGCGCGGTTCCATCTCCGCCCGAACGAGGACGAACAGCGGTGCGCGATCTGCCTCAGGCCCTTGGCAGAGAGCGAGGCCGGGGAGGGCGTCAGGGCTTGCACCGCTTGCTACGCGCGCCACTCCACGCCGCGACCGCCGCCAATCGCCGACAACGACTGCCGCCTCTGCCGACGCTCGCTCGGCTCCCCTACCCGCCTCCAAGCGCACCTCATCGAGCACACGTTCGCGGGCATCGGCGCCTTCACCTGCTACCTGTGCTCGGCCGTGTTCACCAGCGCCGCCGGCTTGCAACGCCACCTGCCCGAGCACGCGTCGGCGCCGCGCCCCTACGACTGCGCCCGCTGCGGGGCGAAGTTCTTCTTCCGCGCCGAGCTCGACAACCACGCGTTCGTTCACATCGAGGAGGCGGAGTTGGCACAAAGGGCGTTCTATGAGGCCTACGCGAGGGGCGCCGCGTCCGCTTGGGCGGCCCTCGCTCCCCCACCGGAGCCTGTTCCCATGTCGTCAGTTCCGGGGCCAGTCCCGCCCGTTTCGGAGGTACCGGTTAAAACCGAGCCGGGGATAAAAGAAGAGCGTAATAACGACGAATATATCGAGGTGTCGTCTCCGCTGCCCGCGACTGCCCCAGCCTCCCCGCCCCCTCCACCGCAGTCTGACTCTCCCGCTGCGGTAGTGAAGCAAGAGAAACCCGACGAAGATTGAGCAGTCGTCCGATTCCTAATGTATGAGAAATCGTCCGGTTGGCGGGGCCCAGCCCGCTGCAATATTAGATTACGTCCCAGCAAAATAGCTGCAGCTAGTTAGTTATGTTTAATGTTATTTTCACTGTTGAAATGGAGCGTTTAGAACGCTGCGCCGATTGTAATATACATAGAGCTAGATCGTACGGTTTACGTTGTATGTTTTATAACATTTACACTTATTTGTATAAATTGTTAACTTAATAAATTATTATGTTAGGCTTCACATCTAACTGTTGGTTTTATTAACGTCGTGAAGATAATGAAAGCCTTTATTACATCAGAGGTTGTGATGAAGAAAATGTACCAAGTACGTTCAAAAGCAGGTACAGGTGTAATAAATTATTGTAGTGCGCGTTGTACCTAAAGCAAAAAAAGGCTCTACGAATTAATACAACACAGTAATTAGACCTTCACTTTTAATATATTGTTCTTTAATTTCATTGACACATGAAACATAAATCAACCTTAAAATAATAACAGTCAATAGCATATAAAACTTAGCAATCCTAATAACCCCCATAAGTATTTCCTATTTCTCATACGAATACTGTATGAGAAGACATTACGTATTATCGACTAACAAAATGTCAAATAGTTTCATGAAGTTTCATGGTTTGCATTAGGCATGTCCAGAATAAAGTAGACGTATCCACTATTAAAACTTTAATCACAAATTAAGACATTAAAGTTACGTTGGTGATTTTAGGCCGCGGCAACCTGTTGTTGAATCCACGGCAAAAGGGCGGCGACGTTCACGTAGGCGGCCGGCACGTTAGCGTTCGCGCAGCCCAGGCCCCACGCGACCAGACCCACCACCACCCACTGCCCGTTTACCTGGCACACTAAGCCGGAACCGCCATCGCCCTAAAATCACGAAACAAATTGACGAGCCGATTGCCCAAGTGGGTAATCGGCTCGTGAACCTGCTCCTTTCACCAGAGGGTGTGGGTTCGATCTCGACTAGTGGAAAAATATTGAGTGAACATAGTGTTTTTCCAGTGTTTTGGTGTCTATATATTTTTTTTATGTGTAAAGTTGCCAAAGGAGCAGACGGTTCACCTGATGGAAGTGAATACCGCTGCCCATGGACATCTGCTACGCTCGAGGGTTACATGGGCGTTGACAACCTTTTGAAAATTGGGCTCCGGCTACCGCACTCACCAGACGAAACGCGAAAGTATTTGTCATACTTCCACTTTACTACGATCTTCTGTGAGGTCGTGGTACTTACCCGGACGGGCATGCCGTGGCCCTACCACCTTTTTATTATTATATATATTATATTCATATATATTTATATTTTTATCAGTTTTCTAGTACATTACCCATAAAAATGTGTACTGAAATATATATATATATATATAAGAGATTTCCACTGATAATTAACTCATCGCGATATCTCTGAAACCATAAGGCGTAGGGACTTGGTAGGAATATTCCTTTCGCCAAGTAGAGGTCAGCTAAGAACGGATTTTACGAAATTCCACAAAACAACGTTTGCCGAATCATCTAGCTTAATATAAAATGACCATTACACACACATTACACAAAGTTACAAAAGGCACCCTTTAGATTGTAAAGAAAAAGTTATATCACACAGCTAGGCAACGGCCTCCATACCATGAGTATTATATATTTACAAACTAACGCAAATCTGTTTTTCAAACTCTTGGTTTTTTACTGTACCCATACGTATGTTCATATTCATTAGACGCTTGACGAAAGTTACTTCAACATCGTCACAATTCTTTCATAAATGTGAAGAGGTCATGGAGGAATATGCTAGAATTTCTAACAAACGAACCACATATGCAAAGATGTTTTGGTAAACCCGCCAAATATAGGTATAAACTTAGTCAAACGCTTAGCATTTGAAAAATTTATTTGAACATTTATCGCTAATTTAAAGTTTTTATGGCGACTCTACATTTACGTGAGGTAGAGAGGAATTTCGAGATGTTTCTTTATTTCTAGTCGGCATATTGATTGGGATAAGATGTTAGCCAAAGATTTTATTTAAAAAACAAATCTCTAATTATCCAATAAGGTACATAATCTTTATGTGTAACGAAAACTTTTATATAATCGAGATGTCATTAAATACATAGATTGTTCATATGATTTTATGTGATGTGTGTTCATTTGGGGTCATTCGTATATTAGTAACAGATGAGAACACCAGACTAAAGTGATATAATCCAAAATTACGTTTTCATACCCAATTATTTTTTTATTTGAAAAGATGGCAAGCGAGCTGGCGGTTCACCTGATGTTAAGTGACAACCGCCGCCCATGGACATTTGCAACATCCGTGGGTTTGCAAATGTGTTTCAACCTTTAAATAAAGTGGGCTCTAACTCACTCACCGGATGAAACGCAGAGCTATAATACTTCGACTTCACGCCGGTCTCCTATGTGGCCGTGGTACTTCCCCTGAACAACTCTGCCCATTCGTGCAACAGCGAAGTTGGTTGCGTGGCCCTACCACAGTAGCTTCATATATTCTATAATTCTATGCTTCATGAAATATTACTAATTTAATCGTATTTTAGATGAAAAATGTACATTGCTAACCTAGCTTTATTAAGTAACAATACAGGCATAAGCGACTCACGGTGCAAGCATCTTTGTCTGCTTCTCCGCCGGCACAGACAAAAGAAGTAGTATCCAACACAAAGGTTGGGCCTAGTCGAGCCGTTTGCATTTGCGATTGACACGTAGCTGGCGCGACTATGGGCACATCGACTTTTTTTATGATCTGCTGATACTGGCCGGTCACACCGAACATATTTTTACCCCATCCAGATACCCAGCACCTAAAACGTAAGTAGCAAGTATTGTAGTTTGATGTTGATTTAACTTTAACTATCTATATTTTACTTTAACTATCCATATTTACTATTTTACTACACTGTAGGAGCAGATTATGGTTGTTTTTATATAGAGCAGTTATGATTGTTTAGTGTATGATTTTAAACATTTTCAGTCCACATTTTCGTACTTCAGTCAAAGCGCCTTGTTTTAATGGACAGCGCTAGTAAGAAACTAAGAATAAACTTGGAAAGACTTTACACTTATGCCCTTGACCTATGGCAGCCCAGGCGCTGCCTGACGTTAGAGCCATTTGAAAATCTAATCCATGGAGATGATTTACTTTTATAGTACTTAGTTTACCTAAGTCCGGTGTAAACAGAATTTGATGATGCAGGTAAGCAGACCCTGTTTATGGTAGTTGTGGATCCGTTCGCTGGCGTAAAAGGCACTGGCGCCGACAACCGTAATACGGTTATGTCATATTGCAACGTATTCGCAATATATGAAGGGTGGCTGAAAACTTTTTGCACTGTATACTCTTGGTAAGGAATTGGTTCGTAAGTGCCCGCGGCGTCCCATTCGCCCAATCGCACTTTCACATTTGGCGCTGTTCCTGAAACACTTAAAATTTTGAACAATTAGGACAGAACTTTAAAAATCCATCCAATATGTCTTTTTAAAAAGGAAATTTACTCACATATAAGACGTCAATGCTGCAGTAGTTGCTGCAGTAGTTGCTGCAGTAGTTGCTGCAGTAGTTGCTGCAGTAGTTGCTGCAGTAGTTGCTGCAGTAGTTGCTGCAGTAGTTGCTGCAGTAGTTGCTGCAGTAGTTGCTGCAGTAGTTGCTGCAGTAGTTGCTGCAGTAGTTGCTGCAGTAGTTGCTGCAGTAGTTGCTGCAGTAGTTGCTGCAGTAGTTGCTGCAGTAGTTGCTGCAGTAGTTGCTGCAGTAGTTGCTGCAGTAGTTGCTGCAGTAGTTGCTGCAGTAGTTGCTGCAGTAGTTGCTGCAGTAGTTGCTGCAGTAGTTGCTGCAGTAGTTGCTGCAGTAGTTGCTGCAGTAGTTGCTGCAGTAGTTGCTGCAGTAGTTGCTGCAGTAGTTGCTGCAGTAGTTGCTGCAGTAGTTGCTGCAGTAGTTGCTGCAGTAGTTGCTGCAGTAGTTGCTGCAGTAGTTGCTGCAGTAGTTGCTGCAGTAGTTGCTGCAGTAGTTGCTGCAGTAGTTGCTGCAGTAGTTGCTGCAGTAGTTGCTGCAGTAGTTGCTGCAGTAGTTGCTGCAGTAGTTGCTGCAGTAGTTGCTGCAGTAGTTGCTGCAGTAGTTGCTGCAGTAGTTGCTGCAGTAGTTGCTGCAGTAGTTGCTGCAGTAGTTGCTGCAGTAGTTGCTGCAGTAGTTGCTGCAGTAGTTGCTGCAGTAGTTGCTGCAGTAGTTGCTGCAGTAGTTGCTGCAGTAGTTGCTGCAGTAGTTGCTGCAGTAGTTGCTGCAGTAGTTGCTGCAGTAGTTGCTGCAGTAGTTGCTGCAGTAGTTGCTGCAGTAGTTGCTGCAGTAGTTGCTGCAGTAGTTGCTGCAGTAGTTGCTGCAGTAGTTGCTGCAGTAGTTGCTGCAGTAGTTGCTGCAGTAGTTGCTGCAGTAGTTGCTGCGTGCTGTGGTTGCAGCGGTAGATGCAGCGGTGGTTGCTGCGGTAGTTGTTGTGGTAGTTGCTGGAGTAGTCGCCGCGGAAGATGCTGCAGTAGTTGCTGCAGTAGTTGCTGCAGTAGTTGCTGCGGTAGTTGCTGCGGGGTTGTTGCAGTAGTTGCATTAGATGGTCTAGCTATAGTTGTTGTCATCATTGGTGGTGTTCCAGTCTTATTACCCGGTGGTGGCGGAGGTGAAGTCATATTTCCAGGCATAGGTGGACGCGCTGTTGTTGTGGTAGTGGTGGTAGTGCCTGCCGGTGTTGTTGATGCTGCGGTGGCAGCAGTCGTCGCAACAGTAGTAGGTTGTAGTATTGGAGTAGGAACTCCCTGGACGACGATAACATTTGGTGGTGGAGGATTTGTCGGTAGAAGTCCTAAACACGCAGTTATCAACCAGAGACACATATTAATTATCACTGTATCTTTTTTGTGAGTTGAGGTGCACTGTTGTTGAGGTGTAGATCGGTGTAAAGCTTATAAAATCGTCGCGTTGATGGCGGTGTATTAAATATGCCCTCAACAAAGTAATTGTTGGTATTCCCCTAATAGGAGCAGCCTTCATGGTGCTTTGCGCATAGCTTAATAGCTGTAAATTGTTGCAATCATCAAAATGTGAATTATTAATGTAGTCCTAGCCATATATTGATAATTTTATTTATAGAAACGTACTAATAACACTTAAATTACTTGAGTACCTTATGAAATTACGTAAGCGTTAATGTTATTTAAAATAAAGATATTTTCAGTTTTACTTTAGAATGTATTTTTATAAAGATTTTCCAAGCACTGAATTATACGTTAAAAGTTAAACTTAAACTTTATTCAGGTCGAAATATGTAATATGTTCCTGCTATATGATTGATTCTAACCCAATTAACTGTTTCACAACTGAACCACGAGACCATATCGAAATCCAAATAACGAATTGTCAGACTCACAACCATTAGGTCATAACGAGGTTTGTACGACGGACAATTCATTTTTAGGTTAGAACGCTTTAGAGCGAATAATGATAGGCACACTAGCATTCATTCATTCTGTGTGAACATTGATTGTGAAAATACTTGGAATGGTATTTGCATAACACATTAAGGTATTAATGATGTAATATGTACAGTAACAAATGTTTAAATAATTTTCATTAAGGTCATTGGGTACTTTTATAAAAAAAAAATTTACTGTATTATTATCGAGTGGTAATTCTTTGGTACCTAACGTTTTCAATTTTAGGTTCCACTACTAAAAATTGGCAATAAGCGTATATTAAAGAATTCTGTAAGCACTTGCAATAGCTTCGCGTTTCGTCTGGTGAGTGAGGTGACCGGAGCCCAATTTGCAAAAGGTTGTCAACGCATCTGGAACCCTTGGGTGTAGCAGATGTCCATGAGCGGCGGAATTCACTTAACATCAGGTGAACCGTCTGCTCGCTTGGCAACTTTTTACATTAAAAAAAAGCTTCAATAACATCATAATACAATAGTTTCCAAATTATCATAGAGCAAGAATAATAATAATAGACTTAATATCTAAAAATAGAAACTTTATCATGTTAATAATATTTATTTATTTATTTATTTATTTATTTAAAGAACGCCAACATAATGTACACTATTTAAGACTTAGGAAAATAAATATACATCAACTGTTCGTTAGTGTCATTACAATTAAAGGCGCTGACAGCATGCAATATAATGGGCGAGAAAAATACAGTTAAAGATATTTTTTTTTGTTACAAAATCCAAAATTAAAACAAGAATTAATAAATTAAAAACAAATAATTTGACAAAGGAAATAACAGTAAAAAACATTAAAGACAGTGATAAACAATGAATTTAGGTATGATTATGCAATAAATTTAGGTATGATTTATACATGGACTAATAATACTATTTAAGTTTCTACAAGTACATGGGGAGATCAGGAAATCTGCTTGACAATAAACCAGGCGAAAACAGTCAAAATGAGTAACAACAATCCGTGATTATTAAAGTAATATAGTATTTTCGGAAAATAATTTTAGCAATTCTTTCTTTAGCTTGGCGGCACTATCTGAAAACAAGTCCGATGTAGAAGTTCTCGAGATGTTATTGTAATTCCTAACCATTCTGTTTAAAGGCGCTTGCTGTCCAAGGTTGGATTTACATGAACAGTTCGAGAAAATATTAAATCTAGAGCGTCGGGGCAGCTTTGAGGGAACGGTAAAGTTTAAAAGGGACAGCAGATAAGGAGCATCAATAGTGCCATTGGCAAGCTTTTGCAGGAAGAGAATTTCGAGCATTGCCCTCAACCTTTTTTGAACGCTTTCCAGTCTTTTCGCGTAAACGTTATATTTAGGATTCCAAACGACGCAACCATACTCTAAGCCACTGCGTACGAGACCGTTGTACAATAAGATCTTGATCTTGGAGCTTTTGAAATCTTTAGTGTTTCGTAGAACGAAACCAAGGCTTCTAAAACCTTTAGAACAAATGTTGTCTATGTGGAGATTAAATCGCATTTTGCTATCGAGCAACACTCCCAAGTCTCTAACATGATCGACCCTTGACAACTCCTGGTTTTTGACGATGTATTTGCAATCCAAATTAGACATTTTTTCTGGAAAAAAGCGCATCACAAGGCACTTAGAGATGTTTAAATCCATCTGATTTTTATCACACCAAGCCTCTAGACGGACAAGGTCTTCTTGTAATAAAGCTGAATCTGAGAAGGTATCAACGATTCTAAAAAACTTCAAATCATCAGCGAATAAATAATAGCTTGTATTAAGGAAGCAGTCACTAATGTCATTTATGAAGACATTGAATAAAAGTGGGCCAAGATGAGATCCCTGTGGGACACCAGAACACACAGTGAAGGGATCAGATCTGTAGCCATTGACTACAACCAGGGATTTACGATGCGACAGATATGAATTGCACCATCCCAATAAGGGTTCGCCGATACCAAACGCAGAGATTTTTCGTGCTAGAATTTGATGACTCACTCGATCAAAGGCCTTGCTGAAGTCAGTGTAGACTACTTCCACTGATGAGCGAGAATCAACAATCAGGCTTACGTCGTTAACAAAAGATACCAGGTTAGTTATGGTGGATCTGTTTCTGATAAAGCCATGCTGCCGGCTGTGAATGAAGTGTTTAAAATGCCAAGTCAGAAGAGGGTGAAGCAGCTGTTCAAACACTTTAGCAAATACTGGGAGGATAGAAATGGGTCTATAGTTTCGCACATTATCTTTATCGCCATTCTTAAATAATGGGACAATTAGTGCTGTCTTCCAATGGGAAGGGAAGGTGCCAGTATTGATGGATTTATTGTAGATGAGGCATAAAGGTCTAGCCAGAGCCGAGGCACATTTATTCACAAAAATTGCTGGTACTCCATCAGATCCAGCACCCTTAGATACATCGAGTCTTTTTAAAACCTTCCAAACCTGGTCGTGTCTAAACTTGATAGAGGTTATGTAATTATTGGTAGATAATGTTTGGGCGTAAGTAGTGTATGTAGAAACAGGGGTGTCGTGTCTATACATGGATGAAAAGTAATCAGCAAACAGATTGCAAATAACTTTGCCATTCGTAGCTGTGTTATTGTTTAAAGTCATTTGAGCTGGATAGTGGCTAGTCCCTCCTTTTTTGTTTTTTATGAATGTCCAGAAAAACTTAGGGTTGGAACGTAGGTTCTGTTCAAGCCCGTTAATGTAATTTTTGTAGCATTGGGTCATTAATTGAACACAACGTTTCCTTGCTAATTCGAAGCAAAGTTTATCAAGAGGATTGTTACTAAACTTTCGTAATTTATTTTTATATTTGAGTTTTTCTCTCAACATTCGTTTCAAGTTCTGTGAAAACCAAACGGGATATTTATTCGATTTAGGATGAGACCTGGGAACATGGATTTCGATAATATCTCTAAGGCACTTGTAAAATTCATCAAGCATGTCATCAACCGTTTTACAAGTTTGAAATAGGTCATTCCAACGTACCTTGCTGAGGTCCATCGTGATCTTATCGTAGTCAGCCTTAAAGAAGCAGTAGCGAGCCGAGAGGTTATGCGGTAAATTATTATTATCGTAGTAAATGGATACAACAAATTCCAGTGGTGGATGCAATGGATCAACGATGGATAGAGGGATACTAGTAACACTGAGATTGGATACATTGATGTTGCTCAATACCAAGTCTAAAATTTTACCTTTGTTGTTTAAATTAAGATTGAACTGTTTTAAATTATTCAGCTCTACGAAATCTAAGAGAAGGGTAGAGTATGTACTATTATTTGCGTCCATGTATGTAGTGGCGTAATTATTGTTTGAACAGTTCCAAGTTATTGATCCCAAATTAAAGTCTCCTACAAGCATTACGTTCGAGATATTGTGTTGGTCCAGCACTCTGGTAGAGTTATTAAGGAATTCATCTAAGATATGCCTCTGTATAGGTGGTGGAAGGTAAATTGCACACAAGTAAAGAAGTTCCTTACTACCGTTATCTCCGTAACACTCTAATGCTACCCAGAGGTCTTCACACTTAGACTCAAAAGCCTGTAGTCGCATAGAATTAAAGCGTCTTGAGATAGCAATAAGTACACCTCCACCATTTTTTTTCTCGTGAAATCCACTAGTTTCTCTATCGCGCCTGTAAACAGAATAGCGATTGTCGAACAATTCAGAATCGAAAATACTGTCATTTAACCAGGTTTCACTTAGAATCACAATATCATAATCATTACAAACAATATTATTAAAAAATTCGATTGTCTTAGTTCTCAAGCCCCGTACATTTTGATAGTAAATATTTAACATTAATAACAAAACAGATGCAAGCCAAAGAGAAAGTAATGCTCCAAAATTACAGTACACTATATAAATGTATATTACTATTTTTTTTTATGTTAGGTTCTTCAAGATGTCCCCGTCCTTCACGAAGATAAAGCTCGAACTGTCAGATTTTCTTAGAAACACTTTGCCGTCCCGCACCCACACGAATTTGTAATTTAGTTCTCTGGCCTTGTGCCGAGCAGCAGCATGCAGCAATTTTGTATCCGAAGTGAGATGCTCTGACACGAATACTGGGGTTGTCTTGTCTCCACCAAAACCTAAGTGACCTGTATTTAGCTTATTGTCTTTGTTGTTTTTATTGTACTTAATCACACCAGCTAAGAAAGTGTCACGTAGTCGACGAGAGCCAAATTTTACCAGGATCGAACGTGGCCTAGGACTGCTGGTGTTAAATTTCGCGATGCGATTGCAGTATTGCAGTTCGAAGTCCGTTATTGGACACTTAATTGTGTTAGCGAGTTGATGTACTATGCTATACAAGTTTTCGTTTTTATGTTCGGGTACGCACTGTATTTCTAAATTGTTTGCACGAGATAACTGTTCAAATTGATTTAGGCGATGACCCAGATTTTTGGCAGTGCTCTGTAATAACTCGTTGTCTTTTTGTAGTTTTACAATTGCAGCCCTTTGTGTCTCACACTCACTGGTAATCTTGGACTGTTCTGCAGTGAAGAAGGCTAATGATTGCTCCAAATTGTACAGCTTTGATTTTATCTCCTTCACCTCTGTGTTGAATTTTCGATCTAGCTCTTCTCTAATTATTTCTCGTATGATATCGGCGGATAAGCAAGTACAGGAACGAGAAACACTACGTGGTCCTGAGCGCACAGTAACGTTGTCGTGTTCGTATTGTGATACTACAGAAATATCAGGGTTCTTTGATGTTGAACGAATTGGTGTACTTGAATTGTCACCACGTTTGGGCTCCTTACAACGGCAAGATGGACACACCCAGGTTTCCTTGAAGTCTTTAGTCAAACTATTGTAATCCTCTTTTTTGTAATTAATGCAAGTGTAGTGGTAATTGTCTGAGCATCTGCAGCACTTTAAGAACGATATTCCTTTTAAAGTATTAGGGCAACCAGCGCATCTTTGAATATTCATTATTGAAGGCAATTGTTGTTATTAACTTATGATACCAAATAACTTTACTTATATTTGTGTTCAATTAATTTTATAAAGTAACTGAATAATGAACAAAAAGTGTAATGGACGTCGGATGGGATTCGAACTCGGGTACTGCAGTTTGGGGGCTCTCGTCTGTCAACTGAGCTATTTATCTTGTTACGTAGACAGTAAATTTTGCTTTTAGTAAAGTCGAGTTTGTATATTGTTGAAAGTAAAGACGGTGCTTATTATTCTAAGACTACCGACTGTATCAAATCACAGTGAACTTAATTTAATTTTACCTTTAGGTACTTAGCTTGTGATTTCTTGTAGAATATTAAAATTAAAATTGTAGCACTTAGTTCACCGCTTTATTCACAAACTGCCTGCAACTAATTCACTGAATTCGTGAGAGATTCGCAAAATAATCATGCACCCAAAGTTTTGACCTTGTTTGTTAGGTAATTGATCAGATTTCCTGTAGTCCACACTCTCACTGCTATCCTTCACTTACGTTTCACTAACACTGTACTTTTTGAATGAATTTAATGCGTTGTTAAATTTTAATTTTATTTTATGTTCAGAGACGATGTATGTACCTGCTTAATAATATGAAAACGCCATCTTCCATCTATTATTAAGATATTTAGTAACGGCATCAAATCGAAAAAATGGACGTGCACACACAAATAGATGGCGTTAGTATTTAGTTTGCGCCATCCGCAACAAGGGGGCGTGCGTTATCGTAAGCTGCTCCGCGCAGGCCAGGCGCACGTCAATACAAACAAGAAAGAAATCCACAATCGAGACTATTGCATATATGTATAGAATATAGTGAGACCGGCAGCCAGTAGTGCTCGATGTTCAGTTTGCGCACATTGCGCACTGGACTATTTGGGCCGCTTGCGTTACATTTCACTAAACATTTATACTGTTTTGCGGGTATGAACAATGGTCGATTTGTGTAATATGTTTCTATCGATGTTCGAGGATATTTCAGTGTAGTAATATTGTGCTTAACTTTTATCAGTGATACAGATATCGTCGATCACAAATGAATTGGGATAGATCCTATAAATACTGATAGTACTTAGATGAGAATGTACTAGCCGCGTCCTGATAAAGTGTTTCACATCGCAACAACAAATTTCATTATGTTTAAACCAATATAAAAAAACGTACAGGCCACTGTACAGTTTTACTATTGAAACAAGTCACTGTTAACGAGTAACCAATGAATTTTTGTCATCGATTTTTCTTCACAATGCCTTCGTACAGCCAAGAAATAATAGACCTAAATTCGAACGAACGCAGTGAATACAAGAACACTAAAGAGAGTAAAAGCGACGAAGTAAAATACGCTACCACCGATCTAACGAATAGCGTTCCGGAGGGCTTGAACGCTGACCAGAAGCTTAAGTTCGCACTTCGCGATTTCCTCAGCCCCACAAACCCAGTTCTGGAGGACAGCGTAAAGGATGATCCGGCTCCATCCATTCTAGAGCAAAAGTTGCCCTTCATAGATGAGCAAGTCGACACGGACGACGCCGCACAGTCCGACGAAGAGCAACAGCAATGTAGGGAAACGGACGAGGTCCTCAACAACGCCGCTTGTCGCTTAAGGAGGTGGCGGGCAGCGTCCCGGAAACTTCGCCGGCCCCGTATCATCGATAACTTGAGCACCAAGGACGAAGGCGGTTACGCCACTAAGAATTTCAATGGGGGGCACACCGACCTAGCGGATCGTCTGCGGAGCCTGGCAGCTGCCGGCAGTATGTCCGCCTCCGCTGGTGAGCTACTCTCGCTGGCGCCACCACCGCCCGCTGCCACTGCACCGCCATCACCCGGTTGTCTGCTATCCCCCACATTGGCAGATCAGAGCTCCGCAGAATACTTCGTGAGTTATTTTGATATTTATGCTAGCTCAGTAAACTTTGAAAGCCTCACTAAACAATATCTCTATTGCATACATTATATTTGTTAGTACTGTTTCTCTAAGCGAATACTACGCATTATGAGTGTTAAAGTAATTTTTAACGAAATTTGAATAAATTAATCGCTACTCATTTTATTATTTCCTATATTATAAATTCTCGGCGTACTAAAAACCGGGGAAGATTAGGCTATAATGGGTATTTAGTAACTATTACAAGTTTTATTTTTAAATATCTAGGAGAGTTGCTTTTTAAAAGATAATTTTCTTGTAACATATATCTGTATCCAATACAGGCATGTCTAAAAAATAAACTAGGTATCTAGTCGATGTTTGTTAATCTTAAACCACAATTTTAACTTTATATTTTTTTAAAATTGAACGAAAAACAAATGCAATAAAATTATAAAAGTTTATTTTTATTATTTTCACTTTAATTATTTTTATTTTCATTTATATTTCAAACACTCTTTATTTTGTTTGTAGATAAGTCTACCATTAAATAATTAACTAAATACCTGCCTGTCTCTGTTGTCTGTTCCAGTTATTTTTACTTAATGTTTGAATTGTAAACGTTGCAGGTTCTATACTCACTAAATCATGTAATGTACAAATATTAACAAGTTAACGCTGTCGTTTGTACTATTAATAAATAAAAATTATTGCTTAATTTACATTTTACTTTGATACTCATTGATAGTTTCTAAATATAATGAGAAGCTGAAATTATTTTAAATTCAATGCTAATCTTATAATAGATAATTATTTACGTCAGTATTTGCATAATAAATACATGAATGATAAATATTCATTGGAAATTTCTGTATGACGTCTTTAAGTATCATTGATACAAATATAAAAAAACAGATAAGTGCGATTAGGACTTAAGCAATGTATGTTCCGTTCATCTTATTGTACAATGAACAGTATAATATAATAATAAAGTACAATAAATATATTACGAATTTATACCTTTTCTTGTACGATACCTCAAAGAAACAGGAAAGAGCGCTTTTAATAGAAGTACAGACAGATGGACCACACAGGTAGGGTTCCGGTACAGATTGAGGTACCTTAAAAGACATCAGCAATTGCGGTAAAAAAAGTAATTTACCTTCGTATTAAAACGGGGACGTCACAACACTTAAAATTAATGGTCAATAAGTTGCGTTCGTTTACGACTCAACACACGAGTAATAAATAGGCGATTATATACGTATTTTTATTAAGCCGTGTATATAAAAACTTTTGGAGTATCAGTATATATCTTAATAATCACAAAAAATAAAAAAGTAACACACACCTGTGTACCTGGTGTACCTAGATATACGCATACCGACTCATCTTTTATGTTCACAAACAACTGATTTTCTGGGTCAATTGTCCTCTCACTTATATTCAAAATATTTGACAATGTATAGGTAAAGTTTTAAGGTACCTATGGTAGACAATCCAAATCTGATTCATAATAAGGACCTCCTTAATATCTGACTACGGGGAAGAATGGTACATTATAGATGGTTCTTTATCACTATTATAACAAAAGGAACCGCATTTTCAACCATTACTCGGCCCACTGGCTCCAGCCGTAGATTAGTCTCGTTGATAAAACACGCGGTCACATCATGCCCGCCACGTGACGTCGGGCGTGTATATTGATTTGTTCAACTCGACCAACTGTTATTTGAGCAACTTTCACTGAAAAAACTTTGTTCAGAACATCACGAACAGTTGAGTCCCGTGCTCTAATACGTTGTAATTTAAAAAAAAAAGCAATTATTACTTACAGAAATGAATTTGTAACTACCACTGCCCATTAGACTTCGATATCCCATAGAAATCGGATGTCTTGATTATCTTAGTTGGCTTACCAACTAAGACGTTGCAGTGAATTCTGCCATTCAGATTCACGTAAACAAAAATAGCGTCCGTGGCTCAAGTGTGGGCACCCTTTTGGTCCATCACAACTCTTAAGTAAACTATTCACGATGATAGATTGGACTGCACACATTTGTTGCGAATATAAGAAAACACCGGCCCCATTGTTAAATAAACAAACTGCGAGTACCACGCGAACACACATGGATACGAAAGAAAATATCGGTAACCGTATTAAAGTTGCTGAAGAAATGTAAAGCGGGATTTCTTTTTGGGTTTTTGAACATTATTGATGAAAATGACACGTCTTACTAAACAACTTAGTAAGTAGACGAAATAAAAGATTTCCATTTGCAAATGTGAATTATATTATATATTAAATAACATACCTAATATATATCCTTATATATCTAATATATAAAATTCTCATGTCACGGTGTTTGTAGGTAATTGACCTCCTCCGAAACGGCTCGACCGGTTTTCGTGAAATTTTGTGTGCTCTCCACCCTGGCCATATCGGACAACATCTATTTTTCAACCCCCTAAATGTTAAGGGTGGTCCACCCCAAACATTTTTTTCTACCTTACAAATAATTTATATTACAAAATAACGTTTGCCGGGTCAGCTAGTATACTATATAAGTAACAACCAAAATTTCAAACATAAATATACATAATGCAAAATAGGCTTAGAAGAAAAGGTATTTTGCCTTTTCTTATAAGGCATTGCTCTTTATAAGAAAAAGCATATTGCCTTTTCTTATAAAAAGCAATATATTTATAAGACTAGACTAGGGTGCTCATTATTTATCCTGACCAACTTTTATTTTATGGGAATTTTCTTGTACTGTACTATTTGAAATAGAGCAACGTTAAAAAAACTTGTTCTTTGTACATATATTATGTATATATTTTTTTCAATGGTCAGTAATCTGCCCTATAAATTGCTTATCGAGAGTTTGTCAATCTTTCGGTTCATACAGCCTGTACTAAAAGAAACTGGTTCCAGTTCGATGAGACCGCTATTCATGTCGATTTTTCACCTGCGTACCGGTCCGTTACGTAGCAGAGTTCATACCTCAAGCGAACTCATGACCCACATTTTAGATATGACGTCATCGAGCAGGAAGAAATAGAATGTAGGTCGTGCTCTAAACCAACCTCGTAGCTCCCTTCTTTTATTGACACTAAGATTAACTAGATAAGTTAAGATAAAACCTCGAATCAAATTGTTCAAAATGATTATATACGCAACTACATGACATTTTAATTAGTTAGTAGGTAAGATGTGGGTAAAATTTTAGTTTCAGTACCAAGAACATCTTTGTATAATTTTAAGTAATTACAATAGCCAATAACATTTTTTTTTATAAACAACTAAGGTCTCCGCACAAGGCACAGCTTGTATCGCCGGGACCTAATTTACAGCTCTGACAGTTTTTTTTTACCTCAGTACGATTAGCGGAGAAAGACTAAAGTACTTACTTATAATTTCTATGTATTATTATAAATTTCAAAAAAAAATCTTTTAGAGAATAACCGAATAACGGTATTCTCTAAAATTTAAATGTACCGAAGTTACATTTTAAGAGAGCGATTTGATCTTCTCCTTCTGCGGTCCCTTCTTGGGCGAGTAACTGTTGACTGTTGTATGTTCGATGAATGTATTGTGCTAAATGGTCTAATGTGCTCGATGTGGGTGTTTAGTAATTGTTGGTATCTGCCACGCTGGGCCCTTGGGCACATAAGAATTTAGGGGCCTCATGGAATGTAAAAACATTCGTTGCATCCGGGGATTGTACAAATACCTCATGTCAGAAACGTAGATTGGTCGTATTTCTAAAATTTTATAATTTTCCAGAGTACACCTGGTGTATACAGTTAGCTAACAACGTCCTCATTTAAGGGTTAAGCTTTTTTATCGGGCCAATTTACCTAACATAAAAAAAAACTGTATGCGTGTTTTTAGTGTATTAATCGTGTTGTGTACTAATACCGTATCGCCCAATAAATTGCTAAGAATTTTTGGTGAGTGAATGGCAGGTTGTTGCTGGTATCAATGTATGAATGAATTAATGAATTAATACACTTTTATTGTCCACCACAAATAAAAGTATACATAAAAAGTAACAATAGAACCAAAAATTTATGCAATGTACAATTTGGCAGCCTTATCGCTTCATAGCGATAATATCGCTTCATAGAATATTTCCTTGCGGAACCGAAATTACTAGACTGCGACTCGCTAACATATTGACCTATCTTGACACGCTCTCTTCGTTACAATATGTAGCCCTTAAACTAGTCTTAAGTAGTATAGGAACGGAGATAGTGTCGACGGCTTTGGCCAGGTCCAGGAATGTTCCAAAAGGCTTAATTTGTTATCTAGGGCATTTGAATGAAGTAAAGTAAGCGTGAAGAGTGCTTCACTTTATTTATTTTCCTTGTTAAAAGCCAAATTGCTTAAACACGTTAACTCACCAGTTTCTCGAGCAATTTGTAGAACGATGCTATAAGGATATTGGTCAGTATTTAATAATTAAAAATTTATTATCTTCTTCTTTATACTTTGGACAAAACTAGCTGTTTTCCAAAAATCACGAAAATGTCCAGTAAACAAAATATATAATTAACACGTTGACTTTCTGGGTAAAACTTTCATAGAAATATTTCATGATGATACCTATTACATTCAATTGAAGCTAAAAAAAGCATCTTGGATGTGACGAAAGTTACTTATGTATGCGCATCATAATATGAGTACTCTGTGTAACCTTATTTCTCGTTTCATGCGATAAAAGCAAATTACCTTCAGCGCGCTTTCTAGAGTTTCGGAGGAAATATATGATTAAGCAAGAAATTTAATTTTCGTTACTAAAATAGTCATCGTGAATAATTGATAAGACATTTATTTTTTAATCACCACATTTCCTAAATTCCTTATGTTAAATATAAAACTATTATATCTTATACTATGATCTATAATAGTTTTATATTTATACTTCTCCATAGATACAAACATAATTGTGGTTTTTTTTTACATGTTGGTGGCTTAGTGAATAGCTACGATATCACGATTTGAGGAA